AAAAAAAAAAAAAAAAAGCATTCCGCGACATGGGGAGGAGCAGAGGGGCATGCCCAAAAAGCAACGATAGCATCAGCAGCCATCTGGATGAACTGACAACGGCGACGTTAATTAGTTAGCGCAACGGAGCTAGGCGGAACGAGAAGCGACAAGTTGATGCTAACTTGTCCGCACTTGGCTGAATCCCTGCTCAGCTGTGTCATGGACTCATGGGGCCGCGGGCCAAAAGGGCACGAAGGGTTGAGACTTGACTCAGTTTACGGTGGGTTTTAAGCGCGGTCGGTACTTTGCTACAACCTAAGGTACGGACCAGATTTTCCATTGACAAAGCCATTGGCTCCTTGCGCCTTTTCTACTGGTAGAGTCGTGCGAGTGCCTACTTGTTAGGCACAATGGAACTTATCACGGGTGTTAAGAGGCTTATACGTACGATTCATTCGGGGCTTGTGCAACTTGGCCGCGCTCAATGAATTTGCAAAGGGCCAACTAATTGACCAGAAGAGAAAGAAGAGGGCAATTACACAAAACTAATGTAAAAGACAACATCAGTGGCTGGCAGCCGTTTCGGCTGCATTTGTTCCGTGCCACAGGGAAAAACCGGCGTCAGTGGCTGCATTTCAGCGTGCATGCGCTCCGGAACCGCCGACGACATGGCGTCTGCTCAGCCCTCTCGACGGGGACAGCAAACTCTAACGCATAGGTACCCAGAAGCCGTCAAGATGGAACTAGCTTGCAGGTGCACCCGCCGGGCCACTATCTCAAAATGGAGAGAAAAAACGGATTCATCATTACCAAGTCCTTTGTGAGGCCTCTCGAATCGGAAGTCGTGCTATTCTACCCCGAGGCTCAGTTAGCAATCTAGCTTGACAGGGATGTCGCCAACAGTGAGGTTTCTTCATGTTCCCCATATTTTGCCATGCGGCCATGCAACCATGCTAGTACAAAGTGTTAACAAGCGAGCTTTGACGCATTCTTTGCGAATTTGCCCCGAGATATCCTTTGCCAAGATTGTGAAGCAGGCATGACGCCAAATGGTCAGTTTTTAGTTGTGTCCAACCAGTCCAACGTTCTCACGCGAGGAGCGCCGGTTGCTGCCAAGACACGTGCATATTGATGCGTGCAGACGTGTGCTCCTGATAGCGGCAGCCGGTGGTGGTGGTAGTGGTGGTGGTGGTGGTGGTGGTGGTATACCAGTAGGTCATCAGGGATGTGATTAAAACTTCATCGAAAAGAAAAGGACCAAGAGCAGATGCTCGCATGTATACGCATCTGACTAGGTGGTGGTGAATTGGGCTGCTAACGTGCGCTGTCGTGTGACATGGAGCAGCAGGAACTATGCGAGGAGGGCAAGAGGGTTACGACATCCAAGCCCGAGCCTTGTCCCGTCTCTAGAACGAGGGTATGGAAGAACGAGAGATGTGAGAAGAATGAAGCGCATCTCGCGCATTGTGCAGACAGACGGCAGATGCTGCATCGCGCAGTCCGTCGTTCCAGTCATTTTGCAGCAGCTGGAACCAGTCAGAATGAAGCATGATAGAAATGGCTGATGGCTGGTTTGGTTGACCCATGCATGCAAGTGCTTCATCGGGAGATCCGACAGATGCACTGTGGTGGGGGTGACTTGAGCGTGGCAGTGGACCGCTGCTTGACGTGATGTGCTGGCAATTCCGGAACAGTTGACAGGCACGACTGGGCAAGTAAAAAAAACATTTATAGACTGACTGGGGACACACGAGGGTGATGAGTAGAAATGAAGAGAGGTAAAGTTGATAGAAAGAAAAAAGGGACGGCAAGTTGATGATGGTACGTAGTCGGTCGGCAATTAAACGTGTGAGATACATATTAGTCCATTTGGTGAATTTTCATCATTGGAAGGTTGGTTGGGTGTAAGAGGTCCTGCAATAAGGCAATAATGCAACGATGCCTGGGAATATGGCCAGGCTAATTCCCGTCGTCTCCCGCTGGATATGCCAGTATTTCCATCACCCGGCCGCACTTTTCATGGTGTTGTAGTGCTTAGGCTCTGCCGGCGTGTCCTGTTTAAGTGGGTAAATCGACAGCGTAGAAGCAGCATTTTGTGGCGGTGATGGGCGCTTATTAGGTTGGTGGTCATACATGGGGCATGATGCAGCAAATACACGAGAGAATGATGACTGCAGTTGACTGAGAGGGGAGGGGTCAACCGCATGAGCATGGGCATGGACCCGGACTAGATATATAGATGGTGGACGGGCCCTTTTCTGGACCGATGGATGATTTTGTGTATTTTGTACGACAACGACCCGCTCTCTGGACCGTTGGAGAATTATCAGGCCAGCACACGAGTAAGTACCTAGAAATGCGCATCTTGATACATGCCCAAAACCACCACACATCCATGACATCATGTCATCATTCGGCGGTTTGTTGTTGCTCATGGATGAGGGCCAACTATGCCATGCCAGCGAGAAACGCACCCCACGAGCTTCACCAGCCACTCATTCTCCAAGCACACGAGGCAATGCGGCGGCGGCGGCAGTACTGCATTGCAAGCTAGCGGCAGGGGCCAGAAGAAAGAGAAGAATGTTTCGGAAGCTAGCCTTTTCCAGAAAGGAAAAAAAAAATCACGTCGTCGCAGGCAGGACCTACTGAGCTGAAGTTGGAGCGATGCTGCTGGGCTAGCCTGGACCGAGCAAGGCCAGCCGTTGCCACTGACCCCACAAGCTACACCAACAAACTGGTCTTGCTGCTGCGCAAAAACAGAAACAAGTCCGCGCCTCAATTGCGGTGCATAGGTGGACAATGTCGGCTGAACCCCTTCAACGCTAACCGCGCAATCTACGTAGATCAACAACAGGGGGGTTACCGAGATTGTTGAAATCATTGGGACACTCATCAGCAACAATTACGCCAATACAATCTCATTCTCGATTGGCCCAAACAACACCTGTAGACGAGCGCCGAGGTTGCAGCGCAGTGCAGGTACACGCCGACAGAAGCTTCTCCGCTAGTGAAAAGAGGTACCGTTCCTGCCCCATCTGCCCATACCTTGCGCAACCCAGGACCTTGGCTTCTCTTTCACTTACTACCTATTTACCTTCCTCCCGACCTATCGATTTGCTTTGCTAACCAATTCACCTCTGGCCTATCTAGGCCTTAACAAAGATATTTATCTACCTTGTTCTCCCATTGCCATTAAATTTCACTCGGTCCAATCTCAACCCCAACCACCACCAATTGACCACACCACCACGATCACCACATCCAAGACAATCACCGCACCGCTCGCCATCCCGGCCCCTCCACCTCCAACTTCATCCACCAACGCGACCTGCTCTCCCATCCACAGCTTTTCATCATAAAAAGCTTCATGCCGGCCTGCTGTCTCACTCCGTCCACCTCACTCGCCCGTTGAGTCATCGCCTCCTGATTCCGCCCAATCGACAAATCGATCTTCGACCTCGTCCGCCCCCTCTTTTTCGGCATCTTAATTCTGCATCAATTCTGTATCGATCCTGCCACCTCCGAACCGCCCGCTCCAAACCGCCAGCCGCCAGCCGCCAGCCGCCTGCTACCTGCTTGCCGCCTCGCCGAAACTGTCCTCCCAGCCATGTCCAGCTACCAAGGCCACGGCCGCCCGCAGTACGGTGCCTCTTCGCCCATGCACCACCACCAGCAACAGCCGCCTTACCAGGGCGCATCCTACGCGTATGCTCCTCCAATCTCATCCCCCCCTTTCACCCGCCGCACCCTGCTTCTCTCGGCTGACTTGCAACTGCTCTACTTCGACGCATCCATCAGGCCCCCCCAACAATCACCTCAGCCATACCCGAATCAGGGTCATCCCTCGCCTCAGCATGCCTACTACCAGCAGGCACAGCTGCAGCAGCAACAATTCGCTTACCCAGTACGAACCCCCCCCCCCCCCCCCCGCCACTTGAGCGAATGCGCCCTCATCACGCTTCGTCGCCCAAGTACTGACGAGCCCCGCAGCAGCAGCAGCAGCAGCAGCAGCACAACTCCAGCCCGCACCAATATCAACAGCATAACTCCAGCCCGCACCAATATCAGCAGCAAATGCCCGGCCAGCCGCCATATGTTGCCCGTCCTGGTCAGCTCATATCTGCAAAGCTCTCCCCCTCCCCGAGTGTCTGAGCTAACTTATCGATAGGCGCCGCACCCTCTCACAACCATCAACACGGCCTCCAGCAAGGCCGCCAGGACACCGTCCAGGCTCCTCCGAGCACACCCCAGCACTTTGGAAGCGGCGCTCCCCAGAGCTACTCGTTCAAGTACTCGCAATGCACTGGCCGGCGCAAAGCTCTCCTCATCGGCATCAACTACTTTGGCCAGCGCGGTCAGCTGCGCGGCTGCATCAACGACGTCCGCAACATGACGTCGTATCTCGCCGAGCACTTTGGCTACAGACGTGAAGACATGGTCATTCTGACCGACGACCAGCAGAATCCCATGAGTCAGCCTACCAAGCAAAATATTCTGCGAGCTATGCACTGGCTTGTCAAGGACGCGCGCCCCAACGATTCCCTCTTCTTTCACTATTCTGGTATGACTGCCGCCTCGATTCCATGTTTCAAGTGCTAATGTGCGCAGGTCACGGCGGCCAAACTAAGGATCTTGATGGCGATGAGCCGGATGGCTACGACGAAGTTATTTATCCCGTGGATTTTCGCCAGCATGGACACATTACTGATGATGAAATGCACCGTATAATGGTTTCTCCTCTCTGCGGTGGGGTACGATTGACAGCCATTTTCGATTCCTGCCATTCCGGCACCGCGCTGGATTTGCCCTACATCTACTCGACCCAGGGTATACTCAAAGAACCTAACCTGGCCAAAGAAGCGGGTCAGGGTCTCCTCGGTGTTATCTCCTCATACAGCCAGGGTGATCTTGGTGGCATGAGCAGTCAGATTGTTAGCCTCTTCAAGAAGGCAACCAGCGGCGAGGAGGCGCACAGTCGTGCCCTTGCCACCAAGACTTCTCCTGCCGATGTCGTCATGTGGTCCGGAAGCAAGGATGACCAAACTTCGTACGTCAACATGCTGATGCCCACCATGTATCAAGCTAACAACTTGCCAGTGCCGACGCTAGCATCGGCCTTCAGGCGACCGGCGCCATGTCTTGGGCTTTCATCACCTCGCTCAAGAAGAACCCCCAGCAGAGTTACGTCCAGCTGCTCAACAGCCTCCGCGACGAACTGTCTACACGATATACGCAAAAGCCTCAGCTGTCCTGCAGCCACCCTCTAAGTACGCCAATCTAGCCCCCCCTGCTGCGTCAATATACTGACCAGCGCCGCAATAGACACGGATCTCCTCTTCGTCATGTAAACAACCAGATACGGCCTGGAGCCTGTCTTGTTTATGCCGTGCCCGGGCAGCTCAGCGTCTGCGCAGCCTGTCACCAGCTGTCGAGCGAGTGCCCTTTTGCAATTTTTCTTCTCTTTTGGTACTGACGGGTAAAATTTTGGGTATTCAAACATGGTTTTCTTACTATCGATATACCTTGGGACTATCATTCAGCAGGCTGTTTGTGTTTTTACTGTTTTTGGCTGTCCTAAAGTTGTGCAGATGCAGAGAGGGGCCGAGGTTGGACAGCGTCTATGAAAGCGGGCAAAGGGCGGGAACAGGGAAGGCATGAAGTTATCACGGTTAACATATGATCTCGAACAGCGCTTCATGGAGATGTGAGCAGAAAGAAACAGAACGATGGATCGAGAACAAAACGAAAGCGAACATTGGGCAGAGAAGAAGCCGAATCGAATACAATGAATCAAATAAGACAAAGTCAAACGTAATGACCGAGACGTAGACAGGAGGAGCAAGAATAAAGGGAAGCAACATCTTGGTTCGAATAAATGCGTGATAGTCAAAGGAAATAAACGCTTCAGCCCTGATAAAATCATCATACCCAACAAGTCAGTCATTCAAAACGCCATCCTTGCAGAATGCTTCCAATTTGTCCCAATGTAAACAGACCTTCTCCAAAATACAACCAACCCTTACGCCGAAGCACCGTCCTCACCCTCATCCACGCGCACCACCTTGAGCCCTCTCCCCCTCTTCGCCTTGCGTCTCTCCTCTGTCGCCGCCACCAGCTTCCTGCGGATCTCTTCCTGCGCAGCCCATTTACGCGCCGAGAGGCGCATGCGCGCCACGAAACGCGCCAGCACGAGAAACGTCCGCAGCGTGGGCTTGTTGCGTTGCTTGAGAAAGGATGGGGCGGGTAGGGGTGTGCGCGAGTGCAGAATTTTGGTGCGAATGTGCTCGAGTTCGCGGAGTTGAGCCTTGTTGCTGTAGAAAAACCAATGTCAGTATACCATACGTGAGAAGAAGGATGTGCGAGAGGAGCTGATAGGGGGAGGGGGACGTACCATGCGGTGGAAATGTCCAGTTGTAGCTGGATAAACTTCTTGGCGTAGGCTGCATCGGTGCGCTTCGCCGCCTCGCGCTCCCAGCGCGCCTGCATCCAGTCCATCTGCATGACCAAACCCCGGAGCTCTTTACGATGACGCTCCGCCGCGCCATCCGCCGCGCGCACCAGCGTCTCGAGCGCCGTCTCCGCCTCGACGAGACCCGTCCCGCGTCGCAGACCCGCCACGTCGCGCTGCAGCTTCTCCGCGCTGACGCGATACGCAGCACGCTCGCTGCGCGTGCGTTCTAATTTACGCCGGAGCGCCACCTCTGAAGCCACGAGGCCATCGATGAGCGCTTGCTGCTGCCGCACGTCGTGCTCCAAGTTGTCAATCTCTGCTTGCGTTTGCCGTAGGTGCCGTGCCTCTTTGCTGCTGCTGCGGCGATCTTTGTTCTTAGAGGACGGTGATGCGGAAGCGGCGACCGCGGCGTCGCGGTCGCGCAGCGCCTTGTCGAGTTGGTGCTGCAGACGCTGCAGGGCCTGAGCGTGCTCGGCGGCCGTCTCCTCGGCCTGCTGCCGCGCCTCCTCGAGAAACTCCTCCAGCACCACGCGCTGGTCCTCTGCGTCGTCGAGCTGCTGCTGAAGTTCCTCGGCCATGACAACCTGCGACCCGCCGTACGTCGCGTTGGCCGTTTGGCTGGCGTTGGGCGAGCCCGCCATGCGCGAGACCTGGTGGTGATGGAGCTTGCTTTCCAGATCCGCCACCTCACGCCGCAGGCTCTTGATGATGTCCTTGCTGGCCGCCTCGCGCTGCAGAAACTCGACTTCCTTTTGGCGCGCGCTCGTCAGGTCGCGTCGGATAATGGACACCTCGCTGCTGCCGTCGCCGTCGAGGAGGGCCTGAGCAGAGGCTAGTTGTGCCTGATAATCTTCCACGCGACGTTCCAAATCACGGATCGTACGGCGGGTCGTAGAATTGTCTGCCGTCTCTGTAGACGACGCCTGTCGCAGCTTGGTCTGGAGCTGCATGATTTCCTGGTTTAGCCTATCCTCCTCAGCCGCGGCTTTTTCAATTTCGCTTTCAAGCGATTGCTCTACAGACTGTCGCTGTTCCGACAGAGCCTTGTTCTCGTCGCGCAGGCGGCGCACCTCGCCGTCGAGCTTCAGCTTGGCAGTGCGCAGATCAAGACGTTCTTGGTCCACGCGAAGCGTGTCGTTATCGTGGAGCTTCGCTCGGCGCAGCTGGCCATCTAGCTCATCACGCTCAGCCTTGACCTCGGCTAGCGAAGTCTGAGTATTGCGTAGCTCAGCCCGCATCGAGGCCAAGTTGTCTTCCAGAGACCTCTTTTCCGAGGACACCTTGTCAAGCTTGGTGGTAGCATCTGTAAGCTGCCATTTGAGACGCGTTGGCGTTTGCGAGCCACGCACTGGAGTGGCTTCAGCAGCGCCGCGAGTTCCTTCAGTGCTTAAGCGCAGGGTTCGAAGCTGCTCGCGTAGACTCTCACACTCACGCTTCAGAGCATCGCCCTCACGACGAGCAGGTGTAGTCATGACGGCCGGCCTATTGCGAAGCGCTTCAACTTGACCCTCTAACGATATCACCTTGTTTGCTTGAGTCTGATAGTCGACCTGCGCCTGTCTTAAATCATCGCGCACGGTAGAGAGCTCGCCTCGAAGATCACTCAACATTTTCTGCCGAGTTTCCAGAGCATCTTGGAGATCGTCTATTTGCCTTGCCATGAGTGCCTCCTCGCTGCGATGTCGCTCTTCCTCCATCTTCAGGCCATCCTGCAGTCTGGATCCTTTATCGGACAGAGATCCTTCCGCTTCGCGCAGACGGTTGATTATTCTTTCAAGTCCAGCAACTTTTTCCTCCGCACGATTGCGCTCAGCCTCCAAAGTTTGCTTCTCCGTCTCCCATTTCTCACTGTCGTTATCGTATACATCATCCTTTTCGCGTATTTCAGCCTGCAAGTCGGAAATGACGTCATTGAGGCGTTCGAGTTCCTCTTCATATTGTCCGCGGAGGTCTTTTTCAATCTCAACGGCATACTCTCTTTCCTTGGCTACGTTGCTTTCGAGGTCCTCAACCTCATTTTGAAGTCGCTGCACGTCTCGTTGAAGCGATGCTGAGTCTGCAGTCAGAGTATCGTGTCGCGTTTGAATCAAATCCTTTTCGTCTATTCGGGTTTGCAGCTCGATTTCAAGCTCCAAAATCCTGGCCTCCATTTCCGGGTTTCCTTGTCGCATGGTTGCCTGCTCATGCTCCAGCTGATTAACCTTGGCCTTGAGCTCATCGATTTCGCCGTTGGCCTCTGTGTATTCCTTTTCCAGTGTAGCGTAGTCTTCACCGGCCTTGTCAAGCTCATCTTGCAGTCGTGTGACTCTCTCGTCTATCTGTCCAGAGAGGCCCTTAGAAACAACAGATTTGTTGGCCATTTCTTCTTGAAGTTCCTCCAAGTCTCGCTCAGCTCGGTCTTTTTCAGTAGCAGCTGCTTCAATTTTCTCGTTGAGTTCGTCGACTTGCTCCTCTAGACGGCAAATGTTCTGCTCTAGGTCCTGAATCGTTTCTCTTGCTTCGTCAAGCTCGTCATCGCCCTGGTCATTTTCCTCGGCCTCCTTGGCCCTTTTCTCTGCATCAATGATCCTTACTTCCGCCTCTTCAACTTTGTCTTTTAGGTCCTCAATTTCGTCTTCTCTCTCTGTCAATTGGCGATCCTTGTCTCGAAGAGCCGCTTCCAGGTCCTCGATGCTATCCTGCAGCCTCTCCAACTGCTCTTGATTGCCTTGAACCGCAGCAAGTTGACGATGCAGTTCGCGAACATTTTCTTCCTTGTCTTCCAGTTGTTGCTGCAACGTTTTCATTTCGGCGCGGAGACCATTGTCCTCTCGGCTGTGAGACGTTCTGCTCTGCAATTCGAGTATTTGCTGTCGGCATCCTTCCAGCTCCCGCTCCGATGTTATGAGAAGCTTTTTATGGCGATGAAACTCTCTTTGCATGGTAACCTTGTCTACCTTCAACTCGGTATTCTCCTTCAGAGCTGCTTCATTGAAGCCAGGGCCGGCTTTACGGAGGGCTTCCTCCAGAAAATGGATCTTGAGTTTAAGCCCAAAATTCTCCTTTTCGATCTTGTCAATGACGTTTTCTTGTTCTCGGAGCGAAAGCTGGTTGCCGTCCTGCAACGGACCCTTGTCACCACGTCTCGAAGTCATCGCAAGGGGTGTCGAAGTAACGCTACTACTGTCGATCTGCGGGATTGTATGGTCGAGATATGATTGGTTCCGTGATGACGAGTAAATGGACGCGTCCATTCGTGGCACTGGCGTCAAGTCATTCTCGTCGATGCGGCTCAGGTTGGGCGTCAGGCTCATAGCGCCATTCTCCTTGCCTCCTCGGCGGCGACCGCTGTTTCTCGTCGCCGATTTGAGCAGCGGTGTAAATTCGGCGCCGCCTATGCTGGGTGGTAAGTTATTCCGGTCCGTCAGAGGATCGCGGCGAGGTGTTCTGATGCTGACGCCGTTGCCATTGGAGCGTTTATTACGCAGCTGCTGCAGAATATTGCCGCTTTCCTTCTGTGGCGAGTGAAAAGAGGCCTCTTGTGAGATATCGGCAAAGTCTGGCGCTCGACTGAGGTAGGTGGCATCTCCAATGTTGGACCTCGGGGTGTCGAGGGCACCACCGTAGCCGCCTTGCACCATGGCAGCGGTGACGTTAGAGTGAGTATTTGTCGAGCAGCTGAGTGGTGTAATGGCAAAACAAAAACCAGAACATGCGGCGAGGCTGCTTACAGGAGCAAGATAGAATGAAACAACGCTTAAACAAAATCTGCAAGCTGCATTGCAAGTCGACGAGTTCTGCGCGCGCCAATGCCAGTAGACAATAGAGTCTATCGATAATTCCTTGGTCCGTCAGTCAAGCCAAGGTACGCGTTTGTGTTGTTTACTCTTTGCCCGCTTTGGGCCTAGCGCCCAGTTTGTCACAGCAGCCAATGGAAAGTCGAGATTACCTGACTCCCCACTTCAGTATTTCGTGCGCTGTATCCGTACATAGCTCATTTAGGTTCGGAGTTGTTACTTAATGATAGCACCACTTTGTTTGCCGGGATGTGTTGGGGCTTTCCCGGATATCATTGATGATTGCCATTTCTCGCTTCCGGCTTCTGATGCAGTCCATCTCAGCTGCATGATTCCACCAAATCTATGATGACCGATGCAGGCAGCCGTGGCGTGTGATATCTGGCGGTGACAACATTTGCACTGCGACAGGTTTATGTGCTTTGGTCTCCCCCACTTCGTCACTCTTGAGATATTCGTCGTGCGTCTACGGACTTGTTTCGTCATACAAGATGACGAAGCACAGCAGTAACGGACATTCAGCTCGTGTGTCTTTGGATATACTTCCAGACGATATCATAGAGCAGGTGTTTCAATATGCATCGCCATTGGACAATTTGGACAGCCTGCAGAGAGTTTCGCGCAGGGTACAACAGTTAGCAAGCCAGCCTCTGTTGTGGAGGTACCACTGTTTCGCGACATTCCAATACTGGCAGCCCGAACATGAGTTGGAACTTCTTCGAGATAGAAACGCATCTGCGACAAACTGGAAAGCCTTGTTCCTGACGCGCCAAAAGCAAAATGCGTCAATTGGACGTATCTTCGATCGCGTTATTGCTACCAGGGCCGATCGCATCGCGGGCATGCAACAGATCTGCCAGTACGGCTACGATGCCAAGGATTTCCTCCTTGAAAAGTGTCACATTTCCTATGATGACCCAAATGTGTTGGCAGTAAGGTAAGATTGCCGCTATATCCTTCGCAAAGTTGGCTTACACATCCCCAGACACTACGCAGGGGCCATTCTCGGCAGCATACATAGGAGCATTGCCGTTCACCAATGGTTCCAAGTGAGCAATTCGAGACAATCAGACCCTCTCAACATGAGAGTTTCTTTGGAACATTCGCTGGCCGCCTTTGATCTTTTTGTTCTGCACGATCAGCGCGGTGATCTCACAGAGGTGCGTTCCACATGCAATGATTTACACCTCCGACGCTAATCTGCTACCTGTCGCAGACCAGTCAGCTGCTAGATACTTATGCAAGATTATTCATGAGGCATCAGCCTCAGTGGGACGAACTGAGCACGAGGCAAAAAGCTTTGACGTTGAACCGGTGGATACGTGAAAACAACCTTGCTGGGTTGGACGATCAACGACACGATTATAGAAACCTGCGGAATTGCTTCATCGGACAGGCACTGCGAGGTTCAAAACACGAATCGATACCAATCATCTCCTGCGCAATATACTGTTGCATCGCCGAGAGAATTGGCCTACGCGCAGAATGCTTCTTGGCGCCTATCTGCGTACATGTTGTGGTCACTGCGCCGCCTGGCAATGATCTAGACATGAACCCTAGCCAAGACGAGCACCAAATGTATTTAGACCCATTTGCTACCAATGGTGAAGTACCTATCGACAAGTTGCAGCATCTCGTCTCGCACGCCGACATGACCGTCGCGAGCTTGCGCAACTCTGGCACCGTCTTTGCCATCACCAGCCGAACCGCGCACAACATCGAGGCGTCCCACGCCGCGGGCTCCCGCCGTGCCGATCCTCTATCACTCAGCAAGCTTCTACACGGCCATTCGGCCGTGAATCGGCAGCTGGCGCTCTACGCGACGCGCTGGGCGCTACTTATCCTACAGGTGCCCTACACGCGCCGCTATCAGGACCGCCGCATCCAGCTCCTGGGACACATCATGCGCGACTGGCCTGAGGACGAGTGGATCATGTCAAAGTACGTGCTGGCGCAGAGCCAGCGCGCTGGCACCCCAGATCACGGCTGGGGGCTCAGGGGCATGTTTGTCCGTCGCCCGGACCCGATGCAGACCGACCCCTTCCAGGACGAGCTGACCGCGGACCGCGTTGCCCCGTTCCGTCTCGGCCAGATCTTTGTGCACAAGCGCTACCAGTGGCTTGGTGCTATTGTTGGGTTCTACGAAGTGCCACCCGCGTCATGGGACCTCGAGTCGTGGGGCAACTTTGATGCCGCTTCAGAAGGCGACAGCGCTACGCAGAGTAACACTGATAGAAGACGATTCTACGTCAAGACTATGTACGTGCCTGCAGCCATCAGGACAGACGAATGCAGTCGATTACTGACACGCCCTTTTTCTTGTCCAGAGCCGCTTCCAGCACAGACGAACAGGTCATTGCTCCGGGAAACCTGAGAGTCATTAGTGACGAATCCCGGGTGACTGGGGGAATGTTTCCGCTGGCGGGCAAGTACTTTAAGAGATTTGATCGGGAAAGGTGCCGCTTCATATCCAATATTGACGAGGAATACCCCTGCTTGACTGCTGGGGACTGAATCATGCTGTGTCCGGAATACCAACCTTAATTAATTTCAGCAATGCGTAACTGCGCGGTCTGGGCTGGCATATATGGCATCATTTATTAGGTTAATACATCATCACCATCGACAAAGGTCTATCAAATACGCCCAGTCTGCCGACGCTGACTACGACGACAGCTTTATTATGTCTTCCAGGATATCCTTTTCTGCTAATTTCGATATCCATTTATGTAGCGCGCTCCCGTAGTCCTTTTTCCGCGCCGTTACGCGCTCCTCGTCCTCCATGGCGGCCGAGGCCTCGCCGCGGTACTCTCCCATGGCAGCGCGCGCTTCGATGACGAGCTCATACCTGAGACTTGCTGCGTCGCTGGCACTGAGATTACCCTCGCTCACTCTTGATGCAAGAAGGCTGGGGACTGGTTCTCCTGTGATGTCGTCTAGCTTTATATTATAATTCGCCAGTAGCGTAGTATCGTGAATATCGAGCTGCATGCCGTTATTTAAAATGAGCGTAGTATAAGCATCTCCGTGCTGAATCTTCATCTGGGTATCCAAGAAATGCACAGCCGTCACCGCGCTGAGCACGGATTTCCTGTATTTCCGAATGGGACTCTGGCAAAGAGAGAGCAGGTTGAATGACAGCTGACTTTCTTCATACTGCAGCATACGAGCTTTGATCTGCGGTCGAGCCACAGTCGTCCAGCAGTTGCAGTCGAGGCTGCCTAAATCTGAACGTCAGCAGATTATCTTTGCTTCTGCGGGAAGCCATCACGTACCGAGCTTTCGAGGCTTGCCGCGTAACCCGTCCAGCTCCCAGACGTACCCTCCAGACGGGACATAGGCAATAAAGTGGTATCCATAGTCGCTGCTGTTGCGCTTCTTGGGTTTTTTTTTGCGAGACGTGCTGCGAGACGCTGATGCGCGTTTGCGCGGCTTGGCATCGAATGCCTCATTTTCTAAGAACAAGTCTGCATTCAGGCAGTCCATACGACGCGCAAAAGAATTGTGCGTTTTTCGAATGAATCTGTTGCTGCCCAACTTATAGCCTCGCACTGCGGTGCTCATCTCGGCAGTGGCTGCCTTGAATGCTTTGAGTTCGCTTCCGAGGTCGATATCCGCGTGATTCATGACGATGTTGAGCAGCGCGACAGTGGCACATGCGTTGGAAGTGGTCTTTCGAGGGTTAGACACGGTTGAACGAAGTGATGGATGAACGAACCTGATTTGCGAACCACACCGGCCCGCTCTCAGTCTCTCCTTGATCATCGTCAAGGGACGGCGCATACTGAAATAGAAAAATGAGGCCGTATACAGGTTTCCTAGAAGTTGTTGGTGACTATTTCGAAAAAAAAGTTTGAGTTTGACATACGGTAGAATATCCAACGATTCTTGGTCTAAAGTAAACAGCTCCTGCACCTTGACGTCCTTGATCCCAAGGTCTCTCAAAATTATGTTAAAAAATGCCTGGACAGGTGTAGAGTAAGTATAGATCGATGCTGTATGTAGTACTCAAGCTTACTGGTTCAGATTCCAGCTCAATCCACCCGTCCCAGTCCTCAATGTCGTCAGGAGTGAGGGGCTTCAAGGCCTCCTCCAGCAGGTTGTCAGGGAGCGCATGGCTCTGGGGCGGGGCGGCGGCTTTGCGTTTTGGATTGCGCCTCTTATTGCTGGTTGCAGAGTCCGACAGACTCATTGTCCGAGGATCCGTTTTGACATCGGGCTTTTTGCTGCGGACTCGAACAACAATGCCTCGCTTTTCGAGGCGTTTTGACCGACGCGGACCGCTGGCCGGCGGACTATTCCGATCGGACGGCTCATTAGTAACGCGGCGCGTGCGAAGATGCATTGCAATGGTGTATGTAGTTAGGTGATGCTGATGAAAGGACTGGTGGTGACTTTTTATCTCGTCGTTCTAGGCCGTGGTCACGACTGCCACGGGGATACCGTCGGTGGAAGCTCTCTCTTGAGCGCTTCTTTGCGAGGTAGCATGCCGCGGCAGAAGGTGGTGTGAAGGAGAATAGATGAAGGGGATTCAGTAATCAGACACAATATCAATCTGCAATGACAAACAGAGAATGCAAACGGCGGTTGTGCTTGTGACATCTGGAGCTGGATGCCAGCCGGCACAGTAGCGCATTTTGTTGACATTACTTACCTGATTTGTTGAAATGTGGGCTAATATGTGTAAAAGATTCTAATAAAATATAAATTAGAGCAGAAGCGTGCCGGTACAATCAATGCTTGCATGGGTGGGAGAACAAGAAGAGAGAGATAATACAGTGTGTAGATAAGCACGGCTTGGCTTGGAAGTCCATCGCGAACGGAAGCTAGATGTATAGTCAAGGTATCTTGCCAGCTAGTTGGCACGCCATCCACTACCTACAGTGTGGAGACAAAAATTCCGCTCAGTGGTACTAATATATGGTATTTTACGATTTTCACCACCTTATATCTATATAACTATACCTTCTAAAAATAAAAATAAAATTTAAATATAAAGGTATTTATATAATTACTAAAAATTAGATTTTTTTATATTTTTAGATTTTTTAGATATAAAGATAATTATAAGTAAAGTTTAAAAACCTTAGGTAGGGGTTACTTTACTAGTAAAAAGTGTTAAGGAAATACTCTTCTAACTTTAACCTTTAAAAAAAAGGTAATAAGTTATTTTAAAAAAAGTAAAAAAAACTAGAAGTAAATAAACTAAGTAAAGAAGAACTCAAGTAGATTTTAAAAATAATTTTATTAGCTATAGTTCTTATTTTATTTATTATTAAAGTAGGTGTGTTTTAGTGGTACTAGTACTGACCGTACGGAATTTTTGGCAACCCACTGTACCTAGGTACCTAGGTAACTTATAAGTCACCCGCTGATCCACCAGTGGCCGCCTGAGAACCCACCGAACCCGCTGTCCCAAGCATCTCACAGCACTTGTTTGTGCCCAGCACCGCGTTTACGTGACGTGAAAAAGTTGTCCCTGCTGCCCTGCCGTCTTCTTCTCCAGCAACCACACAACAACGGCGATACTGTCCGCAACAACACTCTTCGCGCGCTTGAAAGATTTCAGTTTTCTATACATGCTCCCTAGAAGCTTCACCGCATACCACGGAATGCGATGAGCGCGACTCCTCGACTGCGGTCTGGGTTCCCCTCGACCCCCGGCACCACTGCTCCGCGACGCAACTTTGATCAAACGCCCAGCTCGGTTGGCTCCGTATCCTCGACGGCAAGCTTCAACAGGTCGGCTGCGCTCCCCATAGCCCCCGAAAAGGCTACGAGGCAAAGCCAGGCTGGCCAGCCGCTCATACCTCTGACGCTTCTCGACGCTCCCCAGCAGCGCTTCTACGCCTTTGCCATCTACGTCCTGCTATGGGCGTGGAAGCTCTATGATTGGCTCCAGGTCATCGAAGAGGGCGACAGCTCTTGGTGGCTGTTTTTCAAATGGATCTTTATTGACTTTGCTTTTTTGTTCGGGCTACCAGAGCTCCGCATACCATGGCTGGAGCTCTCACAAGTCTTCGTAACTGGAGTGTTCCTATCGCACGTCGTCGTCAACTACATGTTGATGTTCAACATTCCCGTGAGTTGAGACTGCGCTCTTTTTCTTCGCGCGATCAAGTACTTGCTAACAAATATCAGCTCCCATGGCAATCGTTTTTCCTCGGCATTGCCAAAGTTCTCTACGACCGCGAATTGTCCATTTCCGAGCAAAACGTCAAGGTCTCCAGCATCCTCAACAACCATTCCTTAATTATGGGCAAGCAGATTATCAATATTCTTCCCGAGGGCTCTGCAGTTCTTAATCCCGAGCAAAAACCCTATTGTATCGCTCCCAAGTCCAAGACTGGCGTTGTGCTGCCCATCTACTTCAACTCTACTGTCCCCGCCGAAATTGAGCTCATACGCATCGACCTCGACAGCAACAAGGAAGAGACAATCAAAGTCCCCAACCGCGATGTCAACAAAGTGGCCAGACAAATTCGAGAGCAAAGCGCTGACCCTACTACGGCCGGCTTTCAATGGGATTACACTGTCAGGCGACCGGGTGTCTATCGGCTGGGCAAAGTGTTGGACGAGTACAAGCTCGAGATTCAGCGCGGTGTCAAAGATACCTATGTCGTTCCCTGTCCGCAAGCGAAAATCAAGACGGCCAATTCTTCCCAGCGCTGCATTCGTGACTTGTCCGACCTGTCTCTCGAGGTTTATGGTACGCCCCCTTTGAAAATTGTCTACAGTCGAACAATCAACGGCAAGAATCATGGTTTCCATTTCCAGAGCCTGCAGCCAGACGGCTTCAGCTCGCCGCTTCTGGGCTCTGCTGCCGATGTTCTCCCCGATGGCGGCGAAGACATTTCTTGGGTCCGTCCTGCTCGCGTCACCGTCGGTTTAAACGAGTCCATGGCTACCTCTGGCGAGTGGGAGTACTCGGTCGACGAAGTCCACGACGCCTTTGGCAATAGCATCAAGTACGCGGAAAGTGTTGACGACCTCGACCGCTCTGTTACTCGCAGCCTCGTCCAGAAATTCGCCGTCAAGGAACGTCCCAAAGTCAAGATGCAAGGCTGTGATCTTCGAAACGCTTTGAAAGTCGCCAAAGGCAGGTCAGCTCATCTTCCCGTCTCATTCCAGGTGAATGGAGGTGCCCCCGACACAGACTACAAAGTGCAATGGAAGTTTTCTCCCATTGACTCCCTCACCAACAATGGTGACCATGGCGACAAGCTCACTCTTGGCAGTCACTCAGCTAAAAATTCAAACGACAAGCCAAGCGTCTCTGCGCCAGGTCTCTACACTCTCACCTCTGTTTCCAGTGGATCATGTGAAGGCGAAGTTGACGAACCTTCCTCTTGCCTACTTCTGAACCCTCTCGAGCCGCATCTCTCTATCCGTGCTGAAGAGATCCCAGACAAGTGCGCCGGAAACTCGATTGGATTGCGCGTCAATCTGGATCTTGTTGGCACGCCACCCTTTACTGTCCACTATGATATTATTGGAAGCGACCATCATGTTGAGCCCCGGGCGCACAGGGTCGACGGCCTGCGCTCCCAGTTAGAGCTTATTCCGCAGGAGGCCAGTCGCCAGAAATATGTGTTCAAGTCAATTGACGATGGTGTATATCGCAACATTCCTCTTACCGGCCAGGATAAAATACTTGAACAAGAAGTTAAACCCGCCGCCCACGCTGTCATTGCGCACGGCTCCCAGACGATCAACACTTGTCTGGACTCGAACGTTGAGCTTGACGTGCTCCTTACCGGGGAGCCGCCATTCAACCTCGAATGGGAAATTGTGCACGATGGTAAGCGAAAAACAGAGCGCGTCAACAATCTCAATTCCAAGGCATATACGATCAAGACACCTACCTTCACTAAGGGCGGAGAGTATAATCTTGCGCTGAGCAGCATCCAAGATCAGCGCGGATGTCGAACCTTCTTGCAGGACTCTGTCAAGCTGATTGTGCGCCGTCAACGACCGCGCGCTGCTTTTGGTTTGATTGAGCAGAGGCAGAGCATTATGGCTGTCGAGGAAACGCCGCTGCGTCTTCCCCTCCGACTTCAGGGAGACGGTCCGTGGACCGTTTCCTACAGGAATCTCAATGACTCCGCAGGAACAATCACCAAGAAGATTGATAGCCCCAATGGATTCATTGTGGTAAAATCACGAGGCGTGTACGAGCTTCTGGACATCAAAGACAACCGCTGCCCCGGTACTGTCGAGCCTGCTGGATCAACGTTCCAAGTTGACTGGTTTCCTCGACCGGAGATTTCCATCATCGAAACGGATAGCGTTAGCGCGACAGGCGGCGTATTTGTGAAGCAGGAGGTTTGCGAAGGAGACATAGATGGCTTCGAAGTTGCCCTGCAAGGCTCACCGCCATACCACGTTGAGTATGAAGTTCATCAGCGCTCTCCCCAAGGATCCAAGGCGATCAGTCGCCGAGAGTTTGATGCCGCCCTCTCAAAAGCAGCCATATCCATGGACACTGGCAAGGCTGGCGAGTATACGTACAAGTTCCACGGGCTCGCCGACAACCTTTACAATGTAGACCAAAAGTCTAAGGCGCTTACCGTACAACAGCGTGTCAACGCGAAGCCAGCCGCCACATTCAGCAAACCTGGCCAAACATTCAAGTTCTGCATGGAAGAGCAGGAACATGAGGACAAGATTCCCATCACGCTCACTGGCGTGGCGCCATTCTTTGTTGAACTGGAAATTAAGCATCAATCAGGCCTGCCGGTAGAGACGTACCACGTGCCGTCGATCAACTCCAACTCGTACTCCATGCAGATTCCTAGAAAGCATCTGCGCCTGGGATCGCAGCAACTACGTATCCGCCGCGTACGCGATGCCCGCGGCTGCCAGCAAAAGTATGAGGTAGGCGGTCCGTCGATTCAGATCCAGCTCTTTGATGCGCCGTCCATCTATCCGCTCGAGTCGCGTCGAGACTATTGCGTCGGCGAGCGCATTGCCTACACGCTATCAGGCACGCCACCCTTTGACATCCACTACGAGTTCAACGGCAAGTGGAACGCCAAGTCGCAAACGACGAGCTTCCGTCGTGTCGCGGAGAAGCCTGGCGATTTCATCATCACGCGCATCTCGGACAAGGCCAGCGAGTGCCGCGCAGCGGTTCACCTGGCCAAGACGATTCACCCGCTGCCGAGCGTGCAAATTAGCCGCGGCCAGCAGTCGCGCGTCGACATCCACGAGGGTGGCGAGGTGGACATTTTATTTGAATTTTGGGGTACGCCGCCGTTCGAGTTCACGTTCACGCGCAGCTCAAACGCGAAAAAAGGCCACCGTAGTGTCCTCCTCGAGACGCGCCACGAAGTCTCGTACGAGCACTCCAAGGTCATCAAGGCTTCGCAAGAGGGCACGTATGAGGTTGTTGCCATCAAGGACAAGTTTTGCTCGTATTCGACGCAGCAGGCGGACAAGCGCGACAAGAAATAGCGTGAGTCTGAGTCTTTTCTGTTTGTTGTTCTTGGGCTTCTTTTATGACGGGGATTTTCAGTCTTGGAGGTCTATCACGACCTGGTTTTGTTTTCATCTGGTGTGGGTAAAAGAGAATGTTGACAGGGCGGGATGGGTCCATGGCTCTCTTAATTTGTATATATGCATGTTGTTTTTTATACCATGGCACGGCGTTGCTCTTCACTTAACTTTTCTTATTATCTTTTCTTGAATAGAGCTCAAATGTGAGAACCCGCGCAAGTGGTTCTCGTTACCAAGATGGGGTTGGCTGCTTCTGTTCCTGTTTGAGTGGATGATGGTTTTCTGCGTATGCTAGGTTGTAAGGAGAAGTAATGAAGCCACCGTGACCCTTTCGTACTCAAAATATGTGAATTCTTCTCGAACGGATGCTGACGAAATTTTGATATAGTTGTTCTATATACAGTATGAAGCTATGCTGACCGTGTAAATGCGATTTTTCTTTTTCATCCTCGTTCTGCATTACTCTTGATCTTTGGCCACCACCTCAATCGTTTTAATTAGCGCGCCGCCGATGCGCGCAATCTCCAGCAGCACTGCCTTGCGATTCAACTCGACCACATCATCCTCATCGCTCTTATCACCATCATTCTTAGTCGGCACCGCGCAGAAGTTGTACGGCAGGCCTGCGCGAAACTTGGACCGCTGCAGGCGCGGATTCCACAACGCCGCAATCGTCGCGTCGTCGTCGTCAGCGCCTGGAAAGAAGACCAGCGTGTCCTCGTACACACGCCGCAGCTCTTCGACGAGCACAGCCGCGGGTCTCGCGCGCACCGGCAGCGGTGCTCGGCCTGTCGCACCGTCGAGGTTGCGAAACTGCGAGACGCGCGGCGCGCCGGCGTCGCTGCCCGTGTCACGCGCAATCGTCCGCAGCGCCTTGCTCGAAAGGTGAATGAGCACGTCAAAGTCGTGAAGGGCGGGCTCGAATAGTAGACGGGCGTCGAGGCGCGGCGGACTGCCGGCGTCGCGGACCAGCTTGCAGGCGGCTTTGGCGAGGCGCGTCATGCGCGCGGCGACGAGCTTGCTGGGGCCGTCTTGCGTGTAGGCGAGGCCGGAGCGATCGTACGAGGTGGCGACGACGAGCACGACGTGGCTCATGCCGGGGTCGCGCTGGCGCCAGGTTTCCAGCGTGCGCTGGATTTCGCCGCGCTCGTTCGCTGCCAGCTCCTCGGCGGTGTCGAGGACGAGCGGCTGTTCGCGCCAGTCCCATCGCGACAAGAATGCGAGCATGCGGAGGAAGCCCGTGGTGACCGAGGATGGCGCCGCCCAGGGGTACGGCTGCAAAAAGACGTGCAGGGCAAAGAGCTCAATGAGCTCGGGGCGGACGTGGCTGGTGAGCTTGTGCGCGACGAACCAGGCTTTGGCGAGGCGGATGGTAGGAGAGAGCGCGGGCAGACGCGTGCAGTATGTAGCAATGGTCTGCGTGTGGAGGGGGAGGATGTCGAAGAGCCAGTGGAAGCGCAGGCCGACCTGCTCGGCCTCTTCGCGCACGTGGTGGTCAAGGATCTTGTTCTGTACCTGTCGCTCGAGCAGCGTCTCCTCAAGGTCGCAATGGATGCGGAGACGGAACGCGGCGCCGCTGTCATACAAGATGTCGAGAAAGGCAAGGTTGGAGATGCCAATGTCTTTGTTTTCCCGGCCAAGATATGTCTTGATGTTGTTGTGCGCGCTCGTTAGCCGACGGTCAATGTCGAGGAGGAATTCAATCTTGGCTTCCTGGATGGCCGTCAGGTTTTCCGGCCACTTGCTCGACTGCTCAAAGTAGAGATTGACGTCGATGAGCTCGACCGTGTCCTTGTGAAAGCCGACCAGCGGCGCCTCGACGGACGCGTAGCGAGCGAGGGCAGAGACGGCAGAGAGCTGGCGTATTTGCAGGGGCAAATCGTCCAGACTGCGGATATCGTGCTCGAGTGTTTGAAAAGACCGTCGCGCGGCATCGAATGCTGCCTTGTCGAGATTTGAAATATCAATGACGGTGGCCAAACTCTCGCCCACAACACATACATCGCTCTGAGCGAGCTTCAGGTGGCGGCTCAGAGCGTGCTGGGCAATTTCTTGACAAATGTCAAGAGGAAGCTTGCTCGTCCATTCGACGCATTCCAGAATGCTTCCATCCTTGAAACGACGCAGCTCGGCCTTGTCACCCCAAAACTGACGAAATCTGGCTGCGTCCTTTTGCTCTTCCGCAGACGGACCATGCTCCATTTGTCTGCTCATGTGCGTCAGCTCAAAGATGACACCAACCGAGACAGTAGCCGGGGCAGGCGGGCAGGTACTGGCAAGATTCCACTGCTTCCTTGGCGGCAGCTGGACGTGGACTAGTTGCGCGCGATTGCCAAAAGCCTTGTGCAGAACTCTATGAGCATCGAGACCAAAGGATGTGATTTCGCTTAGACGATCGGGTGAAGCGGCGTACTTGGCAAGGTTGGGGTTCTTGATTTCGAGCACAGCATCGAACACCTGCAGCGGCACATCTACTTTGGTGATGAAGGTCGAGTCAAACTTTTCAGAGGCCTCGTCCGTGAGTAGCTCAGTGGTAGACTTGGCGCACATCTGCAGGTAGTTTGCCGATCCAGGCGTCATCTTAAACAGAATGTTGAGCTGTCGGATTGGGTCGAACATCACGGGTCCCGTCTCCTTGATGGACTCTGCAGCCGTCTTGAACGCAAATGCCTTCTTGGTAAAGTCTGTCGTGGACAGAAACTGAATGGCCGCCTTGAAGAGCTCGGTGGCGCTCAAAGACGTGGACAGAGCGGCGGCACCGTTTCTGCCGCCAGTCTTGAGCAACAGCGCAATCATAGCTGCCCATTCAAAGTGTCCGAAGCCGCCTCGAGATATGGCGCTGCCAAACCCTCGCTGTTGAAGCCAAATCCTGCCAAGGACACAGGCGTCTCCGAATGCTGTACACTCGCTTTTGGCGTTTGTGATGACTCGGAGGTACTGGATGAAAGTTCTCTCGGCATTGAGGGTAGAATTGTAGAACGGCGTGCCCGTCGGGCTCGACTTGCTTGCATCTATCGTGTCGATTCGGATGTTTGTCGCATTCGGGGTCAGTTTCGACCAAGGAAATAAGTCTTCAGGAGCGCAGGGGATGAGTCTGATGTGGGCATCGTGCTTTGCGGATTTCTTGGAAGATTTGCCGGCTTCTTGTCGAGGCAGACGAAGGACGAGAATAGGGAGCAGAGGGTTTTCATGGAGGAGCTCGTAATGGATATCAATTTTGTCGTCAAGGTCAGCTTTGATTTTTGCGGCAATGTACGCGATGTAGTATGCTCGTCGGTAAAAGTAGCGCATATCGAGATAGTCCTTGTCTTGAAAAAGCTTCTTGGGCATCTGGACAACCATATCGATTCCCAGGCGCTCTTGGGACTTGGTCAATGTCTTGCCGACGAAGCTGCCAACAACGTTGCATTGCGCTGGCGGTGAGAATGCTATCTTGTAATTCGAGTCTTTGGTAGGTTTCGGTTCTGGGTAGGGGATCGTGATGCGATGCTTCTTTTCAAACTTGATAGATGCATCGTGTATCTGGCAGATGTTAGCGAAAGTTTCTTTCATGTCTCGTAATTTCTACGAACAGGCTGAGCATCCTGGGGCTCTATCGAGTCTATGATGCCTTTTATTTTGTGTAATTGGCTGTCGAGGCCTTCGAAAGCAGCGGCGTAATCGAGCTTGGTGTCTTTGAGCAGCGCGTCGGTTTTGAGCACAAAAGTGCTTGCGGTAGACAGTCGAGCAGCGTCGCGGGACTCAAAATCAATCAAGCCCTTGTGACGAATACCCTGACCTTGATGGTCGAGCTTGCGGCGCTTGAATACAGTCTCCATGGTGTTGCGCCAGGTTGCGGTGTTGAAGGCTGTCGTCGGCTCAACTTTTTTTTGTCGCCTGGATTTTTTTGGCGGATAGAGCCAAGGTTGCGGGGCGATAAGCTGATAAACAATGTGGCAGTCGAGGGGTTCGCGAAAGAAAAGGCCTTTTATGAACCAGAAGGAAACAAAGAAAAAAGAAAAAAAAAGATGCGAAAACTTAGAAGAAGTTAGTAGAAGATTTGTTAACAATTATCTGCAAGAGTCTCAAGTCGCGAGTATACACATGTAGAGGCGTCGTTTTCTCTCTCACGCTGGGTAGTGACTTGACCACCTAAGCATCAAGGGAAGCATAACAGAAGCTAAAAAGACTCAAACGCATGGCACGGGCTTCTCCATCTAGAGAAAATTGTTCACCCGTGCTCTGCTACAATTGCTGCTCATGGGTACTGTGAATGGTTACTACATTGACTCGTCACATTGTGAGGCGCACTTTTGAAAAGGCTTCGCGTAGTTGGATACGGGTGAAGTATCAATCCCGCACAAGATTTTACTTCGATAGAAACCGGCATCTTTGTCTGTCTCCATCTTGTTGTAGCATAATTAACTAGTGAATTCGGATCCAGTTCTGGTGCAATGTCTAATCAGCGATCTAGCAAATATGCAAGCCATACTCCGTAGAGAGTTCAGTATTCTCCCAGCTCATGAAATGAGGAGTAAGGTAGCAGCCCAAGTACTTTGTAACCAGGCCGGGGCAGGCCCCAAAAACGCAGGCACAATCCTTAAATGTTTGTCTCGTGTCCGATGCTCGGACCAAGAGCTCATGAACTGCTGATCTCTTGCTAATCTAATAGACGGCTTATATAAGCATAGTCAGCGCCGACTCAGCGTCAGACCAAAACGCGAATCCTTGTCTTTGGAGTCTGGACTATATCGTTACCGTTCCTTTATCCGAAAGGACAGGTCGGAATGCACCAGAATGAGAGGGGGGCGGAAGTACGCTAGAAGAGAAAGCGGGAACGGAAAGGGTCCGGGACTTGAATCGGGACTTGAATCGGGACTTGCGACTCCTCGTGGCAGGATATTGTCTGCAGCGACGAGTTACGAAATACTTCACGAAATGCAATTAAATCGTACTTGAAATGTCCAGGTACTTTTCATTCCGGACCGCAAACAGATGAGAAGCGTAGGTACCCGCATTCCGCTGGACGCTGTGCTGGACGGTCGGCAGACTAGGTAGGTAGTTAGGTAGGTAGGTACCTACCTACCTTGGTAAGGTAGGTGCCCTGCCCGCTAGAATGATCACCCAAACTCGTGTCTCTCCACTGTATTTGGTACCTATCTAGTAATCGTGCTTCCCCAGCTTCTCCGACACCCCGGAACGATGCGTTCCTGCCCGGCCAGCTGCGGTTCAAAAGCACTCGGCTTTCCGGCCGTGCCCAAACCATCACTTCCTCTGCATGATCTTACACGCACCTTGCGCGCTTTGTCTTTCGCTTTCACACCCAATCTTTTCTGAGCCTAAAATCTCTTTCTTCAGGACCAGGGGAACAGCCTTCTGCAATCCAAATTCATAGCACACCAACACTCCCTTCACACCTGTCGCAATGCCTTCTACCGTCATGCGCATGCGCACCTTGGGCGCCTTTGCCCGCCACGCGAGCAACGTGAGTCAACTCGGTCTACAGGCATACCTGCAATCGACTCTGGACCACTGACTTCCTGCGCTCACAGCCCACGGCCGTCTTCGCCAGACAGTTCTCCGCCACTGTCCGTCGCGCCGAGATCAACAAGGTCCTCCCCTCTGCCGCCGAGGCCATCAAGGACATGAAGCCCAACGCAACTCTTCTCTGCGGCGGCTTCGGTCTTTGCGGTGTTCCCGATACTCTGATTGACGAAGTTCTCAAGAAGCCCGAGATTGTTGGCCTTACCGCTGTTTCCAACAATGCTGGTACTGACAACTCTGGTCTTGGCAAGCTTCTCAAGACCAAGCAGGTCAAGAAGATGGTGGCCAGCTACATTGGCGAGAACAAGACCTTTGAGACCATGTATCTGACCGGTGAGGTCGAGCTCGAGCTGACTCCCCAGGGCACCCTCGCCGAGCGATGCGCTGCTGGCGGCAAGGGTATCCCCGCCTTTTACACTCCCGCTGCCTTTGGCACCGTTGTCCAGACTGGAGACCTACCTCTCAAGAACAAGGCCGACGGAACTCCCGACGAATACTCATACCCCAAGGACGTCAAGGTCTTCAACGGCAAGTCCTACCTTCTGGAGCATAGCATTGCCGGCGACTACGCCTTTGTCAAGGCCTACAAGGCCGATAAGCTCGGCAACTGCCAGTTCCGTCTCGCTGCCAACAACTTCAACGGTGCCATGGGTCGTAATGCCAAGATCACCATTGTCGAGGCCGAGCACATTGTCGAGCCTGGCGAAATTCCTCCTGAGGCTGTCCATTTGCCCGGCATCTATGTCAAGCGCGTCATTCAGAGCAGTAGTCCCAAGAATATCGAAAAGTACACCTTCAGCAAAAACGACAACGACCCTGATGCCAAGGCTGCCCTCGGTACCGGAGAGACGGCCGCCAAGCGTGAGCGCATTGTTCGCCGTGCTGCCAAGGAGTTCAAGAACGGCATGTACGCCAACCTGGGTATCGGTATGCCTATGCTCGCCCCCGGCTTTGTTGGGCCCGAGGTAGAGGTTCAGCTTCAATCCGAGAACGGTATTCTCGGCCTTGGACCCTACCCCAAGAAGGGCTCCGAGGACGCCGATTTGATCAACGCCGGCAAGGAGACTGTCACGCTTAACCCTGGTGCCGCCGTCTTTGGCAGCGAAGAGAGTTTCGGCATGATTCGCAGTGGCCGAATCGATCTTACTATTCTTGGTGCCATGCAGGTCAGCGCCAGCGGTGACCTCGCCAACTGGATGCTGCCCGGAAAGGTCAAGGGATTTGGCGGTGCCATGGACCTCGTCAGCAATCCATCTGCCACCAAGGTCGTCGTCACCATGGAGCACACCGACAAGAAGGGCAACCCCAAGATCATGAAGCAGTGCGCTTTTCCTCTGACCGGACGCGCTTGCGTTTCACGAATCATTACCGAGCTTGTAAGTGGGCATGCTCATTTTCATTGCTCCATTTCGCTAATACTTCACAGGGTGTCTTCGACGTCGACTTTGTCAAGGGCCTTACCCTGATTGAAATTGCCGACGGTTTAACGGTTGACGAGATTAAGAGCAAGACCGAGGCTCCCTTCAAGGTTGCCAATGACTTGAAGCCTATGCTGTAAATTCGCGTTGGGGTGTATCAATGCGTGACGATGAGAGTTCGGTGTTTCTGTATAGTGGGATCTTCCGCGTAACTGTTACTTCGGTCATTAAAGCAGTTGCCGCATTGTCAGGCGTTCTGATCTCGTTTCTCCTGCTTTGAGCATAATTTCGAAAAGCCAAATTTCGAATAAATCCATATCATATTTCTCTGCCTGATTTACCGCATACCAAAATGATTGCGTACCTTCCGCGCTATAATTTGCTCCAGTTTCCAGGTAGTCGCAGCGGACATGGCTTTTGGCGCTGACAAACGCCTGCTTGCGTTCGGCCCTGAGAACCGCCCAGCACCAACTGCCAGCTGCTTGGTCACTACCCTCTCACTATTTGCCACTTTTCAAAATCAATCTTTTGAAATCGATATATCTTATCATGTCGCAATGTACGACAGCCTCTCCGGTATGACCATTAAGCAGTGGAGCGTGCCAGCCCATTTGCCATCGGCGCAGGGGAGCCTCGACTGGTCGCGCGCCGCACCCTTAAAGTACCAGGAGCCTCGAGGGGGGAGAGTGCGCCCACTCGTAGACATTGCGATACGCACTCTTGCAAAAAACATTGGCCTGGTATCGAAGGAGCACCTGGAAGCTCTACCAGCGCACATACTCGGGCGCCTTTGGCGGTTCCTGGAAGCAAGGTTTGTGGCTCAATCTCAACAACGGCTCTGGCTCTGTACCGCGGGACGCCTCAGCTGCCCATGTGTCGCTGATTTTTCGTTTACTAATTATCAAAACCTAGGGGAGGTGCCTGTCTGCATGCATGGAAGATATTCTCGGAATTTCTCATGACTGGCGAGCAAAACGACCCAGCGCTCGACCTGTATCGGTTCCGACAGCATCTTTGTCACCCAGAAGAAGAGCTGAAGCTGTATATTCAGCCCCTTAACTCTGCATCTGTGGACTTCATTTCACACATCATCATTTCTGGGAACTGTATCTTTCAAGGTAATGAGCTCTTGGCGCTAGCCGATATGAAGAATCTGGGTGTGTTGGAGCTCATCAAGCCCGCGGACGGCATTTTCGCCTCGTTTCCCCAAGTGAACGACCGCATCATCCGTGGCTGGTCGGAGGCAGTCGACCCTTTCCCTTTACTGCGAGTTTTAAAAATCTGGGGCGATCAGACGGTCACCGAGGTGTCACTACGGTGGGCAGCAAAGTTTCCGTCTCTGGTGCTCTACGATGTTATAGCGGGCAAGGACGGCTGGACGTCTGCATGCGAAGAAGCGAAAGCAACAGGCTGGACAGTATCTCAACAAATAGCAAGGTCGGAGGACATGTCTATTCTCCGATATCTGATGCTTTTTGCCCCCAGCGAAGATATGGCCATGAAACGGTTCTTTGATCTGTCTAGGAGCATCGACGACGACCTTATCAACTTGTCCAGAGACGCACGCTGCGTGCTTAAGCATGTGTCATACAACGAGGCGCCGCCGCTTCTCGACTGCTTGATGGATTCAGCCAAGGTGTCTGTGATACAGCCTGACATTTCTCGTAAAGCGGTGCCGACCGAAACCCAATTTTGCCATGAAGCCGCGTTTGAGGCATGGGCATTTTGGCTATATTCTCTAATAGGTCAGCTTTCCGGTGACCGCGACATGGAGAGCAGGGGCATCGGACCGAAGCAACAGACCGTCGCTGGACCGTTTGTGCTGCCATCGAAGCCCATGGCATGCCTTTTTCTCGGGCACAGTGGCCACGGCGGCATCACCAGCAAGCCGTCATACATCAGCAGAGGGTTGTTTGCGACTAAGCGTTTTACATTTACCAGGCTCGAAATTTTGAAGGGCATTATCCCGCCAAACACCAGACTTGCAGCAGGAGCTGCCAATTCCGAGATTGCACCAAAGCGGCAGGCTTCGGTGAAGCATAACAAGCGGAAGCGGATCGAGGATGTCTTGGGTTCCTTTGGCTGATTTGTCGCGTCATGGAAAGGTCAGTTGTGAGTCAACAGCGGGTGTCATATCGAACGAGTCAGACGAGTCAGTAAGCGTTGCACAAGCAGGACTCGGAAACTTGAGAGTTGGAGATGCTTTGCTGAGCGAGGCGCGAAAGTGTGCTAATTCAGCGGGCATTCTGACCGCAGAATAGAGTCCACTGGGAAAGCATAGTTCAGCACTAATGCCATTGGATATAGATTTAGGGGTGATATAAATTGAAGCGTATCGTTTCTACGAATGGGGCGTCATGTCTTCATGAAAATCTTCGTCGCCGGTCTAGCTTCAAACTGGTGGGTGAAGGGCGAAAAAAATTGTGCCACTGGTAAAATTTATCTGCCCCAAACGGGAGAACAGTAGGACAGAAGGTAAAACAGCGGCCATCACTCTTTCCTCCAGTTTCCCCTCCAGTCTCATCCATGGAGTAATGGATGCCAGAGTGAATATGAAGGATGATATGTATTTTCTAGTAGGTTGAAGAAGAGAAGGAGAAACAGACAAAGCTGAGCGGCTCCGCGCAGTTTTCTAGTAGCTCGCAAACGGGGCCGCGGAAGAATGGCCTATCATTCTTCCGTGGGCTGGTCCCTGCCACTGTGGCTCAGGCCCTGGTAGGCAGGGTTTTCTTCCCACACCAGCCACTTATAAATTGTCCTGCAACGCTGTACCTAATCATGCACACGTATTACGCTCGCAGGGGTCATTGCCTTGGCTCTCAGTGGCTGGCCTGGCGCTACTGCCAGCGGATGCTCCCGCCATTTTTGTGACTGAGACTTGTAATGAGTAGCACGTTGGCACGCATTGCATCGAGATGGAGAGCCATTGTATGACTGTAAGTAAGAAAAATCGAATCTGGGGTGTGTCGCTTCATTTTGAGCATCATCAATCTTGAAATTCTCCATTGCCCTACTGCGGGTGTCGTGTGAGTCCTGCAGCCTCAAGACCTCAGACTTGTAGGGTACAGCCCCTCCACGGTTGAGTCACCGAATACCTCAGTTTTGACTCATAGCCACGACCGTTACGTTTCGTATCTTGTAAAGTGAAAAACGTACTACTTAACTTGGTCTCATGAGGGACTTGCTGCCGTTTATATACCCTTGGCTGAGGGACTTGCTGCCGTTTATATACCCTTGGCTGTATCGTCTTTGCGTGTTATGTCTGGCCTGATTACTCGAGCTCGCCCCAAAATCACATTCGTGCCCGAGTCACCTTGTGTACCCCGCTACCCCGCCTCCATCACCAGCGCATCAGGCTTGCAATCTCTGCCAGTCTCTCGCCCTTTCTCCTCCATCACTTGACACCTACATACCCGCACACATCCGTGCACCCTCCGTTTTCAAAATGCCTGCTCCATCAACAGCAACAAGCTCCCGCGGCCGTGGCGGCAAATTTAAGAAGTATACCCGTGGAGGTATGTTCCTTGGGCAGCTCGCATACCTTTCCAAAGAAGTTACCTTCTTATTCGACCTCAATGCTAACAATCTGTCCCGCTAGGTGGCCGACACTTTTCTCGCGATCTCCAACCCGCCGATGCCGAAGGTAACAAGGTCAGCATGTGGAGTCCCGACGCCCAGCACAGTGACGAAGACGACGAGTCCTCAGAGGGGTCCTCTGACGAGGACGTGGGTAAGGCCGTGCCCGCGGCCGAGGCCAGCCGTGAGGACCGCAAAGCACAGAAAAAGGCCAAGAAGCAGGCCGCGATAGCCAAGTCCCAGGGTCACTCCGTTGAGGTCGGGGACATGCCCTCGAGCGACGAGGACAGCGATGAGGACATGCCCGCCAACCCCAACCACTCCAAGGCCGCGCGTAAGCAGACGGCCGTCGCCACCAACGACGAGGTCGAGGAAATTACCGATGGCGTCGCCAAAATCAGCACCCCCGGTAACCGCAAGGAGCGCGAGGCCCTCGAGGCCCAGGCCGCCAAGGAGCGCTACATGAAGCTCCAGGCCGAGGGCAAGACTGACCAGGCCAAGGCCGACTTGGCCCGTCTCAAGCTCATCCGCGAGCAGCGAGCCGCTGAGGCTGAGCGTCGGCAGGTAAGCATAATTTCTCTCCCTCCGACGCCAACATGATGTACGGCAGAGACGGCTGACCCGCTCGTAACACCAGGCTGAGAAGGAGGAAAAGGAGGCCCAGGACAAAGCCCGCAAGGCCGAGGTCGATGCGCGAGAGAAGAAGCTGCGTGAAGCTGCTGCTGCTCCTAAGAAGGGCAAGAAGAAATAAGCCAATCGCTTGCAGCAGAGTGGTCTTGGGCGGCCTTGGGCGCTCGCCCAGAACCCGTGTATATATTAGCCGTGCAATCGCAAATTTCAGCCTTCGACAAGTCAAGCAATTGAATTGTAACGAGCCAAATCTGATGATCCAATTATACCAATTACTAGGCGGTATGCCCTTGCCTAGACCGTTTGTTCTAATCATCTTGCTTTGTGCGTGGTATTGTGTTGCACGACGCGGTGGCATGCCTACTAACCATCACTTGCGCACCAATCGAGCAGTTCCTCGTCGTTATATCGAAAGACACAACAATCGAACAATAAAGGCACTTTTTCCATATCATTCCATTCGCCAACTCGTAAACACAGTCTGCGAAAGTCGTTGGAGTAGAATTAGCCAGGTCTCTTATCGATTACCCCACACTAAGGCCAGCGGCTCAGCCACTCAAGAGCCGCCTCCAGCAAATGTCGACGAAAACTTCCCTGCCCGCCAAAAAAAATCCGCCTCCAGTCGCCGACCGCCTTAACCACCATCCACGAACCGCTGTTGTGAATATTTTTGCGGCGCGTGATTTTGGCGGTGCTATAGTAATACACAGCATCATATCAGTTCTGCCGAAATTGTCAGCATGGCGGAAGCATCGCTGCAGGTTCGTGTGCACCCGTTTCACTGCAGGCATGCAACCTGCTTGCCGCCCAGCTCCTCGATTTTTATTCTACGGCGTGAGCTGGGCAGGCGGACGCACTGCAGACTGCAAGCTGATAAGTCGACTATAGGATCGCTTGCGCGACCACGCAAAGGCTTTTGACGGTCTTTTGAGTCTTATCCCGGCCAAGCAGTATTACGGAGAAGACAACAGTGTACGTTAATCCTCAGCTTCAAGGCTTGCTCCATTGGCTCGGCACACCCCTTCGGACCACTGCAAGTGTTTTTCCATCGTCTCTCTTACTGACAATATTTGTATAAAGGACCAATGGAATAAGAAGAAACAAACGAAAAAGGAAGCCGCCGCCGCCCGCCGAGGAAGACTTGATCCCGACAGCGAGCTGAACAAGAATGCAAAGGAAGTCATGGATGAGCGTGCCCGCAACAAGCGCAAGCAGCGCCAAGAAGATGAAGACGAAGAAGAAGAAGAAGAAGAAAACGGCGAAGACGATGCTCTCGTTGCCATGGAGGGTGTTGAGGCTGAACAGCCGGGTCAAGGCTTGCGAAAGGCTACCGAAAAGCCGAGCAAGAAGCAAAAGGTCGAGCCAGAGAGAGACGACGATGAGTCCGGTGTCGAAGCCGATGTCGCAGTGGAGGATGAGGCTCCCGCAACTGAGCAGTCAAAGCTGTCCAAAAAGGAACAAAAAAAGGCCGCCAAGCGCGAGCGCAAAGCCGAAAAGAAGACTGCCAAGAAACGCGGAGACGACGAACAAACATCAAGCGCAAAGTCTTCCAAGGACCAAGAAGCTAGCGAGACTTCCAACGCAAAGACGCAAAAATCCAAGAAGGAGGCTAAGGCCGCCGCCAAAGCCGCATTGAACGAGGACGAGGCCATGCCCGATACTAAAGAACCTTCTGGCTTTGCCGCAAATCTCGACGTCGCTGGCCTTGATGCCAAAGACGACTCCGAAGCCATCTCGGAGCCTCACTCTCCCACGTTCGACGCTGCGGAGCCTGTGAGCACCACCACTTCCGTCTCCTCCACTATCCCTCCCTCAGAAAAGCCCAAGCACATTGTGATGCCCAAAGACACGTCGGCGCTCAAGGCGCGCCTGGCCGCCAAGATTGAGGCGCTGCGCGCGGCCCGCAAGGCCGACGGCCCGGATGGCAAGCCAATCCGCACGCGCCAGGAGCTCATCGAGGCGAGGCGCGAGAAGCAGACGCAGCGCAAGGAGCATAAGAAGGAGCTGCGACGAGTCGCTAAGCTGGAGGAGGAGCGCAAGCGCGAGGAGGCGCTCGCATCCAACTCTCCCGGTCTCATGAGCCCCGCCGTCGAGGAGGGCAACTTTTCTTTTGGCCGCGTCGCCTTTGCCGACGGCTCCCAAATGTCGCACGACCTTGGCTACGTGCTCAACCAGGGCCGGCGCAAGGGCCCCTCGGACCCCAAGACGGCGCTCCTCAAGGTGCAGAACCAGAAGCGGCGCCTTGAGGAGATGGATGCCGAGGCCCGCGCGGATATTGCAGACAAGGACGCCTGGCTCACGGCGCGGCGCCGCGCCGAAGGCGAAAAGATTCGCGACGACGAGGCGACGCTCAAGAAGACTATCAAGCGCAACGATGCAGGCAAGAGGAAGAGCGAAAAGGCGTGGGCAGACCGCATCCAGGGCGTGTCGCGCGCGCAAAAGGAGCGCGTCAAGAAGCGAGAGGACAACCTGCGCAAGCGCCGCGACGACAAACTTACAGGCAAGGCGGGAAAGAAGAAGAAGGGCGCCGCGGGCGGCGGTGGTAAGAAGAAGGGTGGGAGACCTGGTTTCGAAGGCAGCTTTGGTGTGGGCGGACGCAAAAAGTAAGGAGCTGTTGCTGTGTCGTTGTTTTCGGTGCAACCTTGTCGGGTTTTCATTTTATTTATCACGAGAAACAGCAGGAAAAGAGTCCTGTATTACACACTATGGGCGGCTGCGAAGAAGAAAAGATGAGCAAACCATGGCATTTGTGGTTGCCATGTTTGAAAATTTGCCTGGCGTTTCCGGGGTCTTGCTGTCATTTTCTTGTTGCATTGCGCGTTTTTGTATCGCATGGGCTTGTTTATACACAGCCATCTTGTTTCTTTTGTTCCTTTTTCTTTTCCAGTCTTGCCGTGTTTATAGCGTCATGATGTGACCAGGGACAAGGACAGACATTCTGAAGCGACACATGACGGTCGTCTTGTGTACGGAATCTACAAGGTTTAGTGGAAATAGGAAGAAAATAGAAAAGTCAAATCTACACAAGACGCTGCATGTCCAGAACGATTGTACTCTGATACCACTGGTTTGCTTTATTGCCCTGTCTTGCAGAAGCACAGGTGTGGCAGGATTTGACATGAACCTTTACACCCAAATCTGAACAAGAGAATGCAAGCAAGCACGCAAGCACGCAAGCACGCAAGCAATATTGAGAAGCAGAAGAGAAACCATCAGAAATAATGGATGCTGACTATGCCTCGTATCTGTTAAAAAACCACTTGTCTAAAGAAATCTCCCCATACCCGTCCTCCTCCAATACCTCATACAAACCACAAAAGTACACTTCACGTGCTTTTGCCACAGGATACCAGGACGGAGAGACGCAACAGCAAAAGAAGAACAAACGAACAAAAGCGGCGGACAATGAAATCAATATAAAAAAAGAAATAGGTCCAAAACCTAGCCAGAATGTAGAGTGCTTTGAGAAACTCGGATGAGAAAGATGCAGAGTTTGGGGTGGTCGTGGTGAGAATTAAGAGTGAGTATATAAGTAGGTAGAGCCAAGTTTCATCTGTTTTTCTTTTTGCGCCAGTCGGCTTTCTATCACCCCAGCCTCTTTCCTTGTTTCAAAGAGAAAAAGGCAGAGAATGAAGATTGATGCGCCGAGGTTTCTTCGTTGTTTTGTTATATCCATGGCACGCAAAAACAAACCCTACAGCCCTTTCTGCCGAGAGACTCTACTTGGAGGAGGGTTTCTCAAATTGATCGTCGCGGGAGGAGTCAATGTCTTGTTCGTCGTCGTGGGAGGCATCAATGGTCTACAAAAGCGAGTCGAGACGGGTGAAAACGCTCAAGCACGCGGCCACAACCTCCAGTTGCAGTTCTCTGTCCTTGGCCTTGCTCATCTCCTATTGCATACCGTTAGCATGTGTCCACCCACATCAAAACCCCATTTGTCTGTCTCAGAAGCCATCATACCTCGCCAATAACTTGCGGCAGGTTGGCGCCGATGCCGTTGGTCGTCGCCTTCTTGCCAAAGGGCCATTGGCTGTAATCTGCGAGCAGCTCGTCCGTCTGGGCAAACGCACGCTCGCGGGCCTCGTGGCCGAGCGTCGACAGCGCATTCTCTAGGACATTGGCGGCGTAGGCGGCGCACACCATGCAGATGGTGCGCAGGTAGCGGAGCTCGAGGCTCTCGGGCAAGAATTGGCTGTCGCCGAGCACGACGGTGCGCTGCGTCAGGACGTTGCGCACGCGGCGGCGCAGCTCCTCCTTGGCGCCGCCGTCGGCAACGGGGTGCGTGGCCATGTCGAAGAGCAAAAAGTTGCGCTTCTCGGTGCGTAAGATGCCCTTATCGACGAGGCCCTTGGCCAGGCGTTCGCGGACCTGCTTAAGCTGGTATCCAATCTTCATCAAATTCCACGTCTCGCCTGTTCGTGTCAGAAACAAAGTTAGCCTTGCCGATAATGGGGTACTGAAGAAAGAAGCGAAGAGCAGTCGTACCACTCATCAGGTCAATCCACGAGCTGACGCTCATCTTTTCACTCTGCTTCATCATCTTAAGGGCCTCGTCGAGGAGGACCTCACCCGTCAGAGTATCGTCTATCACTTCAATGTTGCGATCAGCGGGGGGGAAGCGTCGTCGCGAGGGGTCCTTTTCCATGCTGATGCGCCCGCGAAATGCCAGCTCTAGGACGATGCATCCTCGCAGCGCATAGGAAATGTTGTCGTTCCAGAAGGAGAGGTAGCCCTGCGAAATTGACGGATTAGAGGCGCGCGATTCCGACTGGGGTCGGGGAAAGGGTGGCCGAGTGCTGCCGCGCCGCAACTCGGCCCAGAGTTTGGTCTGCCGAGAGTCCTTACCTGCTTGTCCTTGAGTCCGAGCAGGAGAATCTCCTCCATCATGGTCAGCTTCGGCTGCTTGCTGCGCTCGGCGCTTTCGCTCATATCTCGGGGATCAAAGGCAATCTTGTGGCCGTTCTCGCCGCTTTCGTAGCTCGTCTCGGGGCCATTATCCTTGACGTTGTAGGACGAATTAGTCCTGGAGGCGGCGTTGCTGCCCTCGCCGCCGTCGTTGGCGACCGGAGTGCCAGCACCGCCAGCGCCGCGGCGTCTCGTGAGGCCTGAGCTGGACATTTCCGCGGTCTGGAAAGCAACAAGGTAGCGGGTTGCTGATGGGTGTGAGGGGGGATAATGGAATAATGCGGTGTCGAGTGTGGCTCGGCTGTCGAAGTGTGCGTCTGCCGTTCTTTTTTTTTTTTTTGGTTCTCTTGGTTGTTGAGGAAGCGGGACGGCGCCAGGGACCTCGAACTGAAGATGGCTTACGCGGAAGGGGACTGGCGGCCGGTATAGTGGCTACGTGGTAAGGTCGTGCACGGCCGAAAAGGATGACGGAGACGGGAGGAGGGACTCGAGGGATGGGCGACGGCGCACAGTTTGATGGCGATGTTTTTTTTTGGACGAGCAGTTGTGGTCAGAGGTTTCGAGAGCCCTGGGCAAGCAGAGTGAGGCTGGTGAGTAGCGGCGAGGACGAAGGACCAAGGTACTCCGTAAGGATAATAGCAGGAAAAAGATCAAAAAGGGTTGGCCAACTTGGTTTGGTTTAAGGCTTTGCCGGCGCGTGTCGTGGCTGGCTTTGGTGGGTTTGAATGGAGGGGCCTTGGGGCCATCCAGGGGCTTTCTCCAGTCACAATTGCTGGGGGTGCCTTGAAATGAATTGATTGCTTTGCATTCCTTCTTTTTAAAAAAATTGTTCTCTTCTTACCTCGTAATTTGCAATCGGTTTGGACCCTCTTGGAAAAAATGTCAGATGTCGCGCGGCCGTTTTATGGCAAACCTCGGCGACTCTTGCCCCGTACCAATATATTCCCTTATCACCAAGTTAGGTACCTATCAATATCAAGGCAGGGCTTCGGCTACCCCTAGGCCTAGGTACCAAATAGTTAAGAACCCCGATTGCTACTTTTCATCTCGTACAGCAACCGGGCTGCGGCCAGATCCTCCCCAAAACACGCCTGTTCCGCAAATTTAGATTAATGACGGGTCACGTCATGGTCATGGCATATGCATATTGTATAGCCATCCCCCGCTTAGCCGCTGGTCTGTGTTGTCTAATGTAGCTGTCTGCCACACTCTTCAGTCCAGCTTGTCGAGATCCTCGCCAACCGTGTCCTTCCACAGCTTGTCAAAGTCGACGCCTTGTCCCTCAAACAGCTCGCGAATCTTCTTTGCAGCCACCTCTTGCTTCTCAGGCCCAAAGCCACCCGGCTGCGTTGCCTCAAATTGGACAATTTCGACCCAGCGGTAAAACAGATCCTCTTTGCCCATGGCCGACAGAGCATCGCGAAACCCAAAAACTTGCCGTCGCTTCTCCTCCTCCTCGGTCGAAGCCCCCAGCTTCAGGTCGTACCTCAGCCACCCATAGTCTTGGTGGTGTACCAGAACCGCGTTCCTAAACACATCCAGCGCCGCCTCCTTCTTGTCCACCATCCTGTGCGCCCTCACCATCAGCTTCCAGTCCAGGTCCCAGTTGTTGTTCATTAAGAGATAGCCCGTTTTTTGCTCCTGCAGCATCGGGGCCGTCGCCTGCGCCACGTAGCCCGTAAAAATCCGGTTCGAATCTCGCTCCTCAATGACGTCGCCCAAAACTGCCTGCCAGTCTCGGCTGCGGCGCACGTAAATTTCCTTCTCCCGGAACCCGACTGCCCATCGCCACTTGACCGGGCTGCCATGTGTCTGCCCGGCAACAAATTCCACAGGCCACGGCCACACAAAGATGAAGAGCATGAGGTCAATGAACATGCTGAATCCGCGCTTGCCAATCTCCCAGCCCAGATCCGACCACGTCGACGTCGTTTGACCCGGAAAGCTGGAAGGGTGCTGAACCATTGCCTTTACCAGGATGGTAAAGTAGTACGGCAGTATATAGTACATTCGGAAGACAAAGGCAGCCGCGACAGCAATATTCATGAGGACCGGAACGACAAAGATTTTGCGCTTGAACTCAGCCGGCTTTCCGTCAATGTGTGCAACGTAGACGTGCTTCTTCGAAAGTCCCTTTGTGAATGGCTCAAGCACTTCGGGCACTTTTTGGAACGGATCTGGGGGCTCGCCATCCCTCCGCGCGCTAGTAGACGCTGTTAACTTGGCTGAACGCTTTTTTGGAGGCATGGCGAACGAATGATTGATGTGTCGTAGAAAGGTGCAATGGCAACGTTGGCTGTGAGAAACGGGGCAGATGCAAAGAGTCCAGTTCACCTTGCAGCTGCAGCAATGGAGCTGGCTCGAGTAATGCGGCAGGAAAGTCTAAAGCCGATTGTCAATTCGAGATTCGATTATTTGAACATCTTTTGATTTGAATCAATCAAAAGGTTGCAGCTTACAAACTACGAACAGCATTGAGGACCATTGACCCCCTTCCGGACTATCCCTGCCCCCGAGCTAGAAAAACTCCACAGGCCTTCCAATGTTATTTCGGCCCTACCTACCTAGGTACCTAAGCTGCTAAGTAAATATTTAGCTAACAAGCTGCATTATCGCATTCTGCTTTGTGCATCTGCGAGCACCTACAACGCCGTCAATCTGCGTCATCTCCATTATGCTGAGGGCGCATGCGTGGCAGGCAAGCAGACCGGCCGACCTCTTTGATATTGCTAGGCTAAAATTACAGCAGCGACGCCCATTTGTGTGCACAGTATGCCGACATGGCCGCTCTGTCGCCCAAATTATACCAAGCACAGCAAAGGGTGTGGGCATTTCCAAAGGTGTCGCATCGCCACATACCACAAGATTGGTGAGCACACGGCTCTTTTCGACCTCGACCCCTCACAGAAATGACGCCAAACCGGCCTTTCCCGGCGCTTTTGCCGGCGCCGCTGGTAAATTCGGCGCTTTCGCATCCAAAGCGAAGCCCGCTGCAACGTCGGGGCTACTTCCACACGAACTTGCAGCGCGCAAAACAGCCACAGTAGAGTCAGCAAAATCTACTACATCAACTAGCAATACCGGACAAGCGAGATCTCGGCCAGCCCAAAAATCTCGGTTCGCAGACGCCGCCAGAGACGAAAGGACATCAAAATCCAAGTCTGTCCTTGCCGACATCTTTCGATCCGACCGCCAGCCGCAAGATCCGGTCACCGCGACTTCTTGGTCCCCCAAGAATCGAAAAGGGCACGGAAACGACGCCAGCAAAAAACATGGCGACTCCAATATCTGGGATGAGCTCACAAAAAAGAAGAAAGACCCTGTGGCGCATGGTAAAGGGGCCTCAAAGTCAAGGCTGCTGAAGACGGCTTCAGGAAAGAACTCTGAAGATTCGTGGGCCGACTTGGACACCCAAGAGTCACCGGAAGCGCAGGCCAGTCGGAATGCGCAAAGGCGACAAATATCCAAGAAGACGCACAGTCACCCATCGCACGTCGGTGACGACCTGGATCCCAATGGTATTTTGACGGACTCGACAAATCCGAAAAAGTTGAAGTTTAACGAGGCGTTACCGAGCAAGGACGGTAAAAAATCAAAAAAACCAAAGCGCCAGGGAGGCAGCCGAATCAACGCTGAAGAGGATTGGGAAGACGACGCTGATTATTGGGAGGACCTTCAACAGCGTAAAAAATCAAAGGAAGCACGCAAAGCCGCAAAAGCCAAGACACCTGATGCGTTACCCATCTTTCTTCCAGAGTACATCAGTGCCACTGACCTGGCACAATCTCTGAAACAGCCTATATCTCAGTTCATGGCCGACATGGAGGAGATGGGCTTTGAAAACGTTACAGGCGACACCGTCATGACCGGTGAGACGGCTGCACTTGTTGCTATGGAGTATGGCTTCGAACCTACAGTCGACAACGGTTCTCGGCGAGACTTGCAGCCGGCGCCAGCCCCCGAAGATGTGTCTTCTTTGCCTTCGCGACCTCCTGTTGTGACCATCATGGGCCATGTCGACCACGGCAAGACGACCCTGCTCGACTATCTGCGCAAGTCCTCCGTGGCTGCGCAAGAGCACGGCGGTATCACACAGCACATCGGTGCATTTATTGTCAGCATGTCCAATAGCAAGCAAATCACATTTCTCGACACACCGGGCCACGCGGCCTTCTTGTCTATGCGTCAGCGTGGCGCCAATGTCACTGACATTGTCGTTCTCGTGGTGGCGGCCGACGACAGCGTCAAGCCGCAAACTCTCGAGGCCCTCAAGCACGCAAGAGCATCCAAGGTGCCTATTATCGTGGCCATTAACAAGGTTGACAAGGAAGACGCTCGCATTGATCAAGTCAAGGCCGACTTGTCGCGCCACGGTGTCGAGATTGAAGACTATGGCGGTGACGTGCAGGTTGTATGCGTCAGCGGCAAAACCGGCCAGGGTATGAACGAGCTCGAGGAAAACATCATCACACTATCAGAGGTTCTCGATGTCCGTGCCGAACCCGATGGCATGGCAGACGGCTGGATTCTAGAGTCTAGTGTCAAGGCAAACGGCAAAGCCGCCACGGTCCTCGTCAAGCGCGGCACCCTGCGTGTGGGTGATCACATCGTCGCGGGCAAGACATGGGCGCGCATCCGTCTGCTGCGCAATGAAGCCGGCGCGGAAATCTCCGAAGCTCCCCCCGGCACCCCCGTCGAGATTTTCGGCTGGCGCGAGTTGCCAGCGGCGGGTGAAATGGTGCTGCAAGCGCCCGACGAGGGCAAGGCTAAGACGGCCGTCGAATACCGTGTGGAGATGGCGGACCGCGAGGCCAACTCAGCCAACATTGCGGAGCAGGAGCAGCGGCAGCGCGAAAAGGCGGCCGCCGACGCCCTGGCTGCTGAGCGCGCCGGCCTTGGTGACGATGCGGACGGAGACGCGCGGCCCGCGGAACCCGGCGTGATGACGCAGAGTTTCATCGTCAAGGCCGATGTGGCGGGCTCCGTTGAGGCCGTTGTCGGCAGCATCCTGGAGCAGGGCAACCACGAGGTGCGCTCCAAAGTGCTGCGGTCATCAGCGGGCCAGGTCACTGAGTACGACGTGGACCTGGCGGCGGCGTCGGGTAGTCTCATTGTCAACTTCAACACGGCGGTACCGCCGCACATCAAGCAGCGCGCCGACGACGCAGGCGTGCGCATCATGGACCACACCGTTATCTACCACGTCGTCGACGACGTGCGCGCCGCGCTCGGTGACCTCCTCCCTCCTCTCGTCACGCAGCGCGTGCACGCCGAGGCCGACATTTTGCAGGTGTTTTCCATCAACGTCACGCGTCGCGTGGTGCGCAACATTGCGGGGTGTAAAGTGCGTAATGGCTCGCTGAAGAAGGGCAGCAAGGTCAAGGTCCTGCGCAAGGGTGAGGTTATCTACGATGGTACGTCTCTTATTTTCTCACTCTGGATTCATTAGCTAAAATTATTTTCTTGTTTTGCAGGTACGATTGACACAATCAAGCACGGCAAAAAGGATGTGCAGGAGATGGGCAAGGGCACAGAGTGCGGCATCGGTCTGGACGGCTTTGAAGAGTTTCAAGAGGATGACCAGCTACAGACGTACGAAGTCCTCTCGGAGAAGCGCCAGTTGTAGAGGGCGGGCATGTATCATATGTAAAACACTGTAAAAAGAAGGCGCAGAGTATTTGTAGCGGGATATCATGGATGTATTATAGACTTTCATCTGCCAATGCCATCTCTCATGAATACCGAGACTGCATTGCTTCAATCACATTGACTCATAATAGCTTTCATTTGCTAATGCTCTGGTGGCCATGGCCGCGGAAAACACAATGCACCTCATCCCGTAATGGGGGTGACAGGCTCTTCATGTGCCTGCCATTCCTCACTACCAGCGAGACGGCGCCGACACGACATTCGACGAAAACGTCCTGCTTGTAATGGCCGCCTGCGCCCTCTCCTTTTCCAGCTTCGACAGGCCGATCCTATCCGTCACGGGCGTCGCATCAATGATATTGTCAAACTCGTCATCACTGGCTACTTCTTCGTCGCCGCCGTCGCCATTGTCCGAGTCGGGCTCGACGCTGTGCTCGGTCAGCTTCTGCTGCGGATGCGCTATCCTCGCCGGCTTGGCCTTGCGGTCCTCTTCTTCCTCCTTGTCGTTTTGCGTATTGACAAAGGTCTTGGAGGCCAGCACCTTGCGGCGAATCTCTTCCATGACCAAGTCGTCGTCGCTGTCGTCGGAAATGGCAAACGGATCCTTGTCATCTTCCTCCCCCTGTATCTCCAGCGGGCGCTTTCCTAGATATATCCCGTCTACACTCCCTTGTTCCACCTCTTCATCATCCTCCACCTCCTCATCCTCATCCTCGTCGTCGGAAGGATCCAGCCGCCGATGATTCGTGTTGCCGCTCGCCCATACATCATCCCCCATCTCTCTACTCTCCGTATACTCTCGCTCCAGCTGCGCCATCCACTCCTCCTCGGCCCTCTTGACGCTCGCCGCATCCGTACACGCCGCATACTTGTCCAGGAGCGCTTTGTTAATCTCCAAAAACGACGGCCCGTACGAAAATGACTCGAGAACCTGCTCTGCCCACTCGGCATGCCCGCAAATGTAGAAAGCCGCCGCCAGCGCCTCGGCGCAGTTGAGCCGCCACGGCTTCCCGTAGTTGACCGTGTTGGCCGCCACGAGATACGGCAGCAACCGCTCGCACTTGCCGCCGACTTTGCCCCACGGCACCTCTTTTGTGCGCGCCCATGAGCACTCGACGACGGCCGCGCCAAATTGGTCTATGAGTGCGCTGTCGTCGGGCGACACCACCTGCTTGCCGTTGGGCGTGATGATGACGCCGTTGTGCCGCTGGCCCACGTGTAGTTCCCGCATCAGGCCCAGACGCATCAGCTTCTTGCCCGAGCACCGCTTCGGGTCGCAGTGGCCCAGGTCCCAGCACGCCGCCTTGAAGGGGGGTCTGGCGCGCGTGCTGCCGCCGCGCTCATCCTCGCCGTTCGCTGGTCTGTCGTCGCGGGGTCGTGACGAGCCGCCGCCACGACCGCCGCCGAATTTCTTGCCGCGCCCGGCAAAGTCTTTTTTGTGTCGCACCATGACTGCTCTGATTTAAACAGGGGCTCTTTTCCACTGAATTGAGCAGGTAATACGTTCTTGTTGTGAATGATGTGCAAGGTCGGGCAACTTTTTGGATGGCAGTTGCGAAAATCGTCTAGCCCCGCCGTTCACCCCACCTTGATATAGGCGCCTCTGTTGGTGTGGATGGCGAAGCGCAGCTGATGTCAAGGTGAGAGGAAGAGTTCAATCTTGGATTCTGTAGAAATCTATGTAATGTGTAGGATATATAGATTTGCCGACTTATTCTCTCTCTTTTTTTTTTTTTTAACAACTTCGCTCCCAAAAGTACCCCGGCCTGCGGCTCTGCGCGCCACCGCCCCAGCCTGCGTGGGTGTCCACAAGGAGGGGAGCCTCCAGGCGAGCTAGAATCTCGGCTCGTCATCATCATCGAACTGCGAAGGGGGTTATCGGGGAATTTAACGGCCGCTTCTCTACATTGCCGCGCATCGACCGCCCTTGGGTCATCTCTCTACACCTCATATTCTTTCACCGTTCTAGCCGACAGCGAGCGCCAGCGTGACCCGACACCCCTGTCCACGACCTCCCTCCTTGCCCTCTCCTCGATCCGCACATCACCACCAGACAAACCCCGCACACGATGGAGGCCGCCTCTGCGCGTGCGGCAGCTCGCGACCGCTGGGGCGAGTACGGCGGCCGGACGCCGTCGCAGCTGGAGCGCTACATCCACTCGGCGTGCAGCCCGGACAACTACGAACCCAACCTAGCGCTCAACCTCGAGATCTCGGACCTGGTCAACCAGAAGAAGGGCGCCGCACCGCGCGAAGCTGCCACCGCCATTGTCAACTTTGTCAACCACCGCAACCCCAACGTCGCCCTGCTCGCTCTCGCCCTACTCGATATTTGCGTCAAGAACTGCGGCTACCCCTTTCACCTGCAAATCAGCACCAAGGAGTTCCTCAATGAGCTCGTCCGCCGCTTCCCCGAGCGCCCGCCGCTGCGCGCCACGCGGGTTCAGGCCAAGATTCTCGAGGCCATTGAGGAGTGGCGCATAACCATTTGCGAGACGAGCCGCTACAAGGATGACTTGGGCTTCATTCGGGACATGCACCGGCTGCTGAGCTACAAGGGCTACATGTTTCCCGAAATTCGACGCGAGGATGCCGCGGTGCTAAATCCAAGTGATGTTTGTTGTCCATTCTTGCTCCAGCCATTTCCTTTTGTCTCATGCTTATCATTCGTCAGAACCTCAAATCCGCCGAAGAAATGGAAGAAGAGGACCGCGAGGCCCAGTCCGCCAAGCTGCAGGAGCTTATCCGCCGCGGCACCCCCGCCGATCTACAGGAAGCCAATCGCCTGATGAAGATTATGGCTGGCTATGATACGCGTTCCAAGACCGACTACCGCGCCAAGGCCGCCGAGGACGTGTCCAAGATCCAGGCCAAGGCGCGTCTCCTCGAGGAGCGCCTGGAAGCGTTCCGGCCCGGCGACAAGATGACCGACGGCGACGTTTTCAGCGAGCTCGCCTCGGCGCTGCAGAGCGCGCAGCCCAAGATTCAGAAGATGTGCGAGGAGGAGTCGGACGATCACGAGGCTGTCGCCAAGCTGCTTGATATCAACGACAGCATACACCGCACCGTCGAGCGCTACAAGCTCATGAAGAAGGGCGACCTCGAGGGCGCCGCCAAGGTGGCCGCCGGCGGGCCCGCGCCCTCGCAGACGGCGACGGTAGCCGCCGGACCGGCGGGTGAGCTCTCGCTGATTGACTTTGACGCCGACGCAGCCGAGGCCAACGGCAGCAGCTCGGCGCAGCCCGGTGGCGCAGCTACGCAGGGCATCGAGAACGACCTCCTCGGACTGGACATTGGTGGGAGCTCCGGCAACTTTGGTCAGGGCGGCAGCATTGCGCTTGGGTTTGGCGCCAATCAGAGTACGTATCCCAACTTGCGAACATTACGTCTTCCGTAACTAACCAGCTTCAGATATCCCCGGCCCTGCGCTGCTCTCCTCATTAACAGACAACAGCACCGCCAGCACCAACAACACTACCATGCCCGCCTCGAGCAGCAACCTCAGCAACCAGTTCATGTCATTTGCGTCCCCATCCGCATCGCAGTCTACCACACCCAACCCCACCGCCCCCGCCATCGCCGCCCCCCCTCCTCCATCTGCCTCTGATCCCTTTGCGGCCTTCATGTCGCAGTCCAGCAACAGCAGCGCCGCCGGCAAGCAACCCGCTGCCGCTGAAGACGACGAGTGGAACTTTTCCTCTGCGCTGCCCGAAACGTCCACAGCGCAGCAGCAGCTGCCGCGCGAGCACCGGGGCATCATCACTGACGGCAGCATCCGCGCCGAGTTTCTCGCCAACCGCGCAACAGCGTCGTCATCCGCGATTGACATGGTGTTTTCATTTTCGAACAATACGGCGCAGCCCGTCTCGGAGCTACATTTCCAGCTCGCCGTAACAAAAGTATGCCGCTCCTCTTCCTACTATTTCTTGTAGAGAAGAATAGAAGACAGAACTGGATCGGGAAAGAAGGAAGCTAATATTAAAACAAACAGGGCTACGAACTCAAACTTAAACCTCAAACGGGCCGTGACCTCGCCCCCAAACAGAGCAAAGGCATCACGCAGCACGTCGCCATTCATCACGCTGGCGGCGGGGCGTCGTCGCAAAGGGTCGAATCGGCCAAGCTGCGATGGCGGGCGGCCTACAAGGTGGGCGGCGAGCAAAAGGCAGAGACGGGAGAGATTTCTGAGTTTAGCATTGCGTGAGGGGGAATAATGAATGAAGGAGGTTGCTGCCAGGTGCTTTTTTAGATATGTTCTCGTTATGTGTATTCAAGATGGTGGATCAAAATATTGGCTGCAAATATTTGTTTCTTGCGTCTTATTTCTGAGGGAAGGAAGAAGACTCGAGCATCTCATTTCACTCCATCTCACAAACTCACTCGCTCCGTCCCAAGAAATTCACACTGCAGTGATGAGCAATCATTACAAGAGTCACATATATGGGGAAATTAGAGTTTGTATTATGATAAAAGTAGAACATGTCGAGCCATGCATCAACGCCAAACCTGCACAGAAGCATTCGGCTCTAGTACCACAACCTCTCTCATTTACCAGATCAATCAACCTCCATGCTCGTCTCACAAGTTCGCAGCAACAGACAAAAGATAGCGGGCGACGAGCCCACTAGCAGCAATCGTACAAAGAGTACTGAAGCAAAAAAGAACAAAAACCGCAGCCGTAGCGAGACAACAAACAGAAACCATGACCTACAACAACATAGTAAACTCCGTCAGCCGTAGATATGGATTGCGGCGGTCATGAGAGAAAATGGCATGATATCGACCGAAACTCCCTTTCCCTTTCCCTAATCTCACGCTCTGGTAAAGGTGAAACGACTGATCAAGCCCAACGCAATGATGAAATAAAGGAGAGAAACTCCAACAGATGCAAAATGACTCCTCAGGAATGCAAAATAATACACAGTTCCTCGCGTTACAGTGTCCGACAACCCACTTAAACGCCAAGCTGAATCGGCGCCGGGTTAGGCACAACATAGTTGCTCGTTGGCGTTCTGGGAACTTGGGCCATGGAATCGCGCTCCGCCTTTTCCTTTTCGCGCAGCAGCCTCTCGGCCTTTGAGATCCGCGGCTTGCGGACTATGCCACCGCGAGACCCCGGCCCGCCGCCCCGACCGGTGCCGGCGCCGCGCGTCGCGCCTCCACGTCCACCACGGCTGCCACGACCGCCGCGGCCACGTCGAACAGGACCTTCAGTACTGTAAAGTGGTTAGTTCGTATTCGTAAAAGATGGTGAAGATTAGAAACATACCCAGCTGGGGGCTTCTCAACCTCGGGCACCAGCGGCCCCGAGTAGACGAAGAATCCGTCACGACTGGCGGCGGCCTGCGCCTCCCAGAGCATCTCTGAGTCGTCTACAAACTCATCGTCGACATCGTACTGATCCTCCTTGAAATTACGCTTCTTCTTGGTGGGCTTGGGCTGGTTGTCAGTGCCGCTGGCGCCAGCGACCTCGGGGTTGCTACCCTCGCCGTCGGACAGGTCCACGGACATTTCGTCTCCAGATTCTCTACCCGATTCGATCCTTTCAAGGTTGGCCGCAGCTGCGGCAATACGCGCTTTGCGATCTCGGTTGGCCGCCAGGCGGGGGTGCAGAGCGTCCCAGCCATAGCGGTCTTCTGCGAGTCGCAAGAAGTTGACATATTTGTTTGTCTCGCCGTGGACGATGGGGATGCTCAAAACAATAGTGGGCACATCAGCCTCCTCGCCTGGTTTGGCTTTACCAAAGTCGAGGATGGAGCGGCCATCTCCTTCAGTTCCAAGTTCGTCCATGTCTGTTCTGGGTGTGGATGCGCCAGTGTGCTTGGGTGACACTTTCCTTACGGGACCGTTGGCGATCGTTGTGAAGTTCGACGGGTTGACGACGGGCCGAGGCACATCGAGGGCGTCTGACTTTTCTGGAGCCGGACGAGCAGCAAATGGCCGAGGCGGTTGATTTGAGGGAGAAGCCTGCAAGGGTCTATCGTCCGATAGACGGGACGCAGGGTACCCGTTGTGCGAGTTAGAAGGCGACATGTTGGGAGCGGCGGGCTCCAGCAGACTGGCAATGGATGGAGATTTATTGGCGTTGGCGAGCGCTCTGGGGGAGCCCGAGGCGGGAGAGTATGGATTATGGGAGGGCGCATCGCGCGCAGGTCCCGAGATGCCCCGGATCGGATCATAGCTCTGGCCGCTGGTGCGAACAGGTACAGAGACAGCAGGTGGCGGATCGTCGTTGAGAATCTTCTGCATGGAACTGGGATAGCCTTCGCGCTTGGGCATCTTGGGCGAGGAACGAGCTTGCGTGGGAGAAGTTTGCAGGAAGCTGTGGGAGGTAGAGTTTGGTGAAGCGGCTGTGTGGGCGGGGGCTCGTGATACGTCGGAGTCATCCTGTTCCGTATCGGTGAGGGCAACCTTGCGCTTGCGCTGGATGAGCGGTGCATCAGATTCGCGCGGTTTCCTGGGCCGCTTCGTCTTGACCTCGGCATCCGTCTTGGGCTTGACATTGGCGCCGGGTTTGCGGCCGGGCTTTTTGCGCGGGACGCCAGCAGCCGTGAGCTGCACCCACTTGCCGTCAATCAAGTCATACTTCTTCTCCTGGAGCTTGCCGCCTACCATGACGGTGGAAACCTGCCGCGTTGGGGTCGGCGACTCATTTGGTTGGGAGCCAGGCGGCTGGTATTGTTGAAATGTGGTTTGCTGAGTGCGACGCTGGTCGTTGCTAACGACAATTTCGTCCATTGTATTGGGCTTTATGCGTTTGTGTGCGAGAGTCGGTCAGGATCAATGTCTGGTAGGTTGATGTGTGGCGGTCGCACGAGGCAGTGCGACACGAGCGGAGAGCCACCGACGGCGAGGAAAGGAGAAGAACAGGAGGGTTGAAAAAGAAGTATCGTCGTCGAAATTAGTCACACATGTAAAGGAGATCCAGACGAAAATGCAATGAACGAATGAGCGGTAGCTGGCGCTGGCCGCGTCGAAGTGCAGCTTGGACGAATGAGTGGCCTATCTGGATTGGCTGCAGCAGGGTTGCGTTGCTGTGCGGCCCAGTGTGGGTGGACGCGGCGCGGGCGAGGCGAGGGACGAGCCGTGATTGGCTGGGCAAGAATGACGCCTGGAGAAGGTGGGTCCAACGTAACAGTCGTGCTTGGGAATAGCCTCACTTGACCAGCAGCGACAGGCGCCAACGCCGAAAGAATCGCGAATAAACAGACGCGAAAAAAACGGCAAAGACGCGGTGATGGCGTCAATCCGAAGCGAGAAAATTATAGAGCAGGTGCTCAGGCACAAAAAGATGTGCTCAAATCGACGAATCGGATGGCGCGATGAATCGAAATAGATAAAATCGAAAAATCGATTGCAGCAATTTTGTGCTGATTTTTCTGCAGTGATGTGGTCGATGTGTAGGAGTAGAGAAGTGAGAAAGGGGGCGGGAATGGAACAGAAGGGGGGAAAGCGAGAAAGCGGATGGACGAGATGGGGCAAGTAAAAGGTCGGCTCTCTCTCTTTTTTTTTACTGGGCTCTACGGGCTTAGGGATGGTTACAATTGCTGGGACTTTTTTGCTGGATAATTGCTAGTTTGATAATAATATACGGGGGTGCCGTGGCGCTGAGCAAAGAGAAAGGGTAGTGGAATAAGAAGGAATCGTTGGGGTGGGATGGCAAGGCGGAATGAGAGAGGGGGGGGGGGGGGGCAAGAGAGGAACTGTTTAGACAGGAATAGGAAATACAACCAAGATACAGACACCAAACGAATAGACCCGCCAGACGGAACGCAAGATATACAAAGGTTGCAAGATGCAGGGTTGGCAAATCACCAGCGCAAACGGGTTGCGAGCCAGGTACCGACAGTCGAGGGCCTGTGCCAGAAATCAAGTATTTAGAAGGTAACTCGGAAGCCTTGGGCTAATGCCCATTGCCCAGTGTCAGGTGGCCTGGGGGGGCAGTCGGTATTTCAATTACGAAATGCGCCAGAGACAACAACGAGCCTATTTCTGCCGTGTGTGAGGGAAGCCCAAGTGAGAGAGAGGGAAAGAGTCGAGACGAAAAGCAGCCAAAAAGCACGGGGACGCACACAAAGCCTTTTTGAACGGGGGGGTGGGAGCGCCGCCCAGCCAGCAAGGGCGCCCCGCCGGCGCCGCTGCTCCCCAGGGGCCCAGGGAATAAATAGCCTAGCAATTCTTTATTTGGTTGTTTGGCAATTGGGCAGGCAGAACAAGCACGAGCTGGCCTGGGCGGGGAAAATGCAACCAACCGATGACCGACATGGAGGGGGGTGCCGTTAGTTCACCACCTACGATCGTCAGAGCACGGCACAGCCAGCACTATACAGCACGACATGCATTTTCGAAAAAAAATTCCTTGAGTCGTGTTCCATCTAAAATGCTTGCAACTTTACTCATCTCTTGATTCCATGACTATTCGTAGCCTCTTCCACCCACCAATACCTGTTTCGTCAACGAACCCCTCGCCACATGCCACACCACCCCCACCCCAGTCCCGGGTGGGACCCCCCGTTATCCTATCACTCTCCAGATAAGCGCGGCCACACGGCTTTCATCAGATACGCCTCGAACGTATAGTTAAAGAAAATTTGTGCGCAACTAATTCATTTCTGTCGGGGGAGAAGATTGAGATATTCGGAAAGCAGTGCTTGTATCCTCTAGAAATTGCACTCACTCGCCTATACCTTGGTAGATCTTTCTCACGCAAGCCCATCTACACCAAACTAGGCCCCAATCAGGTTTCTCTCCGTGTAACATCAATTCTTTGACTCGTCACACGCCGGCCACTATAACTGCTACTAAAATTCCCTTGACTTCCATTTCCGCTTTGAAAGCTCTATTTGGCTTTTCCTTTTCCATGGTTCCTACCTCGCTGCCTCGTATTGCCGCCTCACCTCTTCAGTCTCTACACGGCGGCGTTTGAGTATGTCCCCGTCGCTGCATGCGCCAATTTCGGCAGAGTAAAATATTGAATCTTCATCGCCTGCAACAAACACAGTGTGCGGTCTTTTTGTCCATCGTCAATTACCACAACTCAGATATATGCAAGTCAGGCTCCGTTCCCCAACCCCTCCCCGTTCGACTCTCACTCATGCAGCCATGCCCACCCAGCAGCCCACCCAGCCAGGCTCCGTCCCGTGTGAAATCTCGCCGCCAACAGATCGGCGCTAATGCAGGTGTGGCGGTGCACCCGCGTCTCAGGTTCACAAAAAGCTTATGACAACTTGCTCTTGCGATTTGGCCATTCTAGGAGATAATTTGCAGCGCGTGTAAATCCGATTCTGTAAAGCCGATTTTGAGGTCCTTTCATCGATCCTTTTATATAGTTGGAGTCTTTCTCTTCTTTTTTCGCGCCAACCCCCCTAGATTTAGCTTGTGTGTTGCCCGTCTCCTGTTCAAGCGGTCCGCAGCATTTAGCCCACATAGGCAGGTGAGCCGCTACATACCCTGCAGCCAACTGTTGTTTTCAATAGTTTTGTTTCACACGTGCTTCATCGCTTTGCATGCTTGGTACTGCGTGATGCCTGCTCGGTTGTTTCTTGTTGTCTGTTTTTTTTTTTTTCTCCAGCTGATGTCAATTCATCCATCCAACAGCCTGTGTTGCTCCGCTGGCACGTCTACGCAAATGTTTCGAAAGTTACACCAAAACGCTGCCCACAGAACATAGGGGCATCGACCGACAAGAAACAAGAGGTGATCAAGCCTTGGCACAATGCTTAAACACGAGCCAGCACACCATTTCTCGTACCATAACCTAGATGTTTTGCTGGCTGAAAGCATTACCAGATAATGAAACGACTGCCACCTTGTCCACAACAGGGTCCCGCTCGCATCAAAATGGGAAGAGTAACGACAACATGCGCAATTGCACATTGGCTGCCCGCAAGAGATTCCATGCTTGTACAGACAAGAGACTCAAGCAGCCTCAAGCAACAATAAACACATGCGCTACGCTAAAGCGAGTCTGCGTCTCGCCGTGATTTTAGCCGGCGCGCCCTCTCACAAGTGACTTCTCACTGCCTTGCCATAGTCGCAAGCGGGGTGTCTCAGTGTCTACGCAACATGCTTTCACTAGGTAACACTAGACAAAAAAAAAAGAACCGGACAAATGTACTACAGGTCGTGAGAGAGCAAAAAGAACCTGTCGACTACAGGCCGTAATCGGCGAGAGCAAAAAGATATTGTTTCGACAAGGGCAGGACTTGAACCTACGCGGGCGAACCCATGTGATTTCTAGTCACACTCCTTCTTCTTGGAGTTAGCAAACTTCATAGATAGTGGGGCAAATTCATTACTCACAACCACTCGGACACCTTGTCGGTATTTACTCGGATGAAGTGTTGGCGAGTTATTTAACTCTATCAACATTATCCACACTATTACCATTATGAGCCCCTTCGTTACCGGTGAGATGTATACGGGGTGTGTGGGCTTCACAACGGGCAAAACAGGGCAATTCTTGGACAGAGGAATGGGCTGCAGCTGCTGGAAAAGCTGTAAACACATCGGAGACAAGGTTCGTCGAAAACACCAGAAGTTACGAAAACCAGGCGCTAGCTTTTTTCTTTCTACTCTTTTACGCCATTCGCACGCTAATAAACTATTTGTTAAACTCTTGACGCCATAGCGGCGGCAAAAATGTACGCCGTCCGGAGACAGTTTCTACTGAAGTTGACTACTAAAAAAAAAAAACACTGAATTTCTCATGTCTCTGTGTATAGTCATTTGCATGTCTGTCATCTATATAGTCCCGGATTTGAACAATAAAGCGTTCAGCGGTCCATCGTCAAACTCGGACCGAGAATTGTGCTGGGAGCCGGCATGCCACATTTAATTCACCAGCACAAGCCTGCACATGGAAATAATTCGCAACCAATTCGCGCACACCTCGGCTACATGGAGAAAGCATATTGCCGTTAGCTCATTATTCATAAAGGTCGATCTGACGACGCAAAACCAGATGTCATCATTTCTCCCGAGTCGTTTGCATCATCAACGTCGCCATTACGTCACGGAGCATCACTCACAACTCGACTTATAAAGAAGCCTTTAGCAACAACTATCGTAAACCCCTATCTTCTTATTATCTCACTTTTTATAATAAACCGAGTCAATAAAAAAGAATCATGTCCTTTTCCAACACGTCCACCGGCGACGCGCCCGCCGACCCCTACACCAAGGCCAACGCCGACACCAAGGTCGACGGCCCGCAAAAGATCAAGGACTTTACCGACTTCATCACGACCAGCAAGTACGGCATGCTGACGACCCGTCAGGCCGGCTCCAGCCGCCTCGTATCGCGCAGCATGGCCCTCGCCGGCACCGAGAGCAACGGCATTGACCTCGTCTTCCAAATCAACACGGAGTCCGGCAAGACTGACGATATTGCCAGCGACCCCGACGTCAACGTGTCATTCCTCGACCCAAAGGGCTCGTGGGCGTCGGTTGCTGGCCGCGCGACCGTCGTCACGGACCGCGCCGAGGTACAAAAGTACTACAGCCCCGTCCTCAAGGCCTGGCTCGGCGACCTGGGCGACGGCGTGCACGACGGGTCGGAAAATGACCCCCGAATCGGGCTGATCAAGCTCCACGCAGAGACTATTACGCACAATGTGGCAGAGTACGGTGCGATCAAGACGGCGGCCAAGGTGACGGCGGCGGCTGTCAAGGGGAAGCCGGCCGAGGTCAACAGTTTGAGATATGTATCTGAAGACGAGCTGAAAGCTTGGAGGTCGCTGTAAGCATATAATCTCAGGATGGAAATCAAGTATAGTCTAGAATATACAATACAGTTATGAGTGTGTCCAGCTTTGTATGTCGAGCTTGCCATTCCGTTCGGAGTCCTCCAACGTTGGTCCCAAGGAAACCCTAGAATATCATGGCCTGGACCCCGAGAGTCAGGAACCCGCTAAACACAACCCGTGTGGACGACAATGCCCGCATTATACGTGCTTGGATTGAAGCAGAAGATGCGTCGCCCGTCGCGAACGCCGCCCAGCCCGAAAGATTCAGAAGCCCCGTAACTGGTCCACCAGCACGCCCGGGATAACGCGGTCCATCGCGTTAAGCACCGCGGGGAGGTACCCCGCCATCGCGGGGCCATGCTGCGCCGCTGCGCATACGTGGGTACGGTATCCGAGCAGATGGATATAAATAGGCCGATGAGGCGAGAGAAAGAAAGACGCGCAGAATGACAAACTTGACACCGCGGTAGAACCTTTCTGGTATCGGTGACGGGTTGTCGTGGCTGTCTGCGCCCGAGCACGACGACGGGAGGCAACGTCGGTCTTGGCGGACTCACTGTGCTTTTTTCTCTTCTTTCAGGACAAGATGAGAAGATTGTGATTCAAAAGCCATGGATCTATGAGTGGTTATATAAATCAACAAATTTGGGTTTCGACTTTGCATCAATCTTTCACAACGGCCGGACCAGGGCTGAGTCCAGCGGCTTACACGGACTCGGCCGCCACGATGCCCGGACTTGGTGAAACTGCCCACGTTTTCTCGGACCAGGCTTCACTTACGAGCCTTCGACTACGCGGAAAGCAAGGTGCGCGTCTCGACAAACTCAGACTTGAACCGTTTATCAACCCAAATCGCATCGATCAATTATTACAGTGAAAACCAAGAATTTGACAAGTGCACGGGATCAGATGACATGCCATGGGAAGCACTGTCCCGCTCATATCCTCTAGACAATGCACAACCGGACAACACCAAGCACTGAATTGCAACGTATAGGCTATTATTCATTTTGTCATCTGATCCCCTATACCCGCGTTTCCTGCGAGTCTATGCTACCTTTTTGCGGTCATCATCTAAATAGAGGTATCCACCCAATCCTTCTTTTGTACCATGTCCAGCAGCCGTTTGTTACATTCCCAATTGAGACGACGCTAATCATAGCTTTTTCTTCTTCCATACTCATATATCCAAGACTAGTCATTCCATTGATGCGCAAAACAGCGGCCAGCACCGCGTAAATGCACAGAGTAACGGCGATCTAGAACAACTTTTGTCTTTGCCAACAAATCTCGCCCTTAAGACTCGGCGCCCAAGCCTTGGAGCTCCTTGATCACAGCCGACTTGGTATGGATCTTCTTCATCTGCGTATCCTCCAGCTTCTCACCGCCAGCCAAGCGCATTTCCAAATCTTCAATGGCGCGGACCTTCTTCTGCAGACTGCGAATCTTCTTAGCATGGGGGTTAGCATCGGCGGCGCCAGCGTCCTGAGCGGGAGCCTGCTGAGCGGCGTTGCCACCGTTGCGCTGACCCTGGTTGGTGTTGCTACGGCTTCGGCTGTCGCCGTTGTTTCGAGAGCGACTGCGGTAGTGGCGGTCGTTACCACCAGCACCAGCACCACCACGTCTCTCGGGGCGGCCATCTTTGCCTTGTTGAGGAGGAGCCAAACTAGCGCCTCCGTTTGGCTCCGCTTCGAGTTTGGCCTCGCCCTGGTTGTTATTGTTCCTCTTGCTTCTCTTCTTTTTGCCCTTCTTGGCGGTGTCGCCCTCAACTGGCTCAGCACCAGGAACTGCGCGCGTAGGAGCGGAAGCAGACTCCGAAAGCTCGGCGCCGGGGACAGCACGACGGGCACGACCGAAACCATTGGGGCCGACATTTTGAGTGCCGTTGCTCACAACGTGAGCAGCACCACCCTCATCTTCACGCTTGAAGTGCAAAGGAGTAGCCAGACCGCGCGCACCAGGGGGGCGATAAGCACCGGCAGGCTTGCTCGGCGTCTTGACTGTCCCAAGATAGGTGGCGGCGGAGGCGTGGGGGGATGGCACAGTCGTGAGAGGGTCGCCTGGTGCGGCAGCCTCGGGTGCCTGCGGCCTCCAGACAACATTGTACAATTCAACCATATCTTCATTGTACATGAGACTGCCAGCGACATGCCACAGCTTGACACCATTTTCGACACGGAGTCTTGGCGACGTTGTAGCAGTCATGATGTATCGGCTGTCGGGGCTCCACTCGCAAACACTGGGGTTGCCGCTCTCAATGGTGCACACCTTTCGGTAGTCCTTTTCGAGATCGTAGACGTCAATCTGACCAGCAAGGTTTCCAAAGCCAGCCACCAGAACGAAACGGCCCGTGGGAGAAAAGGTGATTGTGTTGCGAGGGCTCAGAGGAAACGAGTGGGTTGCGACAGCCCGATCATTGAAAATAGTGGCCTTGGCAGGCATGAATCCGTAGACGACACCAAACTCGCGAGAGTTGGGCGACCACGAGACATCATGGATGGGACCTTCCTTATCCAGCGAGACGCGAGCATCGAACGCACCGTTTGTGCTCAAGAGATAGAGGGTCGTCTCGCCGTAGTAGCTCTTACCAGAGCGGTCGACATCGGTCTGGGCCAGAACGAGGATGCTGGAACCGCGCTTGTTCCATTTCAGCTGGACCTTGTCGCCCTTGAAAAACGTCTTCTGAGAGATGGGGGCGTTGAACTGGGGGACGTTGAAAACGCGGACCGAGGCAGGTTGACCCTGCAATTTGTTAGCATCGAGGTAGAGACTTCATCTTCAAAAAGGCTTACCTTGCGCTCAGGGGTAAAGACCGCGACAGCATGGTTCTTGCTTCCGGGAGCGAGAGCGAAGTTAGCGGCTCCCTCCACGCGAAGCTTGTTCCAAACAGTGACGAGATCGTGTGTCTCGTAGAATTGCACCTCGTTGGTGACGAGGCGGGCACAGTACTTTTCGTCGGCAGTGTACTGGAGATTCCAGCCACCCTGCTGCTTCTGGACGAAGCGACCAATGGGTTGCTTATCGGCGGCAGCAACACCCTCCTCGACTGTGCGCCAAATCTTCAAGTTCTTGGTGGCATCGCCGTTTTCATCCTTGGCAGGGCGCTCCCAGGTGATGAGGAAGGTGCCCTGGGGCGAGAAGCCGAGCTCGTAGACGTTGAGGATGGGCAGAGTAAGAATGGTGACGCCTGTAGAGGCGTCAATGACACTGACAGCCTCGGGTGAAGCCCAGCCAAAGTAGCGGCCACACGGGGAGTAGGCACAGCAGCGAAGGTTGCCCTCGGGCTTGGTCAAGCCAGGAAGGGGTTCGTAGGCAGGGGCGGCGTCAAAGACACCAATGTGCTTGAGGGTCCGGTAGGCAAACTGCAATGATGAAGCCATGGCTAGTCAAAGTCACAGAATCTCAAGATATCGATGCAGTAAGACGGAATTGTGTGGCAGGGTGCAAATGTTCTGGCGCGTGATGCTGCAGGGGCGTTGCTAGGTGGATTGGCACGGCAATGCAGTGTCACAAGGATGTCAATGGCGCAGAGGTGACTGCAGGATGTGCGTATATCGAGTGAAATCGGATCCGTCGCTTATAGGTATCGGAAAGTACGTTGATGAAAGAATGGGAGAAGAGGGCAATGCCAGATCTCGCCACAAATTCTTGTCGTTGGGCAACGATTTGGCGGTGGGGGAGAGAACAGAGAGGGCAACAAGGCAGTCTCTGACCGTATAAGCGTGCTCGAGGAGGACACGAGAGAACAGATGCAGTAGCTCAAGAGGATGAAGAGGCGGGCAGGAGAAATTGGCAAGCACCCAGGCAGCGTAGGGAAAAATTGTCGTCGGCGGCGATGCCGTGATGCTGTGGGGTGAAGAAGGGAAAAAGGAATGGAGACACAGATACCAGGCGACTTGTAACGTACCAGTGCACCTAAACGGGTACTTCCTGGCAAAACCTGGTCGGTTCGACACGCGAAGTAAAAAAAAAAACTGTGGGCGGTTGTTATTTTGTTCTCTTGACTGGGACTGGCCAGGCAGTGCTTCGTAGCCCCACCTCTGTGCTGTCGTGTGCCGTCGTTGCCAGCATTGGCCTTAAAAGCGCTGCAGGTACTTTGTAAATCCAGCAAGTATCACGGATGCCATTCAATGATAAAGCAAATAGAAGCACTACCGAAAACGTCGAAGGATGCATAAAGTGGAAGCAAATTCCACCGAAGCCCTCCAATCTCACATGTCAATCTGGAGCTAATCGATACATTGCAGCCGACTAGTCAGAGCCACTGGCGCTTGTCATGGCGATTTGTTTAGCGCATTACAGGGCCCCGTATGCCAGACCAGGGCTTGCGGCACTGTCGTTGAAGTCTGCGGCACTGAGGGTGTAGGTACCAGTGGTACCTAGGTTACATGAGCATAAGACTGAAGACACTCTGAAAATGAGGTACCTGCCTAACAATGCACCATCCCCACCAAGGTCGCCAACAACATTTCTTGCATCGACAATCCGAGTCTGTAGTCAAGCGGCGACTAGCCATTGCTGATTTATACAGTATTCGAATCAAAGTAGTCTGATTATCTTGCGCAAAAAATCACTGAGCTATCACACATGGCCGTTTCCATGTATCGATTTGCTGATGCATTCAAAACACTCCAAACGCCAAGCCCTACTTACTGTCCGTTCACCCATGTCTATTCAGAAGGGAACTCCTTCATGCCCTCGCCTTCTTCCACCTTACCGTCCCTGCACCTTTTCTCTCCAGCCGCCCTTCTCGAATAGCCATAACGCCTCTATAGCGTATGCCTTGCTGCCTCTGTGACCGCCCTCCACCATGGCCGCCTCGTTCAGCGTATCCAGCACCCTGCCGTCCTTGGCCGCTTTCCAGACGCCCATGGCGATGGGATCGTCAATGGACTTGCCCCACTCGCCCTTGCCCAGCCGAAACAGTATGCGGCCCAGCGTTTGAAAGGCGATGCACCGCTGCGCCGGCACCGCGCTTCGCGCCAACCTGGCCAGCTCGCTGACTGTGTAGCCTGCCGCCTCGGGCGCTTCACCATGGTGGTGAAGGCCCTTGGACGACGGTATTGAGCGGCTGACGCGCGGGGACAGGAATCGGCCGCGGAAATCAAAACGCAGCGCAGAGACGGGGATCTCTGCATGGGGGTAATATGTAGACTCCTTGTCTGCCACGCTGCCCTCCGTCGGTATGGGCGCCATCCATGCCAGCTTGCTTGGGTCCGCTGGCAGATCGGGAAAGTATTTCTTGTGAAGCTTTTCGAGAAAGTCAGGGTCGGATGGGTCGAGGTCGGCCACCTTGGGAGGCCCTGGGAAATGTGTTGATTCGTTCCGAAGGTCTGTTGCCGCCATCAAGTCCTCTGGGATCTGCGCGGGGGCTCTATCTTCATCAAAATCCTCTGGCACGTCTTGGAAAGAGACGCTCTTCTTTGCCACAGCCGGCTTGCTCCCTTGCGCGTCAGCCAAGCTTTCCGCTTCTGTCTTTGTTGAGGGCTCTGCTGTCGGTTTCTCTGAAGGAGACTGATCGAAAGGAGATGGCCCCCTAGGTTCGTCAATCTGTGCGCGCTGCAATAATCGTTGTACTAGAGCAGGATTCAGCCCATTCATGAGGTCCTGCTGAGCCTGCGCAATCTCTTGCGGGGTCATGGCGTCCAGTCTCGATCTGTTTTCCTGGTCTATTCGCTTCTTCTCGGTCTCTTCAAAATTTTGGCGATCATTCCCGACCGCAGATTTCAAAACGCTCTCTGCATTATCGTGTGTTGAGGCATCTGCCGTCGAGGCAGCAGCAGCTTTGGCACGCTGTTGCTTGAAAGAGGAGCTCTGCCATCGCTTCTTATGCTGGGGAAAGCCGGTTGTGGTAGGCGGCGCATTCGGAAAACTCGGTTTCTTTATTTCCGTGATGTCCCTCTCCACGACATCTCCAATTAAAAGCGTCGGATCCATGGTGTAGGGTGTCGAAGTCGAAGCATGTGGTGGTGCGTGTCGTAGGAGTTGAAGGCGGCGATTAGCTCGGCCATTGTGAAATTTGGCAGGGCTGTGGCAACGAGGCGCTACCGTCGAGAGTATGGCCCACCTCCAAACAAAGCTATCAGCAATACCAAGTATATTATGTAATTGTAGAAAGGTGACAAAAGTAATAAATTATATCAGTCAGAAAGGGTGCAGTCTTCTGCTTTCATGACTGTTTATGATTCATTGGTAATCTACCTGGATACTGGCGAATTCCATCTTCTCGATGCTGCGATCTGAAAATTCCCCATGTTGTGGCTCAGATTCCTAGTACTGTTCTGAGTCTGTGACTTTAATTCTGCCTAGTCGAGTGTTGTTGTCGTAGCATCCAACATGGTGCTCTGTCGGCATTCGATTGAGCCTTACCTTCGATTAAGTTCCAATGCAACCGAGTCAATAATGATACCGAGCCTTGCGGCGCCTATGACAAGATCGCCAAGATATAGCTACAAACAGTCAACCACACTCTGGAACCTTGCATACCCTTATTATAGCCTCTAGGTACGGAAGGCAGAAAAAGAAACAAAAACATTAAAACACTCTCAAGACTTTGGTACGGCTATTATAGGCATCACTCGAGCGAGTAAGGAGCGACGAATTCGAGAAAAAAAAAGAAAATTCGAATCGACAAGGGCAGGATTTGAACCTACGCGGGCGAACCCATGTGATTTCTAGTCACACTCCTTCTTTTTAGAGTTAGTAATGCTTCACAGATAGTGGAGCGAGGATTTAATTACTTACAACCACTCGGACACCTTGTCTTGGATGAAGTTTTGCGCCGTTATTGCTATATATATAGCTAGACAAGATTCTGTTCGAAAGCGCAACTGAACACCTGATGGAAAGGCAACTCGCGTCGCAGCCATTTGGTGTTCGATGTGACGATAGCTACCTAGAAAAAAAAAAGTGCACCAATTGTATTGCCAAATGTGTCCTTTGCAACCAGAAACGATATTCCATGGATGCGCTGGAACAGGATCGCCACATTGCAAACTCGTTGCGTGCCCCGACGCTCTAGTACACGTTGTTACTTACATGTCTCTGCTCGACAGCAACATCCGGAGGCCGGCCAAACCCTGCCTCTTCTCTGATGAGTTTCAAATACTATTCTGACACGTAGCTTCTCTTGACCTTTTCATTTGAGTGATTGCCCTTGTCTGAGTGATAAGACCGACGTATTAGGCGCTTGATACGTAGTACTCGAACGGGTCGGGGACGATTGAAAGACGTTTGCTGTTCCTACTCTCTTTCACAAGCCGTATCTCGGTACAGCCACATGTACTTGAAACTGTTTCCGGTTCGCATTATCTTGGTCTTCGCTCATGTCTTCCGAACTAGCTCGGCTCCCAGTGCACGTGGTCTCGTCGCGTGTCCCGAGGCCGCCTTTATTTTCTGTACCTGGAAAATTTGAGGACTGCTTTGCACTACAAACGAGAAATAGTACTTCATCTTGTGGCTCTATAAGTTTGTCGAAAAAAAATGCGAATATGTCAATCACAGCAGCATGTTGGGCAAGGAAACACCACGCTTGTTGGCAGATTTCAAGTGCATAGCGCTGTCTATGGTAAAATGTCTATATAGAGTAGAAACACGTCCGGGAACAGAGTCGAAAAAGTAACGTCCAGCATTACTGTGTACTCCTGAGCAGGAAAGTGCCTTCTACAGAGAGAGGGCGTAAAGCGCCGAGCAGAGAGACAAAGCCGCGGCAGCCACACTGATTGACGTGCGTCCGCTTGCGTTTCCCGTCGGGCAACTGATCACGGGCGATGCAGAAAGACACGCCGCTTCGGTCATGCGCGAAGAGATACTTTCCGCCGATTCTGACGGAACAGCGGCGCTGCAAGGCGTAGGCGTGGGCGCCGGCGCGGCGACGTGGGCGCACGAGGTGAGCGAGTCGGCGTTCTGCGGCGGCGGCACATCCAGCACGTCCTGCACCTCAAATGCAATGGCCTGTGTATTCCCGCACTGCTCGCCGCTGCTCAGCGCCACAAGGTCAGGCTTGCTGCCGTCGTTGTGGGTGGTGAAGACGAAGCTGTGGACAGGCTCCTCGGTATCGCGGGCAATGTCGTCGTCCTTGGTGGCGGTGCAGTTGTTCCAGCGCAGCTGCCAGAAAAACTCCCAGATGCCTTGGCGATCAAACGCGCCAGCGACAAAGTCGTGGACGTAAAAAGTGGTGTCGTTGCTCGGCAGGGCGTCGAGGCGCACGCGCTCGTACGGGGTGGTGGTGTTGGAGTGACCGTAGGGAATGACGCGATAGTGCAGGCGCAAGTTGATCTGCTGGGCCACGGCCGGGTTCTGTACGGCAAAGACGACGGGCAGCAGAGGTGTTAGTGCAAAAGTGTCGTTGCGAGGGAAAATGACATCGACTTCGGCGTTGCCCGTAGTTGCGGCGACGGCGGTGCGGGCCGCAGCGACGATGGAGAGGAGAGAGAGTTTCATGTCGACAGAGGCATATGTGGGCTGCGTCTTGTACTTAATTTTTCGATGAGTTATGAGCTGGGAATCATTGTATATATAAGATTGAATTATTTCTTTATGAATTGTGCAAGAAAAAAAAAAATAGGTTGCCGGAGTCAAGGTTATATTGGTTATATTGAGACCCGGGGATGGTCGAGTACCGAGCGCATTACGGGGCTTTTGTTTGGTTTCGCCTAGCCATACATACTACCTTAGACTATCAGTGATCTCCTCTTCCTACCACAACTTCCCCCAGTAAAAATCCCACCGAGAGCTAAAGCATCGCGTCCACGCAGGCTATTTTAGGCACTCAAACCCACTGCAAGCCCGGTCGCATCCACTATCAAAGGCACCGTGACCGCTCCTCTAGGTGCAGCCAAGGCTTGGAAACAAGTACCGCATTTTCCACCTGCCTGGGATTTAAGCGCCGGGATCATACGATTCTGAGGGCCGATCTTGGCGTCTTGACGAGAAGGCTGGTCTCATGCGGCCGACTGATTGCCTCTTAGACCGTGTTGGCCACGACAACGCCGTCGACAACTCATAAATAGGTTCAAGAACTAGAGCTTCTTATTTCGATCCTGTTTCATCGAATCGCATTCAAGGATCAGTTTTAGGCTCAGCCAATCAAGGTGTGTGTCAAGTACCTAAGAAGTCGTCTCTCCTTGTCACTTACACGTGAAACCCCCGACTTTAACAAGTTGCTTTGCGACCCGCATAATGTCGACAATGTCCCTAGTTTCCACCTGGAAGCAGAAGTTTCCCTCAATGTTATCACCAGCGACGCCAAAGTGGTAGATTCCATTCATTTGACAAGATAGCTGATTGTTTGACAATGTAAAGCTTTAAAATGCCCACACTCATTAGAGGGCTAGTCATCTCGGCTGTTATACAACGCTCAATCCATGTGTGACGTCTCGACAACCTCTAAGTAACTAAACATAACTGTCAAAGAGGTAGAAAGAATTGTCCACGGACTCAAGAATGGGACTTTCTGTCAGAGGCCTTAGTGACGGAAATGTCCGTGGCATGGCCCGAAGCGCCTTGAGGCCCAGTTATGGTACATTGGGCCATGAAGGCGGCCAGTATGGGTCAGAAGCTGAAGGTTTGTCATTTGCCTTCCTCCATCCAACAGCATGTCGCTTCGAATAAAATTCCAAAGCAAAATGTAGGTCAAGAAGAGGTTATACGCTAAAAAGATAAAACTAATAACAATGACCGATAGTTAGTACGGCAATAAGAAATACCGGCAGCGGACAAGGTCTTTGTTGCTACATATAGCCACTGCAGAGAGTGTTTCAAGACAGAGAACGAGACCAAATACGACTAATTCTGGAACTGTTCTTTTTTTCCAACAAAAGAGGATTCTGCTGCTACAGAATCAGGGAATAAATGGTATACTTTGGGTAATTGTTGCAAAATACCTGCCGCGCACGAGTTTGCCTCAGCAAGATCCACGCCAGACACCGAGGCCAGCTGTGATTGGTAGTGCACTTGCGACTAGCACTCAGTGCTCGCACTGCTCGGTGACAGAATGTGTCGGTATATGCAGAGATTTTGTGGCGCACCCAAAATTCCAAGGCTATGTTTCTAGTGGTCTTTAGTTTTCGACCAAGATTGCCTGACGATGGACAAGACGCATGGCGCATCGCATTCTACTGTCACACAACTTCTCACCCCTCACCACTCACCCTTAGCCGAATCAGCGTAGCTTGCCATGCATTCAGACAAAGCTATCAACGTATATCAAAATAAAAGTCTCTGCCTGTACTTGAAGGTACTTTAAATGCTGTCGCGGGGGGTTATTTGTCCAAACCGGCCGAAGGGCAGCACAAGGAAGCAAGAAACTAAGAATATAGCACAAAGTTACTATAACCCTGCATTTACCATGATAAATTGTATTATCAGCCTCACTGCCCGCGTGATACATGGCGCTTTACGGTGCTTCCCTAGGTGGCCGCCGCCCCAAACAGAGTCGTATTGACCACCTCTCTCTCTTCTTGTGTTCAATGAACGCATTAGATTTAGGTCACATGGTCTTTTGACTTGCAACATTGCGAAAGAAGCTACTGATGCAGCGTTTGAACAGGAATCGCTGTATATATATCGCCAAGCCGGTGTAACCTCACTATAATACCTGGAGACTTGGCAGCCTTACTATTGACTCATTTAGGTCTAATCTGGTATATGCACCTCAGACTTTGAGACAATGTGCGCGGTACCTTATCGTCTTGCCTGCAAGGGGACCTGGATTGGGCCGTCAAGACTCCAGTCAAGAGTATACATGACTTGTGCCCAACAGCCACGGCTCCAGGGGGTTCCAGAGAAACGCTCTTGAGACACTGGTAATCCTTTTTTGATGCATACTTAAACAGTGAATCGTCACCAATACAGTGTAAACTATACCAGTAGCTCATGGCGGCCGCGAAGCCGTCACTGCCAACATGGCGGCCTCCACACCAGTCACCATGGCAAAAGTTTCTCCGCAACCCAGCACAGTACACTGCGCAGTGCCTCTACCCGTACCGAGCCAAGATAGAACTAGACAACACTGCACAAGATGCGATTTCTGTAGTATGCATCTCCGACACGCACAATACCCAGCCCGACGTGCCCGACGGAGATGTGCTCCTCCACGCCGGCAATCTCACCATCGGCGGCACCTACGTGGAGCTCCAAAGCCAGCTCTTCTGGCTGGACAAGCTGCCTCACAAATACAAGATCGTAATTGCGGGAAACCACGATCTGCTGCTAGACCCCGCGTTCGTGGCGCGCTCGCCGCACCGCATCCGGGAGCACGAGGGCACATCGCGCAGTGACCTGGACTGGGGCACCGTCACGTATCTCTACAACACGACGACGAGCCTCACTTTCGGCAACGGCCGCACAATGACAGTCTACGGATCGCCGTGGACGCCCGCGTTTGGCAGCTGGGCGTTCCAGCACCCCGAAATGCGCTCCGCCTGGCCCGGCTCGGTCCCGCAGGGCGTGGACATTGTGCTGACGCATGGTCCCCCCAAGGGACTGCTCGACGACGGAACGGGAAGAGGCTGCCTACAGCTGCGTGAGGAGATTGCGCGTGCAAAACCAAAGCTTGTCGTGTTTGGCCACATTCATGCGGGGCGTGGCCGAGACCAGATCCGACACGACCGTGCCCAGAAGGCGTACGACCAGATCATGAACGGGAGCGAAGGTCTCTTGTGCGTACTCTTGATGGTTTATTGGTTAATCATAGGGCACATTGTAAAGCTTTTTAGGCGCTCTAGCTCAGAAGAGGCAACAACTCTGGTGAATTGTGCTGTGGTTGGGCCGACTATGGATCGTGTAGAACACACCGGAACAGTAGTCAACATCTAGGGCCTGCTGGCTCAAATTTTGTACTACTAGAGGTCGGTTCAGCCTATGGTTCTCCAAAACTAAGACGCCGAAAAAGTTTGTCAGCTTGGTGATGAGCATGGTACTGTGAAGCCGATGCTTGTGTGACTTGCTGCACGGCTCTTGTGGGGAAGCAAGTAGGTGATGCAAAAAGAGACTTCTAGATTTGATGTATATTTTCTTTTGATTTGGTCTTTGGACTCCTTTTCAAACTATCTGTTACTCTATATTACTTACTTATTTCACCAATTTCCTCTTTACACAGTTGGCCTAGGTAATGTCTATGGTTGCCCCCTTGACAAGAACATAGCGGACGCAAAAGAAAAGCAATTGACAATGTGTGCTTAGTACTTACCCGCCGTTCCCGCCTAGGTCTGACAAAAGTGCGACAAACAATGGTTCTTTGGCGTAGATAATATCCCTTGTTCCAAACTCGGAAGCCCTGTAGAAAATTGCAAGCGCCGTCTCATGCAAAGCAAGCGAGCAGCTATCTATGTACATGCCACTCTGCACCCACACAATCGAGCCCTCGATCTTTGTTCCATCGTAGATCGATTCGCCCACTCACTTATGACGACATTTTACATGTCCTTCAACCTCTTTCCAGTAATCATCATAAAGGAACAGCTGAAGCCCCTTGGCTGCTTTGTCGATCATCTCAACCGTTGAAATGAGTGGCGGGGCAACTACTGAGACCACACCATTCCTGTTCCTTGCTCAATGTCTCATCGTACAGATGAGGTCTGAACAATCAGAACTCACAATTAACGGCACAACCCTACGGCTACCTGGTAAATCTAAATTACAGACCTTTTCCCCTCCCCCGCATCGAAGACAGACTTCAGCTACCAGCTCCCATGGCGACAAGGTCCATTCCATTGCCATGCTGGATGCTGACGGCCACCATGCGTCATGCGGTAGTTGAGCTCCAGTGTTTGCCTTGGCTGTTTTCAACATTGAAGCCATTTGCTCGATAGGCCCAGAGTTTTGCATACGCAGCCTCATTAGCTCTCACGGCTCTCGCGCAGAGAGAGACCGGGGACGCTGAAGTGGTGCTTTTTACCCCCCCTCATGCCGACCCCTTTTCCCGAGCTCACTTCCCAAGTCCATTGACATACGATTTCCAATCCTCAAATTTTGAAACAAGAGAGCATTGGTCTGAAAGAAAGAAAAACGGTAGACTGGCAAGCTGTTCCGATTCATCACAACTGCGCTTGTTTCAATCGTACCCCGGCACCGTCATCGACCTAAACCTTGTGGTAATGTGTGCACAACAACTGACCTTTTGCTCTTTTCCCTCTTGATTCGCAACCTGTCCAAGTCGACGGTGTTCCTTCTTCCCTCCAACCCCCCAATACAATGTCAAAAGAGAACGAACCACACGGACCAGTGCCAGCAACACCCTCTGCGTCTACAATCACATCACCTCCTCCTCGTCGGCCACCACCGCCTGCCGACCCGACCCGGCTGCCCGAATTCGAAGTCATCTTTCGTCACAATGATCCCGATGACCCCAAGAACTGGCCAGTGTGGTACCGTACGTGGGTCGTCGCGACCGTCGCCTTTTCCGCCTGGGTCGTGGTCCTCTTCAGCACCAGCTACACCGGCGCGCTGCCGGGCCTCATGGCCGAGTTTGGCGTGAGTAAGACGTACGCAACCATGGGCATGACGACGTACCTTTTGGGTCTCGCCGTCGGCAGCCTCTTCGTGGCGCCGATGAGCGAGCTCTTTGGGCGCAGGATCGTCTACCTCGTATGTCTCGCCGTCTGGGCCGTTTTTGTCATCCCATGCGGTGTAGCGGACTGCTTGACGACTATCCTCGCCAACCGCTTCGTCGGGTATGTAGATGGACATGAACATGCCCCCTTCCCCCTCGGTCAATGCAAAGCTAACACGGATATAGTGCCCTGTTTGGTGCCGCTCTCATCTCAAATGGCCCAGGTACCGTGGTCGACGTGTCGAAACCCGAATATCTCGCCATGGGCATGTCGCTGTTCAGCCTCGGCCCATTCAACGGTCCTGTGCTGGGTCCGCTCATCGGCGGCTTCGTATACCAGTATCGAGGCTGGCGGTGGACGAACTGGATCGTGCTCGTGCTGGCTGGAGTTGCCTTTTCCATGATGATGACTGTCAGAGAAACATATGCGCCCCGCATCTTGAGAAAGCGAACCGAAAAGTTGCACAAAGAGACTGGTGATCTCCGTTGGTGGTGCCAGTACGACAGAACCATTTCTTCGTGGCAGCTGGTTGCCACCAATCTCAAGCGTCCGATAGTGCTCTTCTTCACTGAACCAATCGTGTGGTTTATTAATGTCTGGAATGCGCTCATTTACGGCATTTTGTATCTATGCTTTGTCGCTTATCCAGTCGTCTTTGCCCAGCACCGCGGCTGGAGTCCGGGCTTCGCTGGCATGTCATATCTCGGCATCGGCACGGGCATTGTCCTCGCCATCGCTGTCGAACCGCTTGTCCGACGCATCATCAATTCGCGGCCACGTGACCCCGCCACCGGAAAGCCACTGCCAGAGGCAGCCGCGCTCATCATGGTTGTCGGCTCGCTGCTCACAGTCATTGGGCAGATGGGCTTTGCGCGGACCTGCCTACCGACGAGCATCCCCTGGATCGTGCCGGTGCTGTTTGGCGTGCCGTTTGGCTTCGGCAATACGCTCAGCTTCATCTACTCGTCCAACTACCTGGCCGGCGCCTACGGCATCTACGCCGCGAGCGCGCTCGCCAGCAACGCCGTCATCCGCAGCATCTTTGGCGCGACGCTGCCGCTGGCGGGCTCCAAAATGTACGAGACCCTCTCGCCGCAGTGGGCGGGCACGCTGTGCGGCCTGCTCGCCGTGGCCATGATCCCCGTGCCGTTTGTCTTTTGGCGCTACGGGGCCGTGATTCGGGGCAAGAGCCGCACCATTCGGCAGCTGCGGGAGCAGCACGAGGCCATGGAGACCAAGCGGGCCGAGAACGAGGCGAAGCGAGGCGACTACTCGAGCAGCGACGGACAGCTGGCTCTGGACAATGGTCGCTCTACCGGTACGCCCCTGTCTCAGGTCAAGATGACAAAATTTGAGAAGTGCGAGAGGTAAATTTGGGAATGAGCATTCTTGACCAGCTGCATTTGCATTATAATCCGGCGTTCTTTATTTCTTGGGCTCGATAAATCGGCATCTAATAGTTTTGCAATACACATGATCACATTTTCTTCCATCTTTGACACGGGGGCAGGCATAGTCTGCAAATCCTCGATGCTGCCAGTCTGGCGCTCAATCTTCCTGGGCGACCATCCAGCACATCTGTCCAAAGATGTTTTGCATCCGACCTTTCAGAGCGTTGCGATGATATATCGTCGACCGCCGCCCAAAATCCGGGTCTGCATCACCACACAATAATCCAGAGGCATGCAGGCATGTTACTTGAACCAAATCTCAATAGTCTGCTGGAACAAAGATGAACCAGATCAAAGACAAATAGGGAAGCTGGGTTCGACAGTAGCACACCGTCACAGCTTAGGAATCACCGCCAGGCTTGTTTGGGGCACCGACGTGGCACCGGTCGTGGCGGCAGGCTCTCCGGCCGCACACCGTCGTGGGGAGGCTGGGCTGGGTAAGATGACAACGGAGTGAGAATGGGGCGGCAAGGTGATGCAAAAGCTATCTGTGGCGTCGAATCACAGAACGGGACAGGGAGCATTCGAGAGTTACCCACCCGTGTACTCGCGTCACTCCTCTGGCGCGATGATGGACGGATTCGAGCGACACGTGGAGGCTGCAGCGTGCGGCAGGGCGAGTTGCAACCAATGAATGGGCGTTGCTCGTGTGTAGCTTTCGCACAGTGGTGGGAAATGAGGCGTGTGCCGTCCGGTTTAGGGAGGGCGGATCGGTGATCAGCGACGGATTACTTTGTCATCATGCAAAGCAACTATGTAACTACATAGTGAGCCTGCTAAGATATTGGGATTGGAGCACATTTTCGCGTTGGCTAATGGTGTACTAGCGTTTTGTTTTCTTCCCAAAACCGCTGATACTCCCCCTATCTACAGTCGGCAAGAGTGCCGTTATCCGCGCCAGCCGGGTATTATACCCTAATCGACGATGGTTTGGTTTTGTGTTGACATCCTCGCAGGCGGGGCTGGGTATAAGCACACGCCCCGTTCTTGGCGGAAAAGAACTGACAGAGCAAAAGAAGCGAGCTCATTATACTTGGGACGCCGAGGGCACAATCACTAGCTAGCTAAGCCTGCCTTGTAAAGGGGTTGCCGAACGGGTGCCGCTCGGTGAGGCTATCATGGCTTGGTCTCGTGCTACGCAGTTTGCCGATGACATGGAGAAAAGGTCATGCCACGGAGTGATAGCTCCGAAAAGCAAGCACGTACCGGTACAGCCACACTGTAGCGCCTCATGGTCATTGTGATGTCGAACAGGGACCGAAATTTGGCGCAAGCCTTGCCGTAGCATGTCGTCGAGGTTAACTAGCCACAGTTGGGTGTGGCTGCTTTTGCGACACCAAAGGACATTGCCAACTTGCCCATGGATACATGCATATTGTGCATGGCACTTTTTTTCTGGGTTGTTGTGGCCGCTGTGGCGCTCACGACCAGACCGCCGCCGATCGCTAGGAACATAGGCAAAGTAGGCTGGCGCAAGGATAGTCTAGCGCGAGGTATGGTCCGAGTTGAGGATGGCAGATAAGTATAAAAAACGAAAAAATTTAGCTCTCCTTAGCTTCTTGGCTTCTTAGTGAAGTCTCGACCGCAAAGCGACGGCTACCTGTGGCTTAGCTCTAAGCACTACCAACCGTTGTATCATCACAAGATCCGTGTTCGTATGTAGTGGCTCTAAGCTGGTACACAGCAGCATGATAAGATGATTATATGGCTATTTTTTCTTAGGCATGAATGGCGTTATCTGTCGTCGTGTAATATGGCCCCGTCGCAAACAATGGGACATTTACGGTTTTTTCCCGGACGACGCCACTCAATCTATGAAAGAGGGTCCTACGGGTGACGAGTGATCCCCGCCACAGAGGAAGATCGCCTTCATTGAGCTGCATACTGCTGCACAGCTCTGGTCTAGGCCATGATACAGCGTCTGCTAAAAGTTGAAAGAAGGCAGCATTAATCGAGCACCAACGCTCCAAATCCAGGCTTGACGGAATGCCAGACAAGCGGCCCGGGGGGGCTCCAAGAAGCTTTCGGCCGAACGCTGTTCATGTTAGCCGTTTCACCAGGCCAAACTTTAACCAGCCGCTGTCCATTGCCCCCATCCGCTTGACCCTATGACAACATATCGGAGTGTAGACACGACGAAGCAGAATCGACCACAAAAATTCACTATCATTCATAACGTCACACATCAGCTGATGGATACCAGTAAGAGAAGTAATAAGAGATGTCAAGAAATTGCCGGGCCCGGGGGGCGCGCTCCGTGCGGGCATCGTGGGGCCCCCAGGCGCGAGTCAAAAAATTCTTCCTGACTCGGAAGGCGATGACGTCGTTTTGTCATGTTGAAGCGGTCGTGGCGGTCAAGCCACGCACTACTTACACCACTGACGTAGTTATGTGGCACGTTTGTGGCGGTGCCCGGGGAGGGTCTTTATCCTTGCACAAGCCACACGTTTAAAAACTACTACAAAGTAAAATGTTGAGCAACCGAGCACAATGCGAAGCCGTGCAAACGTGTGGCTAGTGTACAATCCGGATCACACGCTTACACGCTTTACGATAGTTAGTTACACGGCAGATACGTAGACAGGCAGCTGATCAGTGTATTCCTCAGTACGCCAATGTCTACCACTCTACTCATCGAGATCTTCACCTTGACAAGGAAAGAGAAGCATTATCCGATCAGAGACATGCGTTTGCAGGGCCTAAAGCACTATGACGACAGAGCGGGCTGCTCGACCAGAGGCTAGCAAGCTGTGATGTGCGGTTGGCCAATGGCAGGCGCCGAGAAGGCCAGCCAAGAATGCAGCCGCGTCTGTCTGTCGTCCTGGACTGGTTAGACTAGCACAGCCACACTGCCTCGTGCGGGGGCCTTCTTTCTCTGGGGTGGGGAACGACTTGTGGAGGAGGGTTCAGCTTATCTTGCTTTAGGACTGGCAGCCGATGAATTTATATTAGCAATGAGGTCGTTGAGGTGAAATTCTATGCAATGACTCGAATGGGGAAGAAAATGGATGCCAGGCAAAGCAGGTCAAAGAAGAAGTGACGTGGAGGCTTAGGTAGACAAGACTGGCTGCATGAGCCCGCCACGTCAAGATACCCAAAATATGAGGGAGGAAAAGAGATCGACAGACTTTGCTGTCGCAAGCCACAGCCGAAGGCAAACAAGCACCAGGCCAGGTATTTCAAGTGTAACTGGCGCTCACGACGGGTAGCCGAAGCCTACTTAGTTAACCCAAGCGTAGTTTTAGATCCAGCTGTTTTATTTTTTTTTGCTGTAACCTTCTAGATTGGTCGTCATCTCGATCTTGTCTACAGAAAAAGAAAAAAAAAGGAGATCTTCAGTCTTTGGTTTCGCTGCTTTCTTGGTCCCCACGGTCCCCTAGAGCGACAAGCGACGTTGAGAAGAAAAAAAAATGGATTGCCATGACGACATGTGGCTTGACACTTGCCCATCCGCCAGCCAGCCAGAAGTGGCTGTCAGGCACCAAAACCAAGAAACACCGCTAAATTGGAAGACAGCCCGTAAAATACCGTAAAGAGTTCCCTTCAAAAAAGAGAAAGGGACCTCGACCCTGACTACACCCCCGAAAATACGGGTCACGCCCAAGAAGACATATGCACCCCGGTTGCTGATGCTCCGCTCCCCGATTACTGAACCGCTTTCCGACGTAAGGGTAGATATGTATGACTGATGGCTGACTGAGCCTTGAATCCTTGATGTAAGGAACATGTTTGAGGGAAGGCGGATGGGATAATTAATAGAAAAAAAACGGCAAAAGGTCAGATATAAAACAATAGCAAATGTAGCGCATTGACTCTGGCAAGACAGCCGGCGACGCTCGCTTCCGCCAGATTCCGCCGCACGCACAAAGGTCAAGTTCCACCCCCCTGCTCCCGCTGGTGAGGCGGCAGATGCTACCAATTGCATTTGCAGTCGGTAGATGATGGGGGGGGGACGGAATTCGTTTTGCTGCAGCGCATCACACGTCATGATACACTGCTTGACCGTCTTTGAGCTAATACAGGCATTCTGAAAACCCCTTCCCCGTCCTTGCAGAGCCCTGTCGTCAAAGCTACGTAGCACCGATTTTAGGCATCTCGGTATGCTTTGCATCACGGCAAAGCCAAAATAACCGTCTGGTGGTGCGGGCGGGTTCCACGTCAACCCAACGCCGCCAATGCCCACCAATCGTCACCCCCTCGCCATGGGCCGTCCGATGACAATTATGTCGGCGAGCGTCATTTATTTTTTCTTTCCTGTGTTCAAATATTTCTTCATTAGTCTAGCCTCTACCCAGTCTATCACTGGTGCTTCCTCACTTCCTGGATCAGCCACGTTTTCTTATCTGTCCATCACTACCAACTGTGGCGCTCCAGGCACATTACACCAGCTGCCTCCCAACGACTCGTAGCCTACAAATAGTCCAGCCACAGACGTTTTTTCCAACCAGTGTGGCTTGACTCGACAACTTCTTTTTTCTTCCATCACAATTCTTCTGCACGGCAGGCTTTCACCCGCCACAAGGTATGTCGGCTTTTCTCTTTTTGTTGATATTTCAGCTTCTATCCATATCTATCATTTTTCATCTATTTTCATTCATCTTGCTATTTTCTATCTGTTGCTTACCGCTTCCATCTCATTTCCTGTCATCGTGATCCTTCCCAACGCCGCTCTAGTGAGTGGTGCTTGAGCAAATGAGCAGGGGTCGAGGGCGTGCGTGTAGTGGTGCAAGGCCAGCGGGGTCCAGTACGTCCACGCACGCTAAAAGTCCGGACCCATAAATCTTGGGGTTCTCGAACCTTGGGCTCCTCCCTCTGCAGCTGGCCTGGTGCCTGGACTTCTTGCTGGTACCTCGATGCCTCGATACCTCGATTGATGCGAGCAGTGGCAGTGCCTTTCTTTCAAAACCGTTGGACCTGAATAAAGTGAAAATGCTAGTTTGTGCCAGGACAAAGAGCTGGTTCAAGTCTCGATCGTTTTTTGTTTCTATCGGGGCGTTTGTGGCTGGCCGGAGCTTCTCTCCAGCGCTGGAGTCCACCCGCTATTTACGAGGCTCCTGCAGGTTACTGTTGTGGTTGTACCGTCTGGCCCCCACCACTCTCAGTCATCAGTGATCACTGCCACTCTCTTATACTCCCCATCGCCGACCGCACTTCTCGATCGCCTTGCCCTTTTTCCTCCCCCCCCCCCAAATTCTTCCGCCCTTTCAAATACAATCTCGATATTCTTTCTGTGCATTGGCCATTCGTTTTCTACAACTCAACGCTATATCACATCGCCCCGTGTTTTGTTGCGCCTTACCCGTGCCGCTCTCGCCATCCCTGCAAACGCCCAACTGCTTCGCTGCGCTTGCGCCTCGTACCAAACCTCGACTCACCTTTGCTCACGTCTTTTGTCTCCCACCAGGCCGGACCTTCTCACCACATTTTCCAGCGCCATCTATGAAGCGTTTCGCTGCGCTCAGTGTGTCTTGAGACCACTTTACCGATTTGCACATAAGTTGACCTCGCTGCTCGCCCAGCTTGTCAACGCTGCCGTCTTTTACGTTCCGCCTTATTCAGGCGCATCCGCCCCTGCAAACAAAACGGCCCACGCGACCCGACATACCGCAGTCTCCCCCATCACGGCGACATCACCGCCATCATGTTTAGCCAAAGGTAACTTCCTCCTTTGCACCTTCAACAAAACTTTATTTGACCTTTTACAGGACAAGCTCCCAAAAACCCGATGACGAATTGCTCGCCAATTTTCGCCAACAGTTCCCCCAAATAGGCGCCACCACCGAAGGGGGCTCACCAGGCATTTCTCAAACCGCCGCCGCCCCAGACATGACCACAACCGCTCCCGCTGTTCCCAGGTATGCCGCTACGACTACGCTGCTCATAACTCTCGCCCTCTAACAATACCAGCATACGGCCAGAATTTCATGATCAGGACCCCACACCCAGAGCCAACAACGACCCTTGGCGCTTCACGCCATCGCTGCTGGATCCCAACTCGTTTGCTTTCAACGCTTATGGCCATGGTAACACCGGCCTGTTTACCCCGGGCCTACATGGCCCGCAGCAGCTCTACCAATCTCAAGCTGGCGATCTGCATACACCCACCATGGCTATGCTCCAGAGTGTCACGACACCTTTCGGTGCACCTTCTTCTTTGGAAACCATGCAATCCGGCGCCGTTATGGACCCTTCGGCCTTTCACGCTGTTCAAGGCCAGCAAATTCACCAGTTCCAGCCATATCTCCAAGTACCCGGCCAGACATTTCCATCGTCGTCCTTTGTCCAACAAGATACTGGCTACGAAACCATGGAGCAGGATCCTTCGCCCATGAGTTCCGAAGAACCTGACCCCCGCCTCATCGGCCTCAAAAGTCATTTAGGGGCAACCGCTACCCTCATGAGCCTTCCTCTGCCGCCTTCAGCCGAGAAGTTCCGATTTCATTCAACGCTCAATGCAGCCACGGCAATGGTGAAACAGGCAGACGAGATTCCTATTACATACCTGAATAAGGGCCAGGCCTATTCCCTCTCCGTTGCCGATACACAGGGTGTCCTGCCTGTGCAACCCGGAACACGATATCGTACATTCATTCGTGTTTCGTTTGAAGACGAAGAGCAACGCTCCAAACCCAGCGTGTGCTGGGGCCTGTGGAAGGAGGGGAGGGGCACTAATGAGGCTCACCAGCGTGGTGGCAAGCTCCAAGCAGTCGAATACGTCGAAGCCAGTCAGCCAGCGGAGGGCGACGATAAGAGAACACGTATCGAAGTCGAATCCTCGTCATTCGATGGCTTCTGCGTTACTTGGACTCCTGGCACTGCTGGCGCCCCCGAGGTCAACATTGCCGTCCGATTTAACTTTTTGTCCACCGATTTCAGCCACTCCAAGGGTGTCAAGGGCATTCCTGTGCGGCTCTGCGCCAAGACTACGCAGTTATCAGCAGGTGACGGAGTTGAAATGAGCAACGACTCAAAGTCCGACGTGTGCTACTGCAAGGTCAAGCTATTCCGCGATCATGGCGCCGAGCGCAAACTTTCCAACGATGTTGCCCATATCAAAAAATCGATCGAGAAGCTGAAGCAACAAATAGCTCAGGCTGAAAGCGGCATCAAGGACAGCAAGAGAAAACGACAGAGCATTGCCTCCAAAGGGGGCGTCGATGGGCGCCCCGGGAAGGTGCAAAAGCATAAGAGAACATGGTCCATGTCTTCTACCAGCTCCAATAATGGAGGCCGACCTTCGCTCGAGGATGATTTGCACTTTCGACTACAGACGCTCCAAGACATGTTTACTAGCACTCGGCCGATTAGTGTGCTGTTTCTGCGGGGTGAGGAGCCAGATGACATGGATCTGCACCCCGTTTCTATGCCGGGGGACCTGTCCCCAGCCACTCGTGAGGGACGCAACTGGCAGGCACGCAGCGGACGCAGCTCGGTGCGAAGCTCTCTGGTCTCGCCTTCTCCTAGCTCACTCTCTCTGGCGTCGCAGTCATCAACAGGGGGCCACTGGCAAAACTTTGATTCTCGCGGCCCTGAGAAGGTCACGACTGTCAATCGAACGGATGATGCTGGCGTACTGAGCGGGTGGATCGAGGCGTTGGGCGTGGACCCATCGTACAAACCGCCGCAAGAACGCGCTGTGAAGCCTGTGGCCTGCTTCTACGTGCAGTATGACGGCTCGTCCACTGAGAAGCGCGAGTATTATCGTGCGATTTATCTTTACCAGCGGTCACTCGCCGAGCTGAACAAGCAAATTGCGACCAAGTTTGGACTAGATGAGAGCCGCATCAAGCGAATTATCCACCGGCTACCGAGCGGTCTCGAAGTGGAGTTGGATAATGATGTTGTGCAAGAACTTCGCGAAGGACAGGACATGCGACTCGATGTGGAGGAGTTTGTCGATCAATCTAGCAAGGACTGGCAAATGTCGGTTGACGGCGAAGAGGCCAGGGAGGAGAAGCAGACGCAGCAGTCGACGGGTTTGATTTTGCGCCTTGCATATTAACCAAAAACGGGAACGCATATTGCTGCACAGCCTGGTGTGTTGTTGCTCTTTTACATGTTTGCAATTTTGAAGGATACGCAGAGATGTTTGCATTTTCTTGACGTGGGAGGGCCAATCGCCCTTTAATTCTGGATATATATCTTGTTCTACTGTTGGAGAAGCGTGGTCAAAAATGGGAGGCAAACGAAGCCGTGATGAACTCGGCCGGACCGTTATGAAAATTGATTTGCATTTGCAAAAGGAGGTGGTCATGTACACTACGTGGTAGGATTTTGGGTGTGGGAGTTTTGTTATGATGGTCACGCGGCGCCGAGAAGGGCGATTTAATGAGGTAGTGAGTGGGCGACGACCCTGGGTGCTGCGAACCCATAACACATTAATTGACATTGCTTTCTCAAAATGATGATTGAAAAGCACGCAGGTAGGCGGATAGCTTGCAGGCGCTGTAGATGTGATGTGATCAAACCGAGCGGTGTACCGAGTACCTATTACTGCGGAGGTAACTAGCAAAGGCAAGGGCCCTCTCCCTCCCTGCATTTGATGATCCGTTAGGCGAGGCCGATAATAACGAAAGCTAGGATAGTTCAGAGACATGTTGGCTCGGGACCAATACCGTTTATTAGGCGAAAATTTAGTCCGTGTCTAAAAGGGGATTGCCTGCTCTTGGCGTGCTAGTAAGAGGCAGTTGTTGAAATTAGAAAAGGTGGCGGTGCAACCAACTCAAGCGGTGCGACATACTTTTTTTTTAGACAGCGAAAAAATCGACCCGAGTCTAGACTTGTCTCGAGCCGTTGCGGAGGGGGGTGGGTGAGGGGTGTGCCTAAGAGAAGTGGCTCGGTAAGAATGGAATTACTGCTTTGACTGATACTTATAGCGGACGAATCACTGTATTTACAGGGCTTACAGGGGACAAGGGGGATGAAAGTTCGAAGTTCGGGAGTGCCCCAGCTCATCCGCGCGGCTCCGCCCCAGCTGGTACAGGCAGGCAGGGACCCCTGCCTAACCCGGAGCTGTTCGGATGTATTAGCTTCTAGTTCAGCAGGGGGCAGACAAATGTCTTGCTCATCGCCGATCTTCAGGGGTTAACGGCTACCCTTGCCGGCCCCAACTGAGAGATGCAGCAGGTATTGATAGCATTGTTAGAGTATAAGTAGTGCGCGGACTCGATTCTGTGTTATAGAAATTGAAATGGTAAAAAAAAAAAAAAAAAAAGGAAGAAGCAAAATACGAAAGAGTAGAAGAGTGAATCGTCCTATTCGAAAAAGATGATGGTTGCTTTTTCTGCTATTCTCGTTTTGACAATCCAGGAATGTACGGAGTACGGATTACAGAGTACTCCGTACCAATACACGGCTCACCTCACCTGCATTCACCGCACCCATCTTGCAAAACCACCATTAATCTTTACCATTCATTCCCTTAGACTCCTGAGTCAATGACCAACATATTCTCGAGCTAAATAATTTATCCCCGACTCCACGTCGCCTTGGCGGCTGTCGGCCCTTTCCCTATCAAACGTCCCAGCGCTTGTTGCTGCGCCACCAGGGTTCAAATAATACCATGTGTTGCAAAAAAAAAAAAGGGGGGGGGAACCGAATGATCCTTGAAGGGCTGAGACTTGTGGTCTCGGTAGACTTTTTACCGGGGGTCATATTTCCGACCCTGGTTTATATTAGAATGCACTGCGACTGGGGTTTGTCGAAGCTTGATCCCAGAGGTGAGATGCGGGGGAATAAAGAAGAGGCAGAGAATCAAAAGGGGATGGCGGGCACTCGAGTGTGTACAGATGTAAAACTTTTAGGACCATGACATGCTTATTGAGGTGCGAGTTGAGATGCGCAAGACCACTGGATGGAGCTACATTGAGCCACGGTTCACGACGTTGTTTGTATAATACAACTATTCCATGCTATCCTGTCAAGCTGCTAGTTACCAGTACGATGCAGCTCTATACAAAGTAATGCACTTTGCCGCATTTCCGAGGAAGCACGATCCGCTCCATCAACGTGCAGCAGTCAGCTCCAGCCCATCTCCAACCTCTCTTCCATTTCCCTCCTTTCCCAACGCCTTGAGCCTCAATCCGCCCTCCCTGCCTCCTCTTTCTTCGGAACATACTTCATGTAACGAAACACGTACCGTCCCCATCTCGCATCCGCGCCCTCTCCCGGCGGCCGGCACGGCGCGTACTCGTCCAGGTCCACGTCCAAGCTGCGCACCACCTCGAAGCCGCTCTTGTGGTACATGCCCCAAGCGGCATCCGACGAATGCACCCATGCAAACACGCCGCTGTCGTCGCAAATGTCCTTGCCCCAGCGCAGCAGCGCCGAGCCCACCCCGCGGTTCTGGTGCGCGGGCGACACGGTCAGCCCGATGATGAAGAGGCACCGCGTGCCGGCAGGCATGACCTCGGTCATCCACGCGCGCATGTCGGCGTCAGTCAGCGCTACGAGACGCTTGATCGGGTCCGTTTCCTCCTCCTCCGCCGCCGCCGCCGCCGCTGTCGGCTGAGCAGCTTCCTTCTGCTCTGGCTGCTTCTCCTGCTGCTGCTGTCTCGTGTCCTCTGCAGCAGGTCTGGCGTCTTGCTCTGCAGCCGCCTCGGCTACGCGGTCCTCGAAAAAGGGCATCCGCCGCGGCACGAAGCCCTTGATGCCCCAATTGCACACACCCGCGAGCTCACCGGTCGCCTCATCGACCGCCTTGAGCACGTGGCATGTCCGAGACGTAAGGTGACTCGGCATGCTCTCGAGTGTGTACTTTTCCATGTCAAACGGCTCAGCCTCTCCCAACGCCTTCATCTGTGTCTGCCGGTCGCTCGCGAAAGCCTGTCCCGCAAGCCGGGCCGCGGCGGGAATGTCCTCGGGTTGGAGCCGCCCGATGCGGATTCCTTGAGGAGACATGATATGGCGTGTTCAAATTGTTAGGTACATTGCGCTAGAGTATTGTGCTCAATTGCTGAATGTCGTTGCTTTTATAGTTGAACTCCAACGCTCGTAGTGTAAGGAATGGCGGGGTAGAGCGGCCATATTCACTACCTAGGTAGTTATTAGTTAACGCATCCCGGCTGAGTCACTCGGTCGTGCTGACGGCGGCAGTAGCTACAAAGAGATGTAGTTTGTCCAAATTCAAGGCTAACAGCCAAATTTTGTACAAGATACTTTCTTGTACGTAAAATAAAGTAAATCACACCTGCAACCCCCTTTATAGCTTTCCCCAGCTGGCCCTGGCCATGGATGTTGTTGCATCTGCCCCACTCCACCAACCGACCGACAAGCTTCAATTTTGGGCTGGTGCAGCTTTTTTGAGCCTCGCCTCACCACCCAAGTCCCGCGCCCACTACCGCCTTCCATCGACAGCCGCCGGACGGCCGACTGCGACCCGTCAACCCGACCCTCTTCATAAACTCATCATAGTTTCATGATTGCTGCGCTATTCTGCCGCTCGAGACGTCCGCTAACCTCGTCGCGCGCCATGGCGTCGTCTGCCTTCGGTCACTTCAAGGGCGCCGGCAGCCAGAAGCGCAGCCACTTCACAGTCACGTCGCTCGGCCGCTGGTCGAGCCTCAACAAGACGCTTCCTGGTGCGTGGCAATGAGCAGCTGTCACACAATAAGAAGAAGACAAGACTGACATTGTTGTCGCAGCCGTCGATAAGATATCTACCATCCACGTCTACGACTTTGACAATACCCGTATGTTGGCAGCCCCGACCTGTCGGCCCAATATCCTCTGACTTGGCAAACTGCAGTCTTCAAAACCCCTCTTCCCAATAGTGCACTGTGGAATGGCCTCACGATTGGCATGCTGTCCAACCAGGACGTCTTCATCAACAGCGGCTGGTGGCACGACAACCGCATCCTTGGCGCAACGGGCCTCGGCCTCGACAAGGAGGAGCCCCGCGCCTGGGAAGGCTTCTGGAACGAGAAAGTCGTCGAGCTCGTGCGTCTGACGATGAAGCAGCCCGACGCGCTGTGCGTGCTGCTCACCGGCCGCGGCGAGGCGCGTTTTGCCGACCTGCTGCGCCGCATCGTCGCCAGCAAGCACCTAGAATTCGACATGCTCTGCCTGAAGCCCCAGGTCGGCCCGGCCAACCAAAAATTTGCTAGTACCATAAAATTCAAGCAAGAGCTGCTGACTGAAATTATGGAGACGTACAAGCACGCAGGCGAGATTCGCATCTATGAGGATCGGCCCGGACATACGCAGAAATTCATCGACTTTCTCAAGGACTACAACAATACGCAGCGCGTCCGGCCCACGCGCGGTCCCATCCAGGCCGAGATTATCCAGGTCACCGACACGCAGACGTCGCTGGACCCCGTCGTCGAGGTCGCGCAGGTGCAGCGCATGATCAATGAGCACAACGAGGCCATGCGGCTGCAGCCGCTGCACCTGCGACCCAAGGCGCTACGCATCAAGCAGCAAGTCTTCTTCACCAGCTACGCGATTGAGCGCGCCGACTCGCAGCGGCTGCTGGATCTCGTCAAAATTCCCTCTGGCGACAGCACGCGCGTTCATGGCAACAACATAATCATCGTGCCGCGGCCGTGCCCCCCGCACATTCTCGCCAAGGTCGGCGGCCTCGGCAGCACCATGACGTGGCAAGTCACAGGTACCGCGTGCCACCACGGCTCCATCTGGGCCGCGTGCGTCACGCCCGTCCCGGCCTCGGCCTCATTTCACACTGAGAACCCGGTCCCGCTCGTCGTGCTGGCCTTGAAAAGGGGTGCGCGGCCCGCCGAGGCCGCCAAGATTAACACTTGGTCCGCGCTGCCCCCGGAGAAGCGCTTCACCTTTACCACGACGGTCCGCGAAAAGGCCATTCTGCGCGTCGAAGCCGACGACCCGCGCCACGCAGAGTACGAGAGCCTGCACGCCAGCAAGGCCAGCAAGGCTAGCGGCGGCGGCATTAAGCGGAAACACAACGGTGACGACTGGAATCCGCCCAAGCAACCGGCGGCCGACGCCGCGGCGGCAGCCGTAGCAGGACGAGGAGGCGGCGGTGGCGGGAGAGGTGGTCGCACCGGAGGCAGAGGCGGCCAGGCTGCTGGTGGTCGAGGAGGAGGACGCAACGGCGGCAAGGGCAAGGGCAGGGGCCGAGGCGGCTTCTCGCACTACCGCTCGCTCGACGACGTCGGGCCCAGAAACGCCGTTCCCGCAGAGGTCAACTACGACGAGGCGCACCCGCCGGCTAACGCGCCGACTGGGCCGCGGGGCAGCAAGAGAGGACCAAACGGCGGCAACAACGTGACGGATTTGCAAAGCTATTACTGAGCAAATCCAAACACGCACAAAGTGTTTTTTGCCTGCGTCCGTGAGGGAGCGGAAAGAAGGAGAGAAAGTGGGAAAGAGGGTAGGTTTATTTGATACCCCGGTTTATTACTTCCACATGCCCACCCAACTGGGACGACAATAGTCATGTTGGTAAAAAAAAGAAAAGGTGCAAAAACATGGTCGTCTATGTTATTTTCATGGTTGGCGTTGTATGGCGGTGTTCTACTCATTAGGTACTTGACATGTAATTACATGTCTATGAAACAACAAAAGACGACAGCGTAAAGCTGTCATGACTCTCACATAAACTTGCCAGTTCCACGAGACACTCTGCAAAAGTAACGCTGTGATTGTATTGGTATTCTTCTTCTTCTTCTTCTTCCTCTTTTTCTCTAACAGGCTGCATGCCCCCCTTTTCATTTGACTTGTCACCCTTACTCATCATCATCGTCGTCATCATCTTCCTCCTCACTCTCATCGTCCTCCTCCTCCGCATTCTCCAACCACTCCACTAGCACTCTGCACTTATCCCGCAGCGCCGTCATGTCCTCTCCGTCCGCCGCTCGCTCATCCGCCCACCACGCCAGGATGCCGTCCTCCTCGAGCACGTCGAGCGCGTACAGCTGCTGCATAAGCGCCGCCAGCACCGTGCCCGCCCTCGCCGCATCGATGCCACCATTCTCCTTTGCCGCCGTCACCTCGCACAGCGCCGTCTGCGTTGCCAGGATGAACGCAACTTGCTCCGGCTCGCCGCCGCCGACGCCCACCTCGTCCACAAACTTGACGGCACCGGCGCGCGCTGTCAGCGCCGTCTCCGCCGCCTTGCTAGGTTCAAGCGGAGTGCCATTGCCGGGGGCGGCGAGCTCCGCCGCGCGGCGCGCAAAGGCCGTGGCGACGGCCCGCCGCATCATGTCGTCCGAGGCATTGTTGGCGAGGCGCAGACCCATAAATTCGAGTTTGGCCGAGTCAAAGTCGCCCGAGGCGGCGCGCAGCGCGTCGAGCAAGCCGTGAACGGCGTCGGCGTGGAAAGACTCCTTACCGGCAGCCTCGGGGTCGGGCTCCTCACCAAAGGCGGGCTCGCTACCGTCGCTTGAGTACGTGTCGGACGCGAGCGTTGACACCGATGATGTCGAAACGTTGAAGCCAGCCATGGAGTAGATCAGTGACTGCTGCAGGCGCGCGGGATCATCGTCCTCGAGCTCGTCGAGCTCTGGGTCGTGAAAGGCGGCGCCGACGCCGTCAGGACCGACGAGGGCAGTATCTGAGGTGACGGGCTTGCCGAGGGGCGAGAGCGCAGAGATAGCGGTATTTTCAGCCACAACGACGCCGTCGCCAATGTGCACGCCAAAGGAGAGGAGCGCGCCGGGGGAAACGGTGGCATTTTTGCCAACCTTTGTGCCGTCAGCGAGAATGGCCCGCGTGACGGTGGCGTTTTCATCGACGGACACTTCGTTCCAGAGAAACGAGTCTGTGAGGGTGACACCGGCACCGACAACGCAGTCGCTGCCGATGATGCAGTTGGCGACGGTACTGCCGGCGCCAATGGTGGTGTTGGCACCAATTATCGAGTTGCGCAGGCGCGCGCTCGAGGCGTGGCACGCGCTCTGCTCGATCACGACGTTATTATGGTGCGACTGATATGCCGACTTGGGAGAAAGGTTATTCTCAGGAATGTACGGAAAGGTCCAGCGGCCGAGAACGTCGCGGCTGACGGCGTCGTACATTTGCAGATTGCTCGCGCGGGCGGCGTAGCCGTCCTCGACAATGTGCGTGTAGATTTGCTTGCCGTTGAGCTCCCAGTCCTTGAGAACGCCGTGCAGGAAATTCCGCCGGGGCAGCTCGTAGTCGAAGCTCTCAGACCACAGCGCCAGCACCTCCGGGGTGCAAATGTCGATCTGCGCGTCGATCAGGTCAGCGCGCACGTCAAAGTCGGTCGAGAGCTCGTCGGGGATGGCCGGGTCGAGCAGCGCGTAGTGATCGCCGCCAAGCGGGCTCATCTCGTCGTAGTGCAGGCAGCGCTGCGTCTTGTTGTCGACAACGAAGACGGGCGTAAGGCCGCTGGGCTTGGTGCGGTGCGCGTCCTGCCCGCCGCTGCGCAGCACGCACGTCATGATGTTGAGCGCGCTCTCCTCTCGCCGACGCCGGTGCGCCGCGAGCACCTCGTCGAGCATCAGATTCGACACGAGGTCGCCGTGCACCAAGATGAAGTCGCCGTCGACGAGGGACCGCGTATCGAGATCGCGGAGGACGTCACCCGCGGATCGTGCGTCCGCGACGCGGATGAACTGGATAAGGGAAAACGGCGACGATTTCGAAGCCGTAGACCATCGCGAGCGGTTAATGTGCTCTTCGACGGCGTCGGTATTGGCGCCGCAGTATAGGTAGACTTCGTGGACGCCGTTCATCGCTAGGAATTCAAGGGTGTATTCGATCAGCGGCGTGTTGCCAAGCGGAAGAAGACACTACGCCGGTTAGCATCATGCGCAATAGCTGTTTTGTGAATCGTACTCTTGGCTTGTCGACAGTAAACGGCTTGAATCTGTCTTGAAACGAATCGGCGAGGATCTGAAAGCTTCCGGTCAGTTGACAACGGTTAATACCCCGCGGTAGCGGCCACACTCACTACCGCCTGCAAGACATCCTCGCCCTTGCTTTCGGCACCCGATTTAGCGGGCTTCTTGCCCTTGCCCGAGCTGGCACTGTTCTTTCCCTTGTGCGACATGCTTGCGCGAGAGGAGGGGGGGAAACAATGCGCTGGCCAAAAGTTGAAGAAGGAGCTTTCGAGGTGGGTTGTGACTCAAAATCGACAGTGGGTGAAGTGGGCTCAATGTGGTGAAATGGCTTACCCTAGAGCCGTTCGTTTGTGGGATGCATCTTGTCGAGGCAAAATTCAGGACAATGCAGTTTGGCAACGATTTCCTGCTAGCTTGACTTTTTAAACACTATCCATCCTTCTGTATGGGTTGTTGTACAGAATCGTGTGAGAAGTACTGACAGTCACTTTCGCTTGTTGCTTCACACAGCTGCTACGGGCGTGGTCTACCCTGTCTTGCTCACCTCACAAAGAACGACATGAATTTCGGAAATACGCTACAAGCCGATTCGTTCACCGCCTTGGCAGCATTACGTGTTCCACGGAGTGATGCGTGTCTTACGAGGAGACCCCAACTCATCAAGGGCCTCTTTGATGACCCTGCTCTATCAAAGCATTAGCCAATCGGGCGAATTCACATCACTAACCGCCAACAACTTACATGAGGACGAAGGCTCAGCGCAACCGTAAACCGTCGCAGCACCTCCTTCAGGTCCGGCCTCCCCGCTTCCATGACGGTTCTGCCGAGGAGAAGGTGAATCTCGGCATCGTCGGGCGCCATCTCCAGGGCCGCATTCAGCGCCTCGGCCGCGTCTTCCGGCTCCTTGACCCTGAGGAGGAGCTTGGCCATCTGCACCTCGGTGAAGACGGCGAGTCGCATGGGCGTGCTGACCTGCGCGCGGCGAATGAACTGTAGCCCGAGCTCGGGAATGCCCAGCTCGTCGCAGACCTTGCCATCACTCACGTCAGTACGTTATTCTCGGGGGACATGAGCAAAGACCGAAACACTCACCCTAGCTATATTGGTCAAAACTACTCCATTGTCGGGAAAGACTTTTTGCGCCGCGAGGTAGTGCCGCAGCGCCCGCTCCGGCGCGCCAAGCCTCTCCTGCACGCGGCCGAGGCCGACCCACGCCGGGTAGTGCCGGACATCAATGCGGAGGGCGCGCCGAAACGCACGGCTTGCCTTGTCATACGCCTCGCAGTCGTGGTACTCGCAGCCAAGGAATGAGTACGCACGCGCGAGCTGCGGCCGTAGTTGTGTGGCGCGCAGGAAGCTCGCAATGGCGTCTTCGGGTCGCCCATCCAACGACAGGGCGCAGCCGACGGCGCACCACGACTGTGGCGACAGGTAGTGGCTGTCAACTAAGTCGTGGGCTTGATAGGAGAGCTGAACATCGTCCTTAAGATGCCATAGCGTGGCGGCAAGCACTTCAAGGTCCTCGACCCATGACGGCGAAGCGGCGCGTAGAGCTTGAAAGGCCCATTTGGCGTCCTCGTAGGCCATCATTTCGTAGTGTGCCCGTGCCATCTTGGCGAGTATCCATGGAGTCGCCTGCTGCTCCGCGGGAAGAGTGGCAAAGGCATTGAGACAAAGGCGTGGCTGAAAGCGCTGCAAATGGTAGTATGCTGTTCCGATTGTAGAAAACAAGTCGTGCAGAGGCTTCCGTTCTTCGATTTGAGCAGGTGTAAGTAGAAATCCCTGGGCTGTATCAGGTGTCATCAAGTCATCATGCCTCTTGTTGCAATCTTGTGAAGTTGTCGGCGTCTGTAGTTGCGATAGTCTTGCTCCTTTGTCAGGACGCGTCTTTCGAGATGTCGGCTCAAGTATGACGCGCGACTGCCGTGCGCTGCCACCAATCTTCCCACGGGTAGACAACAAATATGGGCTCGAACGGGCACTCGGCCACAGAGGCTTGAGATTACTAGCTGGCGCGGTATCGTTCGAGTGCAAAGCCAGCCACTCAGGAGGAAAGGCACTAGCTGCTGCGTCCTGTTTTCGTTTGGCAGGCGACAGAGCTTTAGGCGGAGACACAATGGACGAGACAACCATGCGCTCCGGATCTTTCATCTCTTCCTTCCTATCGCCAAACGAAGAGACTGTCTCTACTGGCGCATGTATAATCTCTGATGCTCCCGGGGTTTGGGCTAATGGTGACTTGGGCTGGAAGATGTTTGACAAGTGAAGAGTCACGCCTGTGCTCGTCAGTAACAGGTTTTGGAACGAGGTCGACGATACACGAACCCATGTCGCAGAGATCAGTAAAAGCATCCCACATAAAAGCATCTGCTTGCAGGGCCTGGGCGTAGGCATCGGCCGCATTTCGCAGATCGGAGTTGGCTCTATGCAGTTTGCCGAGGAGACAGCTCAATGCCGCTTTATCAGGGACAAACCTTTCCACAGATGCTGAAATTTCTGCGATTCTCAAATATTAATACCAAAGCCTAGCCATTAGATGATAGAAATGGGTATTATACTGAGCTCCATACTTGAGTGCAGCACTCTCTCCAGCACGAAGATCCCGTCGCGGTACAGCTTGAGCTCCAGACATGCTTGAGCAAATACATACGCGCAGCCAATATGCTTGCCATGGATGGCCTCGTGCTGACTGTATTCGTGCGCGGCGGCATAGCGGGCGAGACGCAGACAGCACAGTGAGCGTAGATGGACCCAGCTCTTGTTATCGGGACTCTGGGCATGCAAGCGGTCAAGGAGAAAGAGAGAGTTTTCAACAAGATCACAATCCAGAAATCGATATACTAGCCGAGTTTCAGCATCACCACCGGAAGGCCGCAGGCCACTTGACATTGCGTCGCGCGTGCGCAAGCTATGAGCAAAACTGCTGGGTCAAGGCTGAGGCTTAAGTACGAGTTGTGAGAATCAAAAAAGTTGTGTGTTCGCGCCAGGTAAGCGGAGGGATGAAGCTCCTATACCAAGGCATGCTGCGCCAGCATGTTTCTCGATGACTCTGGGTTGTATGGAGTTGAGCGGCTACCAAAATGTTGTGCGCTGCCGCTGTGTAGAGTGACACACGCCAGAGTTGAAACGAGGGCCAATCGTATCGAGCTTCCACTGCCGCCCAAGTTTTGTGATGCACACAAGCGGCAGCAATGATGTTTTGTGGTGTTACTGCGAGATGCGTGAGCGAAGTAGGTAGCATCAGAGAGTATTTGACTATCAGCAAGTCCTCTTGGTTGTTTTACCACGAGACCTTTCAGTGAATTAGTCGCCATAGCGGCGTCAAGTATGCCATTCACAGTCCAAGATTATTCAATCTTGGCCGCCGTAACTGAACGCCTCAAGACATGGGTATGTAGTGTCGAAATTAAGTTTATTGGATGCGGCTACTCCAGCCACATTGTGAGTGAGCACTGTGAGGTTGTACTGTGGAGCGCGCTTGTTGGCCCGCAGAGTACTCAGTACCTAGTCAAAGTCTCAGGCTCGTCTCATAACGGACATCATATGCAAGGCTAATTCTATAAGAATAAAAATAGAAAATGTCCTAGACTAGGCCCTTGGCCAGGGCCCGGGAAGAATGCGTGGCGATTAAACTGCTGCAGCCCCAGCACAAGCGACCTGTCAAATGTAGCAGCAGAGACATCAATCAGTAGTGGGGGGACTGGCAGGTCGGCCACGGCCCACGGCAACATTCCAGAAGCCTGGGCAACTGAGCACGGCCGCAGATTCGAGACAGGGCAAGGTGCAGGCCTGGTTAGTGTCGCCTGGTGGTATGGTGTGTGTGCGCCATTTACGGCTAGATCCGAGAAGCTGCTGGATGCTAGTCCTGATTGCGGTTTCGTGCAACGACTTCCGGGGCAAGAAAAAGCTTGAGTAAATTTCGAGCCAAGGCTCAAGGTTGCGGACTTGATGAGAGAAGTCGAGGTAACGCGAACGTGGTATTCTGGCGACTTGGCGTCTAGGCTTGCATGAGGTGAAGGATGGCGCGTCCTTTTCGATCGACAGAGGATGCCTCCACGGCCGCATCGAATTGCGGCCCACAGGGTAACATGGGTCAAGTCAAATCTTTGTTGTGGTGTAGTTGACTGCTTAGCGATGTGAAGCAGGTTGAGCCGGTGTCTGGTGAACGGTATTGATGGAGTCTGAGACAAGCCAGCTGATGACGAGTTTCTAGCGGTGAGAACAAGTCTTGGGATCAGGACAGGGGGAAGTAATGAAATTGTAAAATTGTCTAGCCGATTCAACTTAGAGTTTGTCAAATTCGGATGATGTTTCTGGAAAGAAATTGTAGTATCAAGGATAGGTGCTTGTGGCGGGAACGGAAAGGTACCGAGGAGCAGCCTGAATGGGGAGGTAATCGTTACCCACAAAAGCAGCAGACAAACGTCGGGTATTTTGTAGGCTGGTCGAGAAGATGTGATGATATCTTCCCATTGCGGTTGCGTCGCCGTGCCAAGTGGCCGAGGCTATCCTATCATCTTGAGTTGGTAGCGACTGTGTTGTTGGCAGCAAGCCGCAGTGGAGCGAAGTTGGAGGTGCAGGAGACCTGGAGACGTCGAAAGGGACGCGGGAGAGGCTAGCCAATGATGGCTTGATGAGCATGAACGGCAAGGCGGGCAAGCAATAATGACTGACAATAGCGCGCAGCGATGGATGGGGCGCTGATCCGAAGAGGAGAGGAGCGAGGTGTTGAGTGCGCATTACGAGGCGGCGACAAGGCGAGGTGGAGACTGGTGGAATTGCTCAGTATGATGCCGCTGGTGGTGCTTGTAATTCTCGAGTGAGAAGTATCAGAGTCAAAAGGGTGCGGATCGGGCGATAACGGTGATGGTAATGGTGATGATGGAGATGGTAATCTTCGCTTGGATACATTTGTGGTGTAGCAGAGAAGGGCTGTGAATCCTGTGATGGAGGCAATTGTGGCTTGACTGACCAAGGTTCGGAGGCTATGTGACGCTTATTACAGGACACGAATACAGCGGCATCACACGCAGAAGAGAGTTCCTAAGTACCTACGCGGGAAGGGGGTGTTTTCTGACATAGGTACCTTACCTTACCTGGTAGGTAACCCCTACAGCGTCTCCTGTTTACAATGTCTCCTTACTATCTAGTAACACTGTTAAGTCACTTAGATATGTTAGAATAAACCTATATTAACTCCTACACGTGCTAGATGTTCGAGCAGTCTCACTAGATAGTAAAATGACATTGTCTACGTGACAGCGTATTGTTATGTTGAAAAACACCCCTCGCGCGCGTAGGTTCCATTAAAGGTTGATAAATTTTCAGCACAGTGAACACTGTACGTAGACGCTGTAGTCAGTCACTGGAGTAAATATGGCCGCTGCCATTGACTGACACTAAATGACTGACATGCACTGCAGCGTACCAAGCCAAATACATGGACTCATTTTTATTATAATGATTGGGCACAACGGCAAGCTGCATCTGTTGATATAATATGCAAACTGCTGCTGCTGCTCTGCGCTGCATGCTGCACCCTGACCCGTCGCTCGTCTTGGTGCAGCTTTGGCCACACATCGACGCCACACCATTTACTAATTACGCCTCCACACCAACACCACCACTGCACCACCACTGAACCGCTTGCCGCTGCACCAGCAGTCTACCACTCTGTCCACTGAACCAGTCTACCACCTTTTTTTTCGCCCTCCTACACGCAACCTCTACCACGCACGGGCACCCACCTCTACGCACGACGCACGACGCACCACGACCACCGCCTTCTCCTCCTCATTCCGTCTTTTCTTTCGGCTTTGTTCTCGTCCTGCCCGCCAATCCTTCGAGACGCCGTCTTCCCATACAAACGTCCAGCCTTTTTTTTTTTTCTTTTCCTCGTCATCATCTTATCTTCTCTCACTCTAACCCCCTTTACCCCCCTCCCCGCCCCGTCCCGGTCAAATCCTCCGCCCCGGTCTTGAAACCTTGTTCCGTCATTTATTATTATTTTTTTCTGGCGCGCGAGTACAGGATACAAGATTATCTTTTTATTTTTATTTTTATTTATTACGCTGTTGCCCTCGCTAAAATAGTTATTACTACCTATTACGACCGCCTCCGCTCAAGCCTTGCGCCGACCGCCGCCACACTTGCCGCCTTGGCTGAGCCAAACCACCTTCTTCGTCGCCGCTACTGTCCGGCCGCTCGCTTTTTTTGTTCTATTTTTGTTCTTGTTCTCGATTTTTCATCAAGCCCACGACGTCCTCTATTCCTCCAACCTACCATTCAATTGTTCGCGCTGGTCATCTCTTTACGTCAGATTCATCGCTGCGTCGCCCCCGCACGCCAGTCTTTCGCCCGCGCTCCTCTGCTTGTTCGCTGTCAACCTCCTTCGGTGTCGCCGCTTGCCAGTATCCGATCCCAGCCTCGACTTCACTGCGCGTGCTGCCATACGCCTGCTGCGCACACCGTCTGCGCAGCCTGCGCGTAGCTCACAGCAGCTTCTCGAGTCGCTCTCGATACTGGATTTCGTACCATCGAACTCTTCTCTTCCGCGACCGCTCTCCTGGCCCACCTCGTCTTCTGCGAGGCGCCCACGCTGCAACCTCGCATCTGCGTCTTTTCACCCCGTCGTCAACCATCATGTCCGGCACAGACATTGGGCAGCCTCAAGGCGCTGGGAACAATGCCAGTGAATTTGTTAGTCACGTTGCGCTTCCAAGCCCATCATTCTCGCATTTCATTCTTCAATACTAATGCGCGCGCTACAGGTTCGCAAATTGTTCAAGTATGCCCTAATGCCGCTCGCTACTTTCTAATCATGCTGACCAGCGCAGAATGTTGGAAGACCCTTCACATCAAGACGTCGCGCGATGGGGAAAGGACGGTGATACCTTTGTTGTTGTCGAAGTGCGAAGCCCAATTATTCTCTTACTTGGCGCACTCCAAAGCTAACATAGAACAATCAGGGCGAAAAATTCACCCGATCCATCCTTCCCAAGCACTTCAAGCACAGCAACATGTCCAGCTTTATTCGCCAATTAAACAAGTACGATTTTCACAAAGTCAAGCCATCTGCCGATGCCGACGGCTCGGCGCCCAGCGGCAATGTACGACGCCATCTCTGAGCACCCGCAATCTATCCCACTCTGACAGCTGTCGCAGGTACTCGAATTTAAGCACCCAAACTTTCGCGTAGATAGCAAAGACGATCTCGATAATATTCGTCGCAAAGCCCCTGCTCCCAGAAAGGCACAGCAGCCCGAAGACTTTACCACGAGCCAGCACGTCAGTGTCATTTCCGAACAGCTCACCGCCACGCAGCAGCAGGTCCAGCAGCTGCAAGAGCTCTTTGCCGAAGTTTCCCAAACCAATCGACTCCTCGTCAACGAAGTCTTGACCCTACAAAAGATGGTCAATGCTCAAAAAAGCGCCCAACACGAGATGCTCAACTACCTGACCTACCCCGGCCGCACAAACCCTATGATGAACCGTTCCATGGCCCCCAACGGAGCGGTTGCGCAGACCGAAGGTGATGATTCCGCGCCCGAATTGCGAAGAGCGCGTGAGCTTTTGGCTAGTGTCGCACCCGATGTTGCTGCCGATCGCGAGCTCGAGCGACTGCACGACGTATACGGCCCCATGACCGATTCTAGCGCCATGGTTACTCCCGTCACCCTGCCCATGCTGCACGACCCCATCACCGACCTAAGCCGATATCCCGTCTATCCTGTAGGCCAAACTGTCGGCATCGACCCTTTTGCCTCGGACCACATCCAGAAACTCCCATACGCCATGCCCGGTGAGGCTGCTGCGGCCGGTGCGCTCGCCGATGCCCACCACCACGCCCAGCAGCACACACCGACTTCGTCGGGCCCTACCCCTATCATGGGAGCTGCCGCGCCTGCCAATTTGAGAGAAGCGCCGGCCATATGGGGAATCAAGAAGCCTCACGTTTTTTTGGTCGAGGACGATCCAACGTGCGCCAAGATTGGTATAAAATTTCTCAAGTCTATGGGATGCGAAGTCGAGCATGCCGTAAGTTGCGTCGTCGTTTTCATTAGAAACCTGCTGACACGGTGCAGCCTGATGGCGCCGAGGCCTTTAATCGGATGAATGCTGTGGGAAGAGACCACTTTGATTTAATCTTCATGGATATCATCATGCCCAAACTCGATGGTGTCTCTGCTAGCATGTATATACGGCAGCAAAGCCCTTCGACACCAATCATTGCCATGACGTCCAACATTCGCCCGGACGAAGTCAATGGATACTTTGAGCATGGTTCGTATCGCGTCAATCGGTTTCGGTCTCAAATGTCGGCTAACTCGGTGGCGCAGGGATGAATGGTGTCTTGGCTAAACCATTTACCAAGGAAGGGATGCTCAAGTCAGTAAAGACACATCTGGCTCACTTGCTCAAGAACCCGCCTCCGGCCGATGGTGCTGGCGCGTTCATCATGCCTGCAATGGGATTCATGGACGGCGCGACGCCCGTCAAGCTTGAGCCTCAGACGGCGGGCTCAGGTAACAACTGGCCGCCGAACAATGGCATGTCGCAAGGCGAGGTCGATCACGGATACATGGTGAATGGCGCTGCAGGATATCAGATGGCGGGCGGAAGCCGACAACCTTTTTCTGGCATGGACGGCCCGTCGGGGCGAATGGCGCCGGATCATGAGAGTCCTCCAGAAAAGCGGCAACGGCTGAATAATTCGCAAGGCAACTTTGTGAGCTAGTTGTGCGCTGTTTATCAATGTTGGAAAGTGACGGCGCGCAGGTTGAATCGTCGATGGTAGGAAGTCAATCGATGGTGAGGAGACGCAAACAGTCGAGGCTCTGGCGAGTGCGGATGGGCGTCGTTTTATGGCTGGTCCTTTGTCGGCCGCCTCCCTCGCATGCTGCGGTCGATCGCGGTCTGGACCAGCTTCATCGGGTGGGGTTCGGAGTTTGGGGCTTGGGTGATGCAAAGTGACATTGTGCCCCGATGTACATGCATCAAAATCGGGGTTTTCTGCTTTTTATTGATATCCTGTCTGGGTGAAGAAGGGAGTGTCAAGGTAGTCATTACTGCATGTCGAAAGCAAATGGGCTGTATGGGCAGTCTACGGCGTTGAGATTTTCCTCTTCTTTACATGCTGGTTATTACATTATTATTATAGCGGGCTGTTGGATATGTTACAAGGGACCAGAGCACAAAATTGTTTGTTTTTGTGTAAGAAGATGCTGTGTAACCATTATAACTGCGGGCAGGTGCATGGTCAGGTCGGGGTCTGGATGCGCCCATGAGACGGCCCGACGGGTCCTTTGGGGGCCAGATTGGAGGAGCCATGCCGCGTTATTTATCCGACGTGGATAGTCGTATACGGCAGGAGACTTGCCAAGACTATTGCCATATGATTATTCGGAAATGCTGTTTATCTGGTGACGTGATGTGATGTGACGTGCAGTGGCTGATATATGCAACTTGCATATACCGTGCATTTCACACTTTTGTATGGCACATCTGCTAATATGTACGGATATGTTTTTACGATCTAATGTAATTAATTTAATTTAATCTCTTTTAATCTTGTACTCAATTCGATACTGTTTTGTTTATCTTCTTGGCACCCTGTTTCAAGAGGCACTCGACTCTGCTCGGCGTCGCCCGTCTGCCGTCTGGGGGATGTGATGGGCCCTGGCGGAAACCGCGGGTTGCCGCGGGTGCCAGCCCAACCCGCCACAATACACCGAGAAACATGCATCCCCGTTTCAGCCTTTGGTGATCCCCACGTCTCAACAGTCTTGTTGGACAAAAGCAAAGCGAAAGCATGAGAGGAGGGGAAAGAAAAGCAAGTCCATTCGCACGGAACAAGACGTGCCGCTGCACCCTTTCCAGCTCTGGGCGGGATATGGTCGTAGCAGGACCGGCGCGCTATGTTGTTTGTTGGTGCTCTGCAGCTTCGGAGCTATTCTTGCTGCGTAGGAAGCGGCAGATATGCAGACTTTTGGATTGGGGATCCGTACCTACCTAGGCTGTGACTTCAGGTCACGGCTGCGCTTGGTGTAGGGTGGAGAGCGTAGGAGATGCCATCGAGTGTGCCTTGGCGACGATGGAGATTGAGCAAGCTGTGATCATAATGCCCTCAATCAGCGATAGTCGGCTATTTCAATGGTCATTTCACACCAAAGAATGACGATTACCTTCTGTGCGGTTGATGACGACGCTCCGTATTTACATGACGATGAGCCGTCACCAGTTTGTGAGCGAGCGGCTTGTGCCATTTCTTGCCAAGATGTCGTATCTCTTGTACGAGGACAACAAATCAGACAGCAGACAGCCTACGACGGATCATTGCTCAGTACGGATAAGCAGTATCTTTTTTCTACATTAATTCGCATGATAATTCTCCTCCATCCACTCAACGACGAGTGTACAACTTGATGAGTCTGATTTGTAGAGCCGACGGCTCACTTTCCAAAGAAAGAGCGGTTTTCCTCAAGAATGATCTCCTAAAATCTTCCAGAACAATGTGAGTCAGTCAAGAATTCTTTCCTTGAAACGGGAGAACCCTGCCTTGAGGACGACACTGCGATCCAGTCGCGAAAAAAGTGGGCCCATTAATGTGCACTCTACGCGTCGCGTCCACCACAGCGCGTCCCACCCATCTTCAACTCTCGGTCCCTAGTAACTGCACTTTCTTCGCAGCGAGAACCAAGCCAATCGACATTACCGCCTGCAACATACCCCGAATACCCCAAACTCAGCATGCCGCACGCAGAAGGTAGCTCGCCTACCGCTGTCAGGGATGAGCCTGTCGACGACGCCGCCATCACCAGCAGCATCCCTCAAGGCGACGACGACGACGACGACGTCGACATGCTCGACGCCAGCGGCGCCGCCATTGACGGTGCCGTGAAACAGACCGACACCAAGCTAGAAAATCTCTTTGACAACGATGATGACGACGATGACGAGGAGTTTCCGTCCTCGGCGCCCGTCAAGGCAGCGCCCAGCTCGCCTCAAGGTCCTGCCTCGCCTATGTAAGAGCGGTCGGCATGCGCAAGGGCAATCAAATAGAAGCTGACTTGCGGTGGTGCAGGGACTTGTCAGCACTTAAAGCTTCGGATCCCGAAGTCATGCGCAGCTTCTACCAGCGCCTGTTTCCCTGGCGCCAGCTCTTCCAGTGGCTCAACCACAGCCCGACGCCAACAAACGACTTTGGCCACCGCGAGTTTGCCTTTACCCTGCAAAATGACGTGTATCTACGATATCAGTCTTTTGCCACGGCTGACCTGTGAGCAGAATCTCAGCAAACAACGAGCTCAGTTGGAATTTCATACTGACAGAACCAGTCTCCGCAAAGACGTCCTGCGCCTCCTACCCTCCCGCTTCGAAATCGGCCCCGTTTACTCAACTAACCCGCGCGACCGCAAGACGCTGCGCAATTCCTCCGCCTTCAAGCCTCTCGCCAAGGAGCTGTGCTTTGATATCGATTTGACAGACTACGACGACATCCGCACGTGCTGCGACAAGGCCAACATCTGCAACAAATGCTGGCAGTTCATGACAATGGCGATCAAGGTCATTGACGTGGCGCTGCGCGACGACTTTGGCTTCCAGCACATCATGTGGGTGTACTCGGGTCGTCGTGGTGCCCACGCGTGGGTGTGCGACAAGAAGGCCCGCGGTATGGATGACCAGAAGCGCAAGGCCATTGCCGGCTACCTCGAGGTCATTCGCGGCGGCGCGCAGAGTGGAAAAAAGGTCAATGTGAGACGACCGCTGCATCCTCATATCGCGTGAGTCTTGCTCTTGGATTCAGCAAGTCGGATTCGCAAAACTAACGACCACACAGCCGGAGCTTGGAAATTCTCAAGTCGCACTTCCAGGAGGATGTTCTCACCGTGCAGAACCCCTGGGCCGCCGACGACCGCTTCGACGCGCTGCTGCAGCTGCTCCCCGACCGCACCCTCAATGAGTCCCTCCGCCACAGGTGGAATGCCTCGCCCGGCCGCGCCTCGACGTCCAAATGGGCCGACATTGATACGCTCGCCAAGACGGGCGCCAGCAAGTCCCTCGACGCGCGCGCTCTAAAAGAAGCCAAGCAGGACATTGTTCTCGAGTACACCTACCCGCGCCTCGACATTGAGGTCAGCAAGAAGCTCAATCACTTGCTCAAGTCGCCGTTTGTCGTGCACCCGGGCACTGGCCGCGTCTGCGTGCCCATTGACACGTCAAGCGACGAATCCATCGCGGCGTTTGATCCGCTCGCCGTGCCGACGGTGCAGGGCCTGCTGGCCGAGATTGACGCCTGGAAGGGGGACGAGAGCGAGGGCGCCCCGGCCGTGGCGGACTGGGAAAAGACGAGCCTGAAGCCGCATGTAGAGTACTTTCGGTCTTTTGTCGCGGGCATCATGCGGGATGAGCGCGAGGCGCGCGTCAAGAGGGAGCGAGACGAGGATTCCATGGAGTTTTGAGCGGGAAGGAAGGATGGGTAATGAACATGACGACTGTATATAAATGGTGTTTTGCTTTTCTAGCAGTGCATTTTGGGATCTTGGGTACGGTCATATTGTTTTACAAAATTGAAAGCACACTCGAAGCAAATTTGGCGCTTTATTCTCTATGCAATGGGTATTTGAGTCAATGCAGCCGTCTCCGTAAGCTTCTCTTCCGCTTGTTCACCACCGGCCTCTGCCCGCTCACCTTTCTTCTCATCCACCTCCTCGACCGGCTCACCATTCTCCCCGTCTGCCTCATCGGCCTCCACCTCCGCCTCCGCCGCCGGCTCCCCGTCCCCGCGCAGGATCCCTCCCTTGCGCTTCGGAATCACACTCAGAAACGCCTTGCCCCAATCCTCGTGCTCGAGCCATTTGAGCATAATGTCCACAACATGATTCGTCGCCAGCACCTGCCGGCTGCGCATCACCATGAACTGGCCAATCGGCAGTCGCGCCGTGCGGATGCCACGCTCGCGCGCTCGCCGGTAGCACAGGCCCTTTTCGCGGTTCTTGTCCACCAGCCCGCCGACCACGTAGGTCGTATTGGGCTCGAGCCGCGCGAGCGTGTACGGCGAGTCCGACGAGAGATACACAACGTCCTTGTACGCCGGATCCAGCGGAGGCTCCAGATCCGGCAGCGGGAACGGATCGTGTGCGTCGCGCGGCCACGGCGCAGGGCTTTCCAGGCTGCGCCGCAGCGGCCCAATCAGTAGCTGCTCGTTGTGCTTCTGGTTCCCTTCTTGCTCTGCCGCGCCGTCCTCTAGCGCGACCGTCTTCTTAGCGGCCATCTGCGCGCGCGCCTCCACCGCGCATGCTGCAAAGTCGCCCGAAAACACGGATGCGCCCTTCCAGCTATTCTGCTGCGCCTGCAGCACGGTATCGAAGCGCTCCGCGAGCTTGCCGTTGAAGCCCGCGATCCAGAGGTGCGCGCGGTACTTTGCGTTGCGATTGTCCGAGTACGCGCGCGTGACCTGGCTAGAGAGGGATATGCGCTCCTTGTCCGTCATGTAGGGCTCAAAGTCGCAGTCGACGACGATGGCGAGAGGCACGAGCGGCGCATTGGCGCGCTTGTCGCGGTTGTACACGACACGGGGGTCGGCGCCGCCAGCGATGAGCGCTGCCCGCTCTGAGCGCACGCGGAGTTTGTGCGCCTGCCGCTTCTCTTTGCGCTGGAGACGCCGGTCCTCGCGGCTGTCCTCCCAGGCTTGCTGCTTGCGGAGGCGTTTGAGCGCATTCTTGGACATGGGCGTGGGTTGCTGAAGATGGCTCACGGCGGCAGAAGGGAGGGGAGCGGAAGGGGCCGGCTGCGAGGGAGTGTGGGCGTCGGGGAGAGCCTCTGAAGGCGCGGTTGACGTCTCGTTGGAGCTCATGGTGTAAAGATGAAGCCGGCTTATACGGCTTTGTGAGATGAGAGTCGAGCGAGATCTCACAACTGGGGATAGGTATGTTGATGTAGCAGGGCTAATTCGTCGAGCTAGATTTGATATGGAAGCAGCTCCTAGATAAATAACAGCAGTGACTCTCATGTACGCTTGATGTTGGAAATATTCACACTTTTACACTGATAAGATGGTTGATGAAAATGATTAAAAAGCCGTTCTACGTTTTTGCTCTGCAAAATGAGTGGGCCAAACCTTCAAGTACCTCTGTACCTTTCTTTTCTCTGCGAAACTCCCATTCAACCAATCACAGCTCACCAATTGAGAATAAATCACGTGATGCACTACGGATTGAGCTGCTCTCACCAGAAGGAAAACAGCTCTCTCAATCTCCATCCTCTCTTCTATAAAGCCACCACCACCCCGACACCATGGCTAGCCACGAGGACCACGGCCGTCAGGCCGCAGCCGCCGTGCTGAGCAGCCCCTACCAGCCCCATGATGTTCTCGACGAGACGGCCAAGACGGCTGTCGTCGGCCTGGGTGCGGGCTTCTTCCTGGCGGCGGTGCAAAACGCCCTGTCGAAACGCAACGTCGGAGCTTTCGGCGTCTTTAGCCGCGGCGCCCCCGTCATTGGACTGATCGGTATGCATTGAAGCTGCTTGGAGTGGCCAATTGGGCGATGAAAACGGTCGACGGCGGTTTGGAACCGACACGATCAAACTCGTCCGGGGATAGGATGGGACCCGTGCTAATCTGTGTTGATATCGTGTAGCTGCGTCCCCGGCCGCGTACACCTTTGTCTCCCGTACCACGATGAACCTCCGCGAAAAGGACGATGCCTTTGCCGCCGCCCTTGGTGGTTTCGCCGCCGGTGCCGTTCTTGGTCTTCCCTGTGAGTAGCCCTCCCGCCCGCCATGCACAACTTCCTGATGCACCCGCTCGATCATGAGAGGAGTTAAACTGACACACATCGCGCAGCCAAGCGCATGCCTGTCGTGTTCGCTCTCGGCGGCTTCGTCGGCAGCGTCCAGGGACTCTTCAAGCTGGCCGGTGGCCGCCTCGACAGCTTCAAGGCCGAGGACGACGAATTCGCGCGCAAGGAGACGATCCGCCGCACGACGCGTGTGCCCGTCGAGCAAACCATTTCCGAAGTTGGCGAGGGGCGAGGTATACTTGACCACGATTGCTCCATGTATCCAGCACAACTGCTAACGATGTTTAACAGGCATCAAGCCCCCTGGCTACGAGGAGCGCCGCAGAGAGCGCATCCAGGAAAAGTATGGCTTCGAAATTAACCCCGTCAAGGCGACTGTCGAGGGCAGCCAATAATTTAATGATACCTCTCCCGCAAAAAGCGAGCATTTTTGCAAAATGATCGGAAACCCGACCCCGCCAGGGTTACGGTGGTGGTGAAATGAACCCTGTACATAACCCTCTTCCCGTGGCAGAGAAGAGATGCTACACTAGAGAAATTGGAGTTTTGTTCTTTTTTGTGTGTTTCATTCCCTTTGTTGGGGCATGACTCTGCCGCGCCGCATCTGGCCGAGGCAAGAAGAGGTACGTTTCTATTTGTTAACTCCCGACTCATTTTTCCACCCTACCCCGTTTTCTATGATGATACGTTGAGGCTGTTTATGATCCTCTGATTACATCAACTCACCATTCTATCTACATTGTTTCACTGAGAAAACCACACCTTTCGCTTTATTTACATGCCATTCGAGGGAAAACATGTCAAGCTAACAGAGACATTGGCAGATGACGGTAGAACATTGCTAAGAACGCGGCAAGAGATGGATGGGAGGTGCAATGTTTTCGAGGAAGCTTGGTGTGGCTTTGATACACAACACACATTATTTACTTGTTTCATCTTTTCATATTAGAAGCGATTCTTTGATATTTTGTATCCCGCGGTGCGATTCTGATTTCAGTTCTTGTCCACTGCTGTTTTGTAAATTTCAAACCTTGTTCAATCAACCAAACAACGCCGTTTCCCTGACAAAAGATTTTAAACCTACATCAAGCCCTACAGAGCCTTGACGGACTGAAAAAAGGGATTGGCCAGGAGCTTGTCATCCTCGCCCACCAGCGCCTTGAGCCGCGCAACCTGCTCCTCTTTGCTGAGCCCTTTGCCCTGGACCTGCTCGCGCCATCGGGCCAACAGCTGCTTGAGCATGGCGCTACCCTCCTCCACATCCTCCTTGCTGTACTGCAGCCCAAGATCCTCGTGCTTGGACGTGAAATCCTCGAGCTCGTCGGCCTTGCGCTTGGCCATGCGCACCACCTTGTCCGGGAAGCGCACCAGCTCGGCGACGTGAATGCCAAAGCTCTGGTCGCAGATGCCTGGCTCGACCTTGTACAGCAGCGTCACCTCGCGCTTGTCCGCCTTGGCACCGTCGCCGCCAGCGCCGCCAATGTGCGCCGTGACGTGCAGGTTGGCGACGTGTGGGTGCTGGTCGGCGAGCGCCGTGAGCTCGTGAAAGTGCGTGGCAAACATGGCAAAGCAGCGGATTTCTTTGATGATGTGCTCGGAAATGGCCCAGGCAAGGCCGAAGCCGTCGTAGGTGGACGTGCCGCGGCCGAGCTCGTCAATGATGATGAGGGACTCGGACGTGGCCGACTTGAGAATGTTGGCCGTCTCGAGCATCTCGGCCATGAACGTCGACACGCCCTTGAGCTGAGAGTCGCTGGCGCCGACGCGCGCGAGGATGGCGTCGAAGATGGTGAGCTCGGCCTCGGCGCAGGGCACGAAGCAGCCGACCTGCGCCATGAGGGCAATGGCGCCGACCTGGCGGATGTACGTCGACTTGCCGCCCATGTTGGGCCCGGTGATGATGAGAAACGACGAAGTGTCGCGTGTGAGGGTGACGTCGTTTGTGATGAACTGCACGTCATCCTGCAACTCGAGGCACGGGTGGCGCGCGCCGAGCAGCCGCGTCTGGCCCTGGCCACGAGGGTGGATGGTCGGACGCACGTACGCCTCGGGGGCGTTGACAGAGCAGTGCGCGAGCGAGACAATGACATCGAGGTGCGCCAGGACGCCGGCGAGGCGCTCGAGCACGGGGCAGTACGACGCAGCGACCTGGACGACCTCGTGCACGAGGCCACTCTGCGTGCGGTTGTAGTTTTGCGACAACTGATCGTGCTCGCGGCGGTACGCCTGTAGCTTCTTTGTAGTAAAGTAGACGCCGTTCTTCTGCGTCGAGCACTCTTGGTATTTCGACTTGTTGCGGATGCAACCGGCCTCTTGCCGCGTCAAGCGCATGCACACGCCGTGCACCTTGTGGCTCGTCTCGAGAAAGATCTTCTTGTCCGCCTCCTGATCAAGGTCGTGCGCAGCTTCGTTGAACTCTTCACGAATGCTACGATCCAGCTGATCAAGCTTCTTGCGGATAATGCGTAGGCCCGCATCATAATCGGGCTTGATTATGTACTCGTGGCGGTCGAGGGCGTTCAGATCAACCGTCTGCTCGACCATGTCTTGCAGCCGCCCGAGGCTGTCTGACAGGTCGCGGAGCTTTGTGGTGTAGGCCTCGTCGAGAGGGTCACGATAGGTCTCGTCCATGACGCCTTCGAGCGTGCCGATGAAGCCGGGAAGCCGGATAACAACCTGGTACGCGCGGACAACATCTTCAAGGTTAGCCTTGCCGCGCTGAAAGCGTTTTGACAGCCGATACAAATCCGGCACGGAGCGCAGGTGTGTTTCTTGCATCGTCTGGCGGAGCTCAGTGTCGGTGTAAAATGCTTCGACCAACTGTTGACGCTTTTCGATTTCTTCCTTTTTCATGAGTGGTTGCTTGAGCCACTGCGCCAGCAAGCGGCTACCCACTGGCGTTTTGCAGTGGTTTAGAACCCCATAGATGCTCATCGTCTTTGCGCCGTCTCGGGGACCGGGCATGAGATTCAATGCCTTGAGCGCAGCGGCATCGAGCTTCATGAACTGGGCTAGATCGTGCTGGTAGAGCTGATACTGGCCAAAATTGGAAACGTCCTGGAGAATGCCGAGATACTTGATGAGAGACGAAGCCGACCCCATGGCCAACTTAAGGTCCGTCTGGGGCAGCAGGCCCGTCGCCTTTTCGTCCTTGAGCAGACGGGCCAGGTCTTGATCAATGTCACGGATGCCAAAATCATTTGCAGGGCGCTCGGCAATGGCAACACCGCAATTATCAATGATTTGGCGGAGTTTAGCGAGCTCAGGATCCTTGTCTTTTTCGCTCTTATCCTGGGGGAGAAGACACTCGCGAACGCCGAGCTGGATGAGAAGGGCCTCAAAGTTGGAGTAGAGGTCATTGTCAAGGAACTCGCTGACGCCGAGTTCGCGGACCGACGCGTCGGCGAAGCAGACACCGACAGCACGGGCCTCGGAGGCCTTGGCGGATATTTTGACGGCCATGATCATGGGGGCCGACTCGACCTGGCCGCCGAGGTCGTCCTCAACGTCCTGCAGGTTGCCAGGTGAGGCCTGCTTGATGCACTTCCAATTCATGCGGCCGTTGGAGCTCTGCCATATTTCGACTCGGCGGCCGAGTTTGAAGAGAGCCTCGCGGAGGAACTGTCGGAAGACGGTGACGGTCATGGTGACCGAGGGGAGGCCGGTGTGGTCATTGCGGCCGAGCTGTCGGACGACAGAGGTGGTTTTGTAAACCTAGAAATGTTAGGACTGATGTGAATTTGCCGGGAGACTTGAGCATACGGTATTGGCAATGTAGTTGGCATCATCGCCGTGGGACGTGTACCAGTCGCCCCGATCGAAAATGCGGACGGTGTCATCGTTGACGGCCGGAAGCGACTTGAAGAAGCGGATGAAGCCGCCCTCGTCATCGAGCTGCTGTTGTCAGTAGAGGTAGAAAAAAATGGAATTGAGTCCAAATACCTTTAGTTCCGGACGGGAAGCCATGTCTGGAGATGAGGCTGCCGGAAAACTGCTGGCAGATGGTTTCTTGGCCGGTCAATGGTGCCGGAGCGGCGGTTTGGCTGTGGGCGCGTTGGCGAGCGGCCAGGGTCTTGGGGAGACGCGTTTTCGGGGGGGTGGCTCAATTAAAGTGGCGACGCGAAAGCGGCACGGTGAGAGGAGAAGCGTGGCGGTTGATCCATTTCGCCAAACAGGATATTCAATAGGAAATTGAGCAAAACAATAGCAAAGAGCAAATTGTCACGGAAATTATAACAAGAGTCAAAAAGGAAATGACGGCCAATGCGCGATCATTTATCTGCCTGATTGTGCTGCCTCTGAAAAAGACTAGCCCTCTAAGTCAGAGTAATTGGCGGCTAAGTACCTAGAGAGGATGTTGGAGATTGTTTAGTAACTAATTAGTAAAACCTGAGCGATAATGCTAACATGTATTTCAAGTAGGCGATGCTAGATGGAATAAATGTAATTTTTATAGCACTACTGTAGCTGATTAAGAAGAGTAGACCGGAGGAGAGATATCGTGGCTAGCTAAACGCACCTGGAAAAGAATACCCACCTACGCGGGATGGGTGTAGTTTCTAGCATAGTCCTTAAATACAGCGTCTCCTGTTTATAATGTCTCCTTAATATCTAGTAACACTATTAAGTCACTTAGATATTCAGTAAGTCTATATTAACTCTTACACGTGCTAGATACTCTAATAGCCTTGCTAGATAATAAAAAGGTATTTTCTACGTAATAGTGTATTACTACTATGTTGAAAAACACCACTCACGCACGTAGGTACCTGATCATATGGCTATTACCTGCCATGGATGCCCTGCGTGTACTACTAGCCACGTGCTAGCTACCTACGAAGGCGGATGGTACGCGCTGACCTAAGCTTGGCTTGGAGGATGGCCCCCGGCGTTGTTACTGCTTTTGGGGGATGTCCACGCGCTAGCAGTGCCATCTTTGCTGGTGAATATCCACCATAGCCCCTGTCCACGACATTGGCAAAGTGGTCAGTCACGACTCACCAGCCGCGCTTCCATGGCTGCGATGTTGGTGCATGTTCCAAGACTCCAGCTCCAGCAACTTGCTCCATGTCCGTGTTCCATGTTGACGAGAAAGTGCCCGCATGGCGCTGCCAAACATGAGTTAGCCTTTGAACCAATGCAAGAGATTGGTGGGGGGCTCAAGGCGCAGCTCGTAAGTTCATCCATGAGTCAGTGAAACGATCGATGGAGGGCGCAAAGGCAGATCTAAGACAAATCACTCCGTACTATAATGCCGAATAGCATAGACGATTCTATCATTACGAGCCTTTCTCCGAGGCTTCCGGCAATGATAGTACGTTCGGGCATGGAACGGAGGACCTTGCAGCCGGGCCAACAAGCACTGTGCCAGCCTGCCGATATCTTCCATCCATTATTTAAAGCGCAAGTCTCTCATACATGCTCTGTAAATATGCGTTGACATAATCACGGCCTTCATGTCTGAATGGACATTGACGGCGGCGTGGCTGCCAGGAGTGCAGCCAAAAGTACTCGATAAGCCTCCCAGATGGCCGGTGATTGCGTCGCAATGCTCTTGAAAACGTATAGTTCGGGCCTCGAACGACCTGAAGCGACGTCTAGCCGCGATCAACGCCTCCTTGCTCATCCCGAGACACTCGGCGAAGCGTGATGCGCGCGGTGACCCGTCGTCTCAACCATACAAGGCACGTGTAGCAAGTCTCCATCGTCCACTTCTTTCATGCAAAATGTTTCCAAGTTATTGTTTATTATATCTTGTAAATAGCAGCTCATGCGTCCTTGGCTCAGTTCCAAACAAGCTAGGGGTATAGCAGATGGGTTATCAGCTGGTCCGGCAAGTCCAATGAACCGCTTTCAGCTAACTATTATTACTCAGGGCAGCGGCAACTTAACTGAAACTCAATGTAACACCGAGCAAGTTAATATCCAGTTGTATTCTTATTTCTAGATGATTGCATATCTATGCTTTTACTTACTTTATTAGTACCTGATGAGGACGTATAGGTACAAGGCTACAAAAACGCAGTCCCTAAGCCTTTTCTTGACAAATTGCCAAGCAATCCAGTCGACTTCACCATCCGTCAATTGGAAAACGAGTCTATATTTCCTCTGTCTTACTTGACTTGCATTGCTAGGCGATACTCTCGCATGATTTACAATATCTACTTCCCCACTATGATATGCAATGCAGGTTTTGTTCAGCCCAAAGATCGGATGGTGGCAGAACCCTGCCATACACTCTTTTCTCAGACCTGAATGCTCTTAGACAAACTTGTTTATATAGTACTTACTTCTGAGAGTTATGTCAAAGTTATGCTAAAGCTACTGGGATTGATATGACGATCCTGACTGAGTTGGTTAAACGCTTCGGCTTGAGTTATACAGACTTGCAGATAAGTGAGAATTGATTTACTCATGAATCCAAATGCCTGTAATCAGACAAATGAACCAAAAAGTCATGACATTCTCTTGTTGTCCCATTGACTGGCTGTAAGTCAAGAATCAAGGGAGTAATGTTCACCCGTCGCCTGGTACCTGCCAGCGGCGATTGAACAGAAGCATGCAGAATCTGAACACTATAAAGATCCTTAATTAAACCGCCTGCCCCGCCGGTGGGGTCCGTCTCGCATGTATTCCGAAACATACCGGCATGACTTTTCAAATGGCATTAACATTGAAAGATGTCAGTACTGAATGCTCTTTGATATACATCTTTCAGTCAAATTTGTCTACGTGGGCTTACGGGGACAGCTGAAATACTCAGCTTCATGTAAATGATGCCTTTCTACGAGTATATAAAGGCCCTCGAGGGTTGCCTGCTTCTATATCGATCCTCAGCACATCACGGTCATCTACTCCTGCATCGATTGCAGCTTTTACATCAACAATAAGCAGACGCAAAAAGTTTATTAAGAACCAAAATGAAACTCATTGTTGCTTTACAGCCGGCCGCAGTCACGGCCCTATCAATCGGCAGTTTTTGGTCCAGTCTCGAAGCCAGAGAAATAGATGGGCCAAGCATCAGCCAGACGTTTGAGAGCCTTGCAGGTCTTGGCCTTGTCAACGGCACTGGATGTGTGATTGACGACGACGGAGCCCCTAAGAGTGCTCGTACTGACACAGAGAGGAGCTGCACCAATCTACAGCAACAGGTTGATACAGGCCTCGAACAATGCATCAAACGAGCAAAGGCCGCCGAGAAGGCCGCCAAAGACGGGTCAGCACTTTTCGAGCAATACTTCAAGACACAAAAATCCGAAACCCGCGACAAAGTGGCGAAATTCTTTGCCACGATTGCTGATGGCTGCAACAAGAATGGAAAGCAGCCAGTCTCTGTTGAGTGCACCCCGAGTGCGCGATGCACTCTTCCGCAGACCGGCAACATGGAGCTGGCGGCAATAGCAACAAACCAACCAGGCGGTGGGAGCTCAATTCAGCTTTGCCGTAGTGCCTTTACCATGCATGGAGATAGGAATGGTAACCAGCGCCGTCAGGACCGGGGCCAGTGCGAAGAGAACCTGTCCAAGCTGGGTGATTTGTTTGTGCACGAGATGTCTCATGCAACAGTGTCGACGGGAGATGTCATCTATGGCAAGGAGGGTTGCCTGGGAAGCAGCCGCCAAAGGATGGAAACAATCCCCCTAGTGATGGGAACAACCCACCTATCAATGGAAACAACCCGCCTGTCGA